CCCACCCCACTGACTATACAAACCGGGCAGGTGACAGCATTTGTGGGGCCCACTGAAAAATGAATATGTGATCGCCTTGTTCAAAACTTATCACATATTAAGAATCAAAACAGAGCATTGAAACAAGATGGGGCTTGCCATGAGCCTTACGGGGCTGCACAGGACACCCCACGAAGCTAGCCCTAACACCGTCTTTTCTGGGGACCGGGCCCTCAGTGTCAGGGTCAGGACCCAGAAGGTTCAGAATCACTGTAATTGAGGTTAAGGGAGGGTCCATGCTGCTTACCCCCACTTCCTCCATTCAGAGAGGCTGGAGTGGAGGGGACAGGGGGACAGGGTGGGGGAATCTTTGGAAGAAGCTCTTCACAGCAGCAAGGCTGGTCCTCAAAGGTGGTGCAAGGAACCAGCTCTCCGCACCACTGCCCTGGGCTCCCCCCCCCCAAGGGCCTCACCTGGCAGGACAGGCTCAGCAGCTGGGTCTTTCCTCCTCTTGGCTCTGCAGGGTCTCCTCCCCGCAGAACTCTCCTGGACCTTTGCTCCAGGGCTCCCAATCAAAGCACAAATCTGAGTCATTTTCCTCTGAATCTGCAGAGGTACGAAACAAAGCCTCTTGGATGGTCACATCCTGTCACCTGCCCCTGACCCAAAAGAGACCCCAGCCTTGCCTGGGCCCAGAAGGTCATGGCAGAATCTCCCCGAGACTTCAGGACCTTGAATGGTGACCAGGGACCCAGAAGGCAAGCTGTCCGGTGCACACATCACCTGCTGGAGACCCTAGCGGGGAACTGACCCACCTATATACCTTGGCAGTACTGCAGGCTGGGTTCCAGACCGCCGTAATGAAGCAAATGCCACAATAAAGCGAGTCACACGACTGCTTTGGTTTCCCAGCGCACAGAAGCTGTGCTTGCACTAGATGTCGCCACACGTGCGCATGGCACTGTGGCCAGGGCAGCAATTGACAACCTTAATTAAATGGGACTGACACAAAATAAGCGCACACCACTGGGAAAATGGCATCAACAGACTAGCTCCACTCACGAGACGCCATAAACCCTCAATTTGTAAAAAAACCAACCAACCAACAAACAAATTCACAGTTTTTTGCAGAGTGAGTCCAGCAGAGCACAATAAAACGAGGTATGCTTGTCGTGGGTGTGGGCCAGGAGGGGGCGCCAGAGAGACACAGGCCGGCCCCCTGCTCATCCGGTGGTGCAATCACCAGCAAGTATCTGAGACACACAGACGCTGGCCTCCCTTGCAGCGTTATGTTGTGGTGAAACACACACAAATAAGAAGACACTCTGGAAATCACGACACGTCCCTCATGAGAGGCCCGGTGACTGAGTACGTCACCGCCTGGCACGTCAGGTCACTGTTAAACTGCTGGCTTTGGGTCTGTATCTTCTGGTTTGCAGGATGTCGACGGGTTATTGTAAGCAAGCTGCAAGACACCAGACCCTACTCGAGCGGGAAAGCTCTGTATGTTGGTAAATGAGCGCACTGACTAGTGGGCCTGACTCGTGGTGACTCGTGGGCCAAGGAGAGGGGTAGGGGAGGTTTCTAGTTTTCTTACTATATGCCAGTTGTTCCACTGGGTGCAGAGCAGTCAAGGAGAGCCCCTCCCATCACCACCAGACAGCAGACCAACGGCAGGAGACAAGAGAGGGAGGGTCTCGATTTCCCCATCTGTAAAATGGGCACACTAGGCTGTTCTATGATGAGGGTGAACTGAGGTCAGACATGAAAACAGGTGCTGGACAATGTGGGCAGTTCCAATTGTGGAACCAAGCATAAGTATTCTTAGCCATTGCTTTGTCATTTTGTGTGTAACTGCCATTTTAGAATTTCAGGTCTTGCTGTCCTGGGAAAAGACTGCATTCCAGAGTTCGACCCCCACCCCCCTCTGGTCTTATCTCAGTCGGCTAGCCACAGGCTAGCCACAGCGGAGCTGAGCAATTCAGGCCACTAAAAGGGTCAAACTAGCCATAAAATAGAGCTGCATCTTGATGTGACCAATCAGCTCAAAAACTGAAACTGTGCACCCACCGTTGTTAGGAAATGCACCTGTGTAACCAATGAATGTTTGCCAACATGATTTAATTTTTAGAGATCTGCTTGTAACCTATATAAGATCGGTGCGTGTCACGAGCCTGGACTCAAGCCCGTAATAAACTCCTTTATGATCTTACAGCGGCTGTCTGTGTGTCCTTGGGGGCTGCACTGGTCGACATTGGGCACAACAACAATGATTTATAACTCCAGTGACCACTCTGGCCAGATGGGACTGTTTTCTGAACACCTATTATGTGCTAAGTGCTTCACATTCATTTTGCCAGTGTATTTAATACACTTAACAACTTCCTGAAGGCAATTGCCAGTGTTATTCATATTTTACAGAGAGGAAGGCTCAGGAAGGTGAACTGTCTGGGCTCATAGCCAGAAGTGCTAGCGCCCTCCCACCTCCCCACCCCCTCTTCCTGCCCAGCCCCATGGACCCTCGCTGTCCTGGTGAGTGCCCTTGTTTGAAGTCAGAGGACCCAAAGGAAGTCCTTCAATTTGAATTCTTGCTCTGAGGACAACCATGAGGGCCTGCTGTACCTACTCCATTTGAGCCCTACATCCCCTCTCTCTGGAGGTTTCCTTTCTGCAAATTCTTTTCAAACGGCAAAAGGAAAAAACTCCCTGGGCACAGTATCTTCCCTTCGAAGGGCACATGTGACTTTATCCTTCTCTCCCCTTCCTAAAGGCCTAGGCTGTCTGCTCTGGCCAACCCCCGCCCTGTTCAGCTGCCCCAGGTCTTCCAGTCTCTCCAGGAAGCTCCCTTCTCCTCCCAGGTATGTCTCCCTCAAATTTGGCAACACTTTCTCTTCTGGAGGAAAGTGCCTGGTTGAGCCAGGCCAGGCAGGAGGGGGGAGGGGAATCCGAAATGCTCTTCATACCAAATACCAGACCCAACTGATCCCAACAAAGAGATCCACAGCAGAGTAGAAAGTCACAGGCAGGGTGTCCCGAGCCCCAGCTCCTCAAGCCCTGGTGTGAGTCTTGGTATGGCTCAGAGCCTGGGTATTAGCTGCTTCCAGGCACAAGGACAGAACACAACAATCCTGAGAGTTCCAAGAAGACCCTGAAATGGGGCCTCTCACCTCTTGGGGATGGTGCCTCTTCATTGCAAAATTAGCAAAGGACTTATTTCAAATTGCCACAGGAGTTGGCAGGTCACCAGTCTTTCAGGAGAAGGTCGGAGAAGGGGTTGGCATGGGGCAGGGCATCCAAGGAAAACAAATTGCTGGAGGTAGTGCCCTGGATGTTGGGGAGCTGCCCCCAACTGTGGAGAAGACACACTAAGCCATTCCTGCACTTCCTCGGACCATGTTGACTGGATTCTCAACCTACGAGTACCTACTATGTGCTGTGTGTGTACAGGTGCTGCCCTTGCATGTCTCCACGTACAAAGGGTAGGGACCATCACTATCTCCATTTTGTGCGTGAGATGACGGCTCCGAAAAGACTGGCCCAGGGTCACACAGCCACAGGTGGCCCAGTGGGGAGGTGACACCCAACAACTGTCACTCACAGCACCTCACGGGTGTGACCTTGGGCAGGGTGTATGGCCTTGCTTCTCTTCTCCAAACCCGTTTCCTCAATTGTGTAAGAATTACTTCACAGGGTTATTGTGAGGATTAAATAGCACACATCAATTGTTTAGCATATGACCCCATACACAGTCCATTGAAAAAACGTTAGCTATTATTCTGAACTATTAAAGGGCGAGGTTGGCATCTGGCCTAGCCCCCTACATTCCAGAAGGACAGCTTTTACACCCATGACGCAGGCCAACTCTCTGACATCCACTGGCCACATGCCTCAGGCCCGAGCTGTGCCCCTCAGGGTTGTGGAAAGATGAGAACATACTTGACACAAACATTTTCTGGAAGCAAAATGATTTCCTAAGCTCTTGCCAGGAGCTCCCATCATTTCACAACTCCTAGCCTCCACATTTGAGATCACGGGGCAGGTCGGAGTGTGGGTGAACTGCTTACCCTGTCTCAATGCCATCTGACCAGAGTTGGAAGCATGCTCAGTGCTAGGTGGTCAAAGGTCAAGGGACTGAGGAGCAGAAGGTGGGAGGCCAAGGGGTCCCCACGAAGAGGACCCCCGGTGAAGGGAGCACCCAGGGAGCCAGGATGCCTGAGGAGCAGAGTCACACCTGCACAGAGCCAGCTGTATCTCTGGCCCACCAGACCCCACCCCCCCACTTCCCTCATGGCCAGCTCTGCCCACCTCTGGCTTCTCCAGGTGGCATGCTAGATGGACATCAGTCAGCTGCAGTGATCCTGTGACCCAGAGAACCCCGTCTCACTGTGTGGTCTGGGCACAAAACAGTGAGTGGTCAGCGGGCACCTCATAAATGCCAAGGCTGCCAGAGGCTGTGTGCAGGCTGCTTACTGCACAAAAGCCCTGGCTGAGGGGGCAAGAGAGGCTGACATTCGGCCAGTGCTCCACTAAGCCTGGTGTCCGGGCTGCATTCACAGAAGGGGCACCTTTCACAAATTCCTCTGCAGAGGGGCTGCCTCTTTCCCATTTCTGTCGATGGCCCAAGTCCCCTGAGGTGCCCCAGACATGCACAGACTTAGTGCTTCCCAGGGACCCTTGGGGATCACTCTTGGGCTTCAGGGGTTAAGAGACTAAACTACCAAACCAATCCTGCTACAGGTCCTGCTTGTGTCTGAGCCTGCAGTTAAAACACCTGAAAGCCCTTCTCTGCCATGGTTTCAGGACATCCAGCCCGGTAACCCCTTGCCCGGCTCCAGGATTAGGACCCAGTCTGGGCGGCTCACCTTGGCTAAGTAAGAAGCGCAGCCAGATGATCAACAAAAACAACAGCAAGCCCACGGGCAGGCCGAGCCAGAACACCAGGAAGGAAAACGTGAGGTCATTCACCAGTGGTACCAGGGGGTACTTCATGGTGTTCTGCGGGTAGTCCGAGCCAGCCTGGGCTGGGGCCACGCTCCGCTCTCAGCCCAATTGTGACGGAGTCGTGACCTAACAAGAAAGTCACAGTGTCCTTCGGGCGAAGGGAGAGCTGTTTTGGATGAATGGGCAGGAGCCAGGGCAGCGAGAGTTTGGCTGGGAACAACGGCTCAGGCTTCCAGGCAGGCATGGGCCTTACCAGCTCTCTGCTAAGATGCAACGGGGTGCCCGCGACAGCTCTTGTATGATGGAAGTAACTTATTTGACTGAGCTGCTAAAAGTTAGAAAGGTAAGTGGGATAAACATTGCCCCCAGGTGCTCATATATTTGGGGGTCACTGTTACCTCCAGGAGCCAGCGGGTCCCCAGATGCCAGGATTCCAGTTGCATGTGCCACATTCACCCTCTGTGGGATGGCGGGGATGCAGGCGGCCGGGCTGGAGCTTGGTGCATCAGAAGCTGGCAGCTGCTGCAGCTCTAGTCAATAATGGCGATGCAGGAAATGCAGGTCCAGGACTGCCAGATTTCCCACTTTCCCAAGTCAGTCAAAACATCTGCATTTTTACATAAAATCTTCCAGTTTAAAAACATTGAATCAAATCTTGTCAAAACTTTCCTGGCTGAGTAAGTCGGCCAGGCCAGACAGGGTTACTAAGGCTGCCATTTTAACACTTCCTAATCTAAAACATAGTAGGCCTTCAATAAATGACTACCTAACCCGGAAGTTTCTCTTACTAGGGTTTCAATGAGGAGCTCTCAAGCATTCACAGCCTGTGGGCAGAACACTCCCAAATGCCATTTTTCTTTCTCCCCTTAACCTGTCGTCACTCACTCACGAAGCAGTAAACCCCCAAGTGCTGGGCCAGGCAGGCTGGAAAACTGGCTGGTGCAGAAAGTCCCCATGGCAGGAGGAGCAGCCGCTGCTTACGGAGGAGAGACAAACAAGGTCGTCTCCAAAAGGGCCCTCAGATCACCTGTCTCACTTGCAGCAGCCGGAGGGTGGTGGCTGGAGGCCACTTACGAAACATGCCTATTCCTGCTCACCTGACCCACAGAGCATAACCTCCAGAGCAGAGGCTCAGCCTCCCCACATGTTAATGGGTGACCAGTCTGACAGTCTAGTCCAAGACCATGGCATCTGCCTGTTGGAGAACCAGGCAGGCCTAGTTCCAAGCTGGGGGAGCGGTGGCAGGCATGTGGGTGGTAGACTGAGGGGACACACGGGACACAAGGACCCCCTTGATAGGACACCAGCCCAGGGAGAAGGGCAGAGAAGACAGTGACAGTAAAAGCAGGGAAGGAGAGGAGAAGCCAGGGCTTCAAAGGCTGATGGTAATAGAATGTGTGTCCAAAAAGAGTGGCGCCTAGCAGGCTGTCAGTGCTACGCCCAGAGGTGGAGACCAGGAGCTCGGTGTCTGGAGTGGGTGATTTCTTGGCATCGGGGCCTAAAGGCACCAGGGTCAGAAAGAGTAGTAAGGCAAGGGCTTGAGCACTCATTTCCTGGTCAGAGCCGCTGTGCAGTCAGCCCAGGAAGAAGCTTGGCTGGTCCTCTGGGCCCAGCTGGAAGCCCCCCGCTGAGCAGGCAGAGCAGGCGTGGACACAACCTCAGGGGCAGGACCTCGCAGCCCTGGCTTCCAGGCACAACTCAGAGAGTCACCTTGGATCAGTGCCAGGCTGCAGCGGGTGGGCAGAGGCACTCATCATAACCACTCCCCTCGCTGCTTCCTAAGTGGTGCAACCCACCATGGGTTGTAATCACACGCCACCCTGCGCGATCAAGGCCTTAAGGTGCTCATCCTGGCCCGTGTAACCCTCCTCCGCTCACAGCCTAGTCCAGTGGGCTGGGTGGCAGGGAGATTAGCCCCTCTGTGTCTCTCCAGTTTCCTATTCCTGACTGGCCAGCTGAGGCAGAGGTTGGATTCTCTGCAGGCGGCATCTCTATGTTCTCAAGGCAGAGGACAAGCCAGCCAGAGGCAACTGCCGGGCTCCGCAAGGTGGGTCATTGGGAGTCATGCTTTATTTATGGACGCTCCTTTCTGTATAAGTCAAGTATCTTTAAAATTTATCAAATATTGAGTATTTCGTGAAACTTCACAAAAGCAGAGTGAAAAACCACAGACCTAAATTGTAAGGGTGCAGAGGCAGGGCAGACAGTTCCTGGAAAGAGTAAACGGAACACACACGCCTGGCCTACAGCCAAGAGCACACACGACATTATTAGATAAGAATCTTCTTAAAATTTAATTGACTAAATGTGTTACATTCAATATTCCATGGGTTTCTTCTGGACAAAGGGGTGGCATAAATACAAACAAGCCTCTGGGCTGCCTCCCCTAAGCGACGAAGAGAAAACACAGGAGGCGAGGGGACACAGGGACACCTTCATATTTACATTTCGCCTTTACTTTACAGTTCAGTGACAGAAATATTTACAGAAAATACAATAAGAAAAAGATCATGTCTTGGCAACATACCGAAATTCATACAAATTGTATACATGATTTCAAGCAAATAATGATACTGCTTATTTTTTAGCCACAACTGCCAAGCCCTTCAGAGGAGAAAGATGTTCTTGGTCACTGCGAGAGACAAGGACTTGGGAAACTTGGTTTGCTTCAACAAATATTTATTGGGCGCCTACTATATGCAAGGCACTGTGGAATCCCAAATTATACCTTTTCCCTCACCTTTAAAAAAAGAAAAGCATCTGAAGAACATGAATTGATATTCTGAGAAAAACGCTATACAGTACATGGCTTCTTTAGCTACCGAGAACCACAACCTGATTCCACGCTGAGCGGTTAGATGACCCCCACTCTCTCTCTGTCAGGAAAAGAGGCTGTCATGGAAATCAGACCATCTAACTCAACTTACTGTTTTGTGTAAACATACAAATCAATTTTTTTTTTTTTTTTTTTGCGGGGTGGGGGGTGGGGGCGGGGGAGATATAACCTGGATGGGTTTTAAGTGTTGAATGGAGAACTACCACAGCGGAGGGTCCCGTCACCTCCAGTGCATTTTTTACCATCGACCAAGAAACATGTCTTTGAGCACGTTGAGTCCCACTTTGGGTGAAGTTCCACCTTCCAACAGAAATGAATATGCTTGAAGACTCTGCCTCTCTACAGATCAGTCTGCAGAGCCTAACAAATGCTCCCCCCAGAGTATGTAAAAAGTAACCACTCATGAAGATCTCACAACACACAACCTGTAGGCAACTGACATTGCGAGCCAAAGATGTAGGTATTTATAAATGAGTCCAGAGGAGAATGGCTGCCCTGAAATAGGGGACCTGGAATGGAAATCAGTGGGAGGGAGGGAGGGATGGATGAAGGGGGAGGGAGAGAGAGAGAGAGAGAGAGAGAGAGAGAGAGAGAGAGAGAGAGAGAGAGAGAGAGAGAAAGAGAGAGAGAGAGAGTAAGCAGCCCACCGAATAACCACTCCTCCTTTCAAAGGGCCAATGGACAGGACCAGGGTCTTAGGAGGATGAATAAAGAAAGGATTCAAAAGGCAAAAGTCCCACTAACTGCCCTCAATGCTCCCAACCAGAGAGGAGGAAAGCCCCTGTCCCTCGGATAATGATTTCCTTGTCACCAAACTCCACTCTTCTACCACTCCTTGGTGTACATGTCACATGTAGCAACTAAACATTTAAGCCACAGACCAAATTGGTCCTGGCTTCCCTTGAAAGGCTATGAATATATGCTAACAAATTTATCAAGTAGATAAATAAAGGTTATTATCAGAGACAAAATATGCTCCTCTGGCATTATTCTACTCAAAGTAATTTTTCACAAAGGCAGCTGGGTGAACTTAGGGGCCATGAAGTCAAACCCATACCAGTGACCGATCCACGGGTTCTCACCACACTTAACATACGCTGGTTTTGAGCAGAAGGAACCAGCTTTGGGTAACTTATATGCACCCTGTGTGTGTGCACTGTACATACTGGGGTATCATGCCTTCAGGGGCCACACAGTCCAGAATCCATCCCTCCTTCTCTGGGAGATCACAGAGCCTTCCAGATCAAACAGCACTCAACATGATTGTTCACTTATCAAAGTCAGTAGAATAACAGAATGGCCAGAAACCAGAGCACATGGAAGCATCATCAAGCCTACCACCACCACATGCCACCGGACACTTTGCTGACAGTTAAACTGTGCCAAAGGTAAAAGTTTCTCTGACGAATTACACGGAGTACACCTATAGCCTCTGGAATGTTGTAAGTTGCACATCAAATTACAGCCTTCTTTGTTCACATGCACTAGAACAAGGGCCCATTTTTCCACTGAAAAACATCAATCTGGAATTCCCACTAAAGTTGCTAAATCTTACCTCATACCTGCTGAGTTACCAAAACACTTTGAGAGAACTTGTTATCCCTCCCCTCTCCCCCATGCTACCATCTGAAAACATCAATTTATTGCCCAGATCAAAAATAAAATCAATTATTGAATATTATATATACCCTGAATGGAAACTGGAGTCATAGAATGAGAAGGTTACCTTTACCTGAGCTTAAAATAAACATGAAGAAAATTGTGTAGCAAACTTAAGACCAAGAGCTGTTGTGCTCACATTTCTTGCTCATAGATGGCAAATACATACTTCTGGAACAAAAATATTTGCACAGGGAATTAAGTCCTACACTATTCCCCACCCCCTAATTAAACTACCAAAACATCAAACCAAACAGACCATTGTAACCTTGACCTACAGAATCTACTGACATCAGAGTTCAAGTGGGAAGACATCTCTTCTACAACTGTGATCACTCCTCTTTGGACTTTATGTGTCACTTATTTTCCAAACATAAAATAACCTTAATAAAAGCACATGAGAATAGAAGAAATGAGCAGTATATACTCTAGCACTGTAACAGGAATCCTTGTAAGGATGTTCTGGGTCTGGCCACCTCAAAACTTTTATCCCTGGCAGAAAAGTAGCAGCGAGGTAACAGAAGTATTTCCAAAGTCCTGGCAGGGAGGTGTTGTGCCTTCAGCTGGCAAAGTCCAGAAAACATGACAAAAACCACTTCTAATAGCGGTCACCCAAAAAGGTGGTAATGTTTGTCAATTCGAAGAAATCCAGTAGCTCTCTGGGAGAGCTTAATTAGTAGCATTGAGAGATACTTCCTGAACCCCAAGTAAGAATCCTTCATAAACTACTGCAGTTTCCTGCTTGGTCCTAAATAAGAAACAGTGGATGAAACTAATTCATTTTCAACTCTTGTTGTGAATTTACATTTCATAATATTTTACCAAGGAATTACAAATGTTCCACCTGTCATGTCACTGAACTGGACAGTAGTGGAGAGAGTGGAGGCATCACTGCTCTCTTAGAGCTTTTAACACCACAACTCCACCTGTCTCCCCATTAGAGGACAGACATACCTTTCTGTTACAACTATTCCTGGGCCAAAACTGAGACCTTCAGACAGATGTGTGCAGTGATGAGAGTAACTTTTTGAAATGTGAAGATAAAATGAAATATCCTAACATCAGACTTCTTATCTGAGCAAAAATCATTTATGTTCTTTTTCGTCAGTATGACAGTTCAATGGAAGAAGGACCTATCAGTGAGCAGAAGGTGGACATTTCTCTCCTTCTCTTCCACCTATGAACGATGAGTGTGTAAATGCCTGGCAGATTCTGAGACATTTTAATTTGAACACAACACCTCCTAAAAAGTGAGGTATAATACTATCTTCAACTTCTAATTTGCAAATTTGATACTACCAATGCACATGTTTAACTGAGATGCATAAAAGCCTTTCTCCTCAAAAGGCTTATATTTAACTAAAATTGTCACTTTTAAAAGAAAGCTTATGGCTAAAATGTATATCATCATTACCAGCAGGAATATGATTGTGTCTGGGTGCCCATTTCACTAGAAAGCCAAAAGTCTTCTATCAAATGGGTTTATAATGTGTTTCTTCTATTCTGGTGATTAAACAGTAAGTTCCTGGGGAGTGATTTGTTTTTATTTTTACAGTGATCACCTATGAAATTGTTTTGCTTTGATTTCATAGCCCCAAACTGGAGTTCAATTGTCCTAGACAGACTGTGGTCTAAGAACTGCAGTTCTTGAGTCCAACCTCCTGGAAAAGTGAAGTATAAAACTCTGGCTCCAACTGCTTGTTTCGGTACTTGTTGACAATGTCGGTGATTTTCTGTTTCCGGCGGACATGTGGTGGGCTGTAGGAATCACTCTCCAGTCTCTTTCTTCTACAAATATTAATTACAGTCTGCCTCACCAGAAAACCTTGAAGACAGAGGGTTTTAAAATGAATGTGAAAAACCAGTCACCTAAGTGAATTATCAGTATCAAGTAAACTACTTTCCACATACTCAATACTATTTTATTTCATTTGCAAGACTTCCTGCCTTTGGAGAGACTGACAAAGCACTGTAATAAGACAGATCTGGCAAAAGAAATACACAATGGTAAGGAAAAAAGAGAATCAAAATATGGTCTGACACCCATGTCCTGGCCCGGATTACAGTTATCTGTTTTTTCCCTTACTGGATGTTTGTGAATTACTGCTCTAGTCAGTCATACTAGATTAAGCACAGTTCAAACAGAAAGAAAACATGCTTCCCTTTTAACAAGAGCCACAACATTTTCTATATAAGAGACCTACTAAGTAATAATACCATTTCCTTATTTTACTTCTTTCTGGTTCATAAAAATGTTAAAGAAAAAAAGAAATAGTAACCCGTTAGTCACACATGAAGACCTTACCGAGGGCTCGCCTGCTGACAATCATCCCATCCACGAGAGGGATAACCATGTTAAATTTTCCAGTAGCTCCTTGAATTTTTATCCGGAATAATCCAGTGTTTAAAGGGTGGATGAAGATCACAGGAACTTCTTTTTCAAGAGTGGTTGATCTTAAGAAAAGAAAACTTTTTACCCTAGACACCAAGAGTTGAAGTCCCCCACGTGTAACATAAGAACACCAAGGAGACTTGCTGCCAGGTAGTGGTTTGTGAACAGGCAAGGGGTCAGTCTGCTCAGAATCCTTTTTCAGGGAGCCCATGTAGCTCAGCGTCTCTCCCCATCCCAACATCTATCCCTCAATGCCCATCACCAGGGCTGGACTTTTCAAACAGACAAAAAAGGGGACTTGGTAAAGGAAGGTCAGAGAAATATAACACAGGGAGTTACAAACTTAGTAACCACTATGGAACTTTCTTGTCAGGAACAAAAGCGGGGATGGCCAGAGCACAGGGAATTCTGTCACCACCAACACTGGCTCTCAGAACAGAAATGGGACTACAGCTCAGGCCCACTTTGGGAGTTTCTGATAAAAATTTTTTTCAGGGATGGGGGCAGGAGGTTGGGAGGGCCACTAGTCTAGGCTAGCTGCAGTGTTCTCAGTAGTGATAAATGGCCACATCTTGGCAGGGTCAAAGCCCTCTGCGCCTCTGAACTGCAGTGGCAACTGGGATATGCCAAACATCTACAGGGACCAGTATTATTCTGTGATGCTACATGTCTGGGCTTGATTTTTTTTTTTTTTTTTGGCAACACAGTGAAATTTCCTTCTCTATAAGTGAAGTGATTTAGGTCAAAGCAATACTGAGTCAATTTTTCAACACTGTATATAAAAATCAATCCCACAACCTGTCCTTGAAACAAATTCTAAACTGTGCTAATTACCAATGAAATAGAAATTTTATAATCTAATCATACTGGAAATTTTGACCTAAGAAGATTAAAACAGATGCTCTGGATCAAAATACACTGAAGAAACCAATACCAAAGACCATATTGGAATGGATTTTGGTTTGAACAAAGAGATTGTAAAGAATATTGTAGAGAAAATGGAGAAGTTTGACTACGTACTGGTTATTAGATGAAATTAAGGAATTACTACTAATGATGTTATCTATTTAGTTGAAAAATGTTCTTTTTAGAGATGCATAGTGATGTATTCAGAATGTCAGAATATCTGTAATTTGCTTTAAATTCCTTAGAATAAAAAGTTAAGTTTTAGAAATGACTTGACCTCTTCTAGAAATTCAAAAATTTGATGTTAAAAATAACTCATCTTTACTGACTTCATTTTTATAACAATAATCTAACACAATTACAATAAATTCACCCTACATGCAATACCATCATATAATGTAACAGAAGGAAATTACTCAAAAGCTAAAACATCATGTTTAGCTTGATATGAAGCTAAGCTTCATGTATGTATGATGTATGAGGTTAGCACAGGGAGTGAGAGGCCTGGGTTCAGATCATTTTCTCCTTCATGTGCTCAATGTGTGACTCTGAACCCCAATGAGCCTATTTTACCTCATTTCTAAAATGTGATAATTGTACCTCCTGGAGTTATTTCCGAGTATTTTTTTTTACCACAAACAAGCAAGCAAAAAGTCTTGAAGTTTTATAACGCCTATACATTTACACTGTTATTATTCTTGCCATCTATTTTCTTTTTATTCTTTTTTGTGCATGGGTAGCTAGACAAGACATTTTAGCACAAGTTAGTTATTACATTTAACTTAGAAGTGTTTTCCACTAAATTTGTCAACTTTGACAAATTTAACTCCATTATTTTTATCTAACATTGCTACATCATTAATTGCCTCCACGTTCCCATTTTTTTTGCTATAGAGGAACACAAAACAGTAATTATACCATTTTAAGATTCTTGCTAATTTAATCACTTTGTGCATTTATCCACAAAGAACTTCTTTCTTTGTTCTTTTACCTGATCTGTTTATTTCCTACTGCTCCACCCTTTTGTTCCATTATTTATTACTATAATCAACACATTGTTACATGTAGATTTTTGTTGATAAACTTCAAGCAAATAAAAAGAGTGTACCTCAGAGAAGTACTACTATTTGCAGTAGTTTCTACACCAGTACTGATTTCTGTCATCAAGTCTGAGAGGGGAAAGTTTTCTGGAAGAAAATAACAACACTGTAATTAATCTCTCATATTTCCCAAATAAATAACAACAAATCTAATTTTTCTAATCTCACCACAAAAGGGGCAACAAATATATGGGCTATGCTATCCTAAAATATATAATCCTAACTATCCTCACAAATCAAAAAGAAAATTCTCTCTCAGACATATTCTAGCTAAGTTCATCTAAAGCAGAGACTATTTACAGAACATGATCTGTGGCTGGAAAACATCAATTACATTTTCTAACAAACTCCGAGCTGGCTAAGATTCTACACCAAGTATGATTTCCAATGCTCCTATGTTGCTTATTTAGAAACATGCAAAACTTATCCGTAGCAAAAATCCTAAGGACAAATTAATTTTTGCAGTAGATTAGATAATATGGTTCATGAAGAAATGACTTGAGGGAAATGCTCCTATCTCCCCTTTGCAGAAGTCCTAGGTATCTGGGAGCTATATGCAATGGGACCAATTGGCAAGAAACTATTAAATCTTATACTAAGAATAGCTAGAAGCATTGTACTCACTAGTTTCATCAAATCCTTACAATATAAAAACAAGTGCCATGGGTCTCCATTTAACAGATGGGTACACAATCTAAAGCTCAAAGAAACTGAGTGGTGAAGCTGGGATGCAAGCCCAGGCTTGCTGAACTCTAATCCTAACTCTTGGCCACCACATGCCTGTACTGCTGCTCCCTTCAGCACGTCCTTGTCATTTTACTATGATTTGCCTTATAGCCAAAGTCCTTACACAGTACCTATATCATCATAGCGTTCCACCCAGACTACAGAAACTCTTGTCTCAGGTCCAAGGGGAGGCACAGGGCGACCCTGAGGCAGCTTCTTCATTCTGGAGCTAGGACTTAGCTATATGAGATACAGAAAAGCAGAAGAGGAGAAAAAAAGAAAAAGAAAAAATAATTGGTTTAATGAAATTACCCAATCATCCATTTATCAAGTTGCCAGTGACATATCAGGTCACAGGAAATCACTTCATGAATAGAGTGTGAAATATATTTGCAAAATTGTTCTTCATTGGCTTGTTATTCAAGAAAAATACATAATGTGTAAGTATGTTACTGTAGGTTTCTAGTAGAGAGCTGCGGCAGGTTGAGATGTTCCCTTCTATTCAGTTTTTCTTACAAATGAGTTGAATTTTTTCAACTGCTTTTTTCTGAATCTACTGATACGACTTTTTAAGTTTTGTTAGTAAATAAAAACATGGTGCTGTAACAGATATTAAAAGGTGATGGCAGAGTTATAAAGCATAACTTAAAGAAAAATACTACAACAACCATGTCATTAGTGTGGAAACAATTTTAGGGAAGTTAGAAAATTTGTCAAAGACCTTATGTGTAGTTAATGGCTGATTGTTTTAAAACTTAAGAAACAAGCCAATAGAGTTTCATTCCATGAGCTTAAAAATATTTTTTCCCCAACTTTATCATATTAAAATCGGTAGCTTAAAAATTTTTCAAAAAACATGGTGCTTTAAGAGTTATCATTCTTGGGCCTCCATGGTGGTGCAAGGGGTTAAGATACAACGTATGGGGCCTCCCTGGTGGCGCAGGTGGTTTAGCGCAGTGCTGTGAAGCTGTCTGCAGCCTCTGCAGCGCCGATTCAATCCCCGCAGGCCACAGAGCAATCCACGGCAGCCCTCTCCGGTCTCACCCGTTGCTCCCCTCAGCAGTGTATTTCAGTCATTCTGCCTGTTCTGTTCCCCGCTCTGTCTCTGGTAAATCCTCTCACCCTCCTGCATGTCTGGCCTATATCCCGGTTCTTGTATAAATAAATAAAATCTTAAAAAAAAAAAAAAGATGCAACCTATGAAGCGATCCGCATCCACTGTAGCACAAATTCAATCCGCGGTCTGCACATGGCACAGCAGATCTCTCCTGTCTCTCCTGTAGTGTATTTCAGTCAATCTGCCTGTTCTGCTACCCACTCTGTCTCTGGTAAATCCTCTTACCCCCCACACCTCTGGCCTGTACCCCAGTTCTTGTATGCATAAATAAATAAATAAATAAAAATCTTAAAAAAAAAAAATGCTACCATTCTTCAGGTTTCTGGGAGTAACTATATACTACATTCAGAAAGTGAGTACAAGAGCAGTCAATCACTGAACATTAGATCTGGCTGAAACCCAGCATTACTGCCCAACACTTCTTGTTCATCCCTGAAACATATTCTTTGAAACTTTTAATCCTGATTTTCAAAATCAGTCTACAGCAGAGACTCTTAGACAACTTCCCCCTGCCCCAATATTCTTTTAAGCATATACTTAAGTTAAAAATAATTTTCACTGTAGAAGTTAAGTTAAAATCCTGTACTATGAATGGCTTCACTCAAGTTTTACACTTCTTTTGTCTTTTTGTTTGTTTAGTTCTAAATCAACTTTCTCATGCTTATGGACTGACCCTGTACTTTTGCTATCCTGGCAAGCTTGACCAATTTCCAGTAAGGATTAAGATTTAGCATGAGGGGAAAACAAAGATAAAGAAATAACATCTACTGATATGGTAAGAAAAAAGTATAAAAGCAAAATGATTGATTCTTAATAGTAGTTGCATGTGCATGCCTTACTATTTATTCATATACTGAGTTATTTACCAAAATACTACTATTTGTATACAGTCGGTCTTATGTAAGCTGAATGTTGCATGATTAAAGATGTGGAATATACAGGTCCACTGTTGGACCTATAGAGAATATTTCAGGGACCAAATAAAAACCTAGGAATGAGAAGGAATAAATGAAAGAATCAAGCCTGGCACCAGGATAATTAAATCAAGGAAAATCATAAAGGCTATTACAGGATGAACTATTTTTTGCAAGATGAAAAAAAGAAAATTATGAGAATCTGATTTAAAAAAATTAAGATACTAATGACTCAGTACTACTATAATTATTCTCTGGGCTAAATTAAAAGCTTTTCAGACATGATTCTATAGTTATTTCCACTTCACTAAAAATTTTTGGAGATATATCAACAAAGTGACTTACCCTCTGTGAGGAATTAAGATTGTCTGTGTGATTAGGGAAAAGCTCAAGTGTCAGGGATGGCTGTTTGAGAATTCCTGGCATTAGATCCATATTTGAATCACTATCTTGGTCCGAGATATTACTCTCTAATGAATCAGCTATGGGGTAAAGAAAAAAAAAAATCCATTATAATATTTACTACTCTTTGTAGTAAAAATGCTTTATTATGTTAATATTACTCTAACCTAAGTCACTTACAAAGCACTATTTCTAATGCAAGGTTGGACAACTTTTTTTCTATAAAGGATCAGGTAATAAATATTTTAGGTTCTGCTGTTATATAAGTCTCTTGCATAGTCTTCTTTGTATTTTATTTACAACCCTTTAAAGATGTGAAAGCTGTTTTTAGTGGTCTGAATTTGGCCTATCCTGCTCTATAAGGTAACTAAAGACTAGAAAATGTTTGACTTGTCAAATGGAGAATATAATAAAAGCCATGCTCTTCTCTGATTTGGATAACATATTCAATATGTAGCACAGTGCTAAGTAGCACTGGGACATCGCAAAACTACAGAAGACCTAGAGTCTGACTAAGGAGCAATATGGTTGAAGACAAGGACATAGTTATCAGAAAAACTGAAACAAAGAAAAACAAATCTTAAACAGGAGGAAGCCAAGTTAGAGCAGAGGCACAGTTGACATGGAGATGTTTCATGACCATCTTCCATTGGACAGTGAGCACTATAATGGAAGAACAAGGACCTAGCTCTAGGAGGCCTGGATTAGCACAAACAGGCTGGGTCAGATACCAAACTCCGTCAACAAAGGACAGATGGGGCCTGTCTTCTGGAATTAGGGTGGTAGCTCATAGTCTTGGCACAAAGGTAAACAGCTGTTAAGATACTGACTTATGTTACAGAAGGCCCTTTCTGCTAGTGACACAACTGGCCCCGGAGACAGGGAGGGATCTAGAGTGGGAAATAAAGGGTCCAAGAACAAAGGCCAGGAAGCTACCAAGGTAAAGCACTTGAAAAGTTAGTAGCCTGGAGATGAAACTGTGAAAACATGATGTGTAGCATCCTATCCTATGATGGGCTCAATGAAGAAAAAGAATTATACATACCACCTGGTCAGGCACAAAGAAATGGGCTTAATTTGTAAGAAGCAGAAGTTCTAGGTAAAATAAAGCTATGAGTTCAGACTCAGAAGTAACAACTACTACTGATCCTCAAGAATAGTCTCGATCACCATTTTTTCCTAAGCTGCTGAAATTTTTCCTGTTTGGTGTCAGATCAGACAGAGGACATTAGAAGAACCTTCCATTTGCAGCATTATCTATATAAAGGTTCTCACACAGAAACAGTTGGGGATGGGGGAGTGGTACTCATAATTAGAGAAAAGAAAGTGGAAAACCAGTTCTATGCATTGACTGAATTAAACAAAGACCAAAGAATGGGCTGAACCCAGTTCGGTGAATAATCCCAAAGTGGGGTTCCTTTAGTATTTAAAAATTATTAGAAGGTCAGTTTGCTTGTCTTTAATTACTTCCATAAGAAAGTTAAGAGGAGTTCATATCTTGTGCTTTTGCATAATTTAAAAGCTATCATGCCTGAGATAGGCTGAAGAATGCCTTCAGTGACTTTAAAATCTCTATCCAATGCAATAGTATTGCACAAACCAGAGAAAACAGAAATAGATCTGAAAACAGCACAAAATGTTCTTACTTAAGGACTCCACAGGAGAAGGAACCACAAAAGCTATTTCCGTAAGGGCATCAGCATAATATAGCACCTTCTTCTGTCCATTGAAAATGCTAGCCCCAACATCTTCAGAGGAAATCACTTCATCTAGGAATAAGAAATACATTATTGTACCAAAAAGCAGTAAAAACCAGTATCCTCCTGCTTCATGAAATTTTAACTAGTGAATAATGTGATAATAAATAAAAGGTGTATTTCCAACAAAACTCAACTATGAGTACCTTTACACTAACTTTAAATCATAAAATCTTAATTTCATTTCTAAAATTACTCCAAACTATACCACTTCTAACGAGCAGGTTTTTTTTGGCTCACCTTATGAGGATTAAGGATGTAGCCCTCTTAGAAGAGGCAATAATCCTGCCCAGTCCCTCTGAAGGAAGCCAGGCAGGCATGTGTGTATACTCCTGCTTTCAGAACATTTCTATCTCTGGTTTCTCTCTATTGCTCCTTGGCTCTGCTTCATCTTCCCCAGTAGTCAGTGATATAACATAAAATGTATAGGTACTTTTATAATATCTGTTCTAAGCCAGCACTGTTTGCTAATTCAAATTTTTTTCTAAAGTTGAATTAACAAAAAACCAATAATCCTGATAGCTAGTACAGTTCTCAAAATGGACACAGTATCCTACTAATAATACATAAAAGACCAACAACCTGACATAAATTTTGAAAACAGCAAATGAACAGTTTTCAGGGAAAGAAATAAAAATATGAAAAGATATTCAAACTCAGCCATAATTAAAAAAAAAGAAAATTTCTCACCTAACCAATCAGAAGACATTGGGATTAGGCTAGAGTAAAAAACACTTTTCTATAAAAAAATCAAAGTAAGACTTTCAGGCCATAAGTCTCTGCCACACTATGTAATTCTGCCATTGCAGCATGAAAATGGTCACAGATGTACATAAATGAGAGTACAGCTGAGTCTATGAAAGTTTATTTACAAAAACAGGCATGGGCTGGAACTCACTGATTCCTGGTTTAGACACTGGGAAGGCACTTTGTATCTACCATAACACTGTGGTTATTGCCCCAACACCCACTCCACCTGCCCCTCCTCCGTAGCAGTCATGAATCACAGATGGGACTAACCCTTCACACCAGCTCTGTTATGTCTATCTCTCTCTATTCGGGTCATTCCATCTCTCTTGCCATACAGACAAGTTCAGGATTGTCCAAGCATTGTGCTGCTCAGGATTTTTGAAGATGGGAGGTTCTGAGACCCAGCTAATCTTTCCTCTTCAGGTTAGTGTGGTGAAATGTGAACGTAAAGCCTGGAACTGCCATTTTGCACTATGAGAGAAGCCAGGTTGGGGATAAAGCCAAAACATAAAGGGCAGAGCTAAAGGAAAATTACAGCTTAACAAAACAACAGTACTCATAAAATAACAACGAATTGTACACTAAAGTCTGGAATTTTTAGTAACCTGAGGCAGTAAGTGATCTTCAAAATCTAAGCCAATTTGGGTCAGGTTTTCTGCTTCTTGCAACCATAGTATCCAACTGGTGTATTTTTCAAAACAAATGTATACACCTTGTATCAATTCCACTTGGGAAGAAATAGTTTATAAACCTGCTCAAGCACAACATTAAAGGATATGTGGACATTAAAATTACAGTATATCCCCAAATACTTTGATCCAACCTTGGTTGAAATCAGAAGAAACTATATCACAAGTCACAATGTTATTTAATGGGAAAGCTTGAGAAGGTGTACTCTTGTTGATACAAGATTATTTATTATTTATTTATCTAATAATCCAAAGCATTGGACACAGACACTGTCCACTTCAGAGAGATATTAACTTTCCAGTAACTTTAGAAGCCCTTGGAACAAAGACTGTAAGTCATGTGGGACAAAGATCTTAAAAGTTTAAATTTATACTTGTTCTGGTACTGTTGTTATCCTGATTAAGATCTTCAGGAGGATATGCAGAGACGGGCATGGAGCTCTCAGAGACAGTCAGTTGTTTACTTCAAAGGTTTTTATATAATATCCCAAGAATATAACCTTTAATGATAGCCATAAAGTCTATAAAACATATCTATTAATAGAAAACTATATTAGACAAAATACACGTGATAGGATTGCATTATCATAGATAACCTAAATTTTATAATGTTGCTACAGATAACTTGGGTTTGTTTACTCACACTGAAAACAAAAGTCTTGTGATAATGAAGTCATTAATTTTGAATTAAATATCATTTTATATGTTTGTATATAATTAGAATATATTAAATATATATGTATATTACCCCTTCCCCATATACACAGAAAATGTCTGGAAGAAAGCACAAACTATTATTAAGTACCTTTTGTGATGATTAGGACTTAGGTAAAGGAAGGAAACTTTTGCTTTATATACCTCTGGTTGCCTTTTTTTTTTTTTTTTTTTTTTTGGTAAATAAGGCTACAAATTCAGTTAAAGAAAGAAACAGCAAGAGAAGAAAACAAGAAAAAAAAGTGACTTGTGAATTTTACCTTGTTCAGGTCCTTCGCAGTCATCACAACTATTAATAGACCAACTGGTGGAAACATGCCCAGTCCAACCAGGGTGTCTGCCCACATCCACTGACCAGCCAAGAGAGAGCAAAAATTCAAGGAAATGTGGCTGAACATTTCTGGAAGACTCCACATTCTTTAAAATCTGAAATATATACCAATCATTAGCTATGAAACAAAAAAGCATATTAAAATTAATCTTATTAATTGGGCCTCCCTGGTGGCGCAAGGAGTTAAGATACAACCTACGAAGCTTTCCACAGCCACTGCAATACAAGTTCGATCCCCAGCCAGAGAGCTACCCACATGGCACAGCAGACCTCTCCTGTCTTGCCCACTGCTCCCCTCAGCAGTGTATTTCAGTCGATCTGCCTGTTCTGTTCCCCATTCTGTCTCTGGTGAATCCTCTTGCACTCCTTGCACCTCTGTTCTTGTATGCATAAATAAATAAATCTTTAAAAAAATTAATCTTAATAAAAATTAGTTAGCTTTGAAGTATCTGACAAATTAAGTCTAAGCTCAGAATAAACCTGGAAAAATATCACTGCCCTTAAAAATTCATGCTTTGGAGTTAGATTTGAATTCAAATCCTGAAGGGGCCTTGAGCAAGTTTATTTTTTTTTTTAGCGAGATTTTTAATCTTTCTGTTTCCTAAGTTTCTTCACCTTTTAAAGTACAAATAATAATGATAGCTGTGAGGGCCTCCCCGGTGGCACAGCGGTTGAGCGCTGGGTTGCGAAGCTGCCCGCAGCCTCTGCAGCGCCGGTTCGATCCCCGGCTGCTCCCCGGCCACCAGAGGAGGGTCCCACATGGCGCGCAGACCTCTCCTGCCGCCCGCTGCTCCCCTCAGCAGTGTACTTCGGTCCTTCTGCCTGCTCTGCTCCCTGCTCTGGCTCTGGTGAATTCTCTCACCCTCCCGCGCTTCTGACTATACCCAGTGCATGAATAAAAACAAAAACAAACAAACAAATAAATAAATAAAAACATGCCTCTATTAAAATAAATAAATAATGATAGCTGTGAAGTTTAAATGATAATACAAAGAAAGCCCTCAGCTCCCTCCCTAGCAAAACAAACACTGAATTAACCTTAAGTCCCTACATAGACAGACATCTGGTTAGTGAAAACTGCTTCATGGGTATGTGATTATTATAAATCTTGACAAATGTTATAAAAAGCATAAACCTTTTAAAACCTCAAGGAAGATTAGGTATACTTAATAAGTGAGCATGAAAACATTTCTTTCCTAGCCCCCAAAAAAGAGAATGCAGTCATTTCAGAAAAAAATGAAGTGACCAGAAGTTTCTCTCCTCTCCATTAAGTACCAAATCAATGATCTGGGCTTTTTATTGGCTTCAGAAACAAAAGAGCCTTGTTTTAAAACACTAGTTCTCCGTCCAACCACTATGGAGAGGTTCCTCAATCTGCTGAAGATGGAGCGTCCCATATGATCCAGCAATTCCACTCCTAGGTTTTTACCCAAAAGACATAGAAATGGTCATTCAAAAGGGCACCTGCACCCCTATGTTTATAGCAGCACTATTTACAATAGCTAAGCTATGGAAACAACCCAAATGCCCAAAAGCAGATGACTGGATCAAGAAGATGTGGTACACATACACCATGGAATATGACTCAGCAATCAATAAAGATAAACTCATGCAATTTGCAGCAACATGGATGGAGCTGGAAGGGATCATGCTCAGTGAAATAAGCCAGAAAGAAAAAGAAAAATACTGGATGGTCTCACTCATAGCAGGAATTTAGAAAACCTAAATAAGGGACCAGGAAAAAACCTAATTATAATAAAGTAAAAATCAAAATCAACAAGCAACTATAAACCAGAGACACACTATGGGGGTGGGGGGAAGGAGGGAGTAGGATCAAAACAAGGAGGGTGGGAATTGTATGGACTATAACCAAGATAAAAATGCATATATTGTGCAAAAATGAAAAATGATGTAAAAAACGTTATTAAAAAAAACAAAACACTAGTTCTCATGTGGCTGATGTTCATACAACACTGATCTATGTCAAGACCATCTGGAGGGCAGATAAAGTCAAATTACAGGATTTTATATATTACATCTCAATCCACTAGGCATCACTGCCAGGCCATTATCTCTTAAACACAAAACTAATCTCTTTAGAAATGCACCTATTTTGTTCACTCACATCCCCTCATATTCTTTTAAGTGCCAGGAAACTGATTTGACAGTCACTTCCAGTTTTCTTTCAACTAAAATTTTTAATGGGAAGTAAAATTTTTAAACAGTTTCTGAAAATTAAGTACAGATACAATGAGTAAAATTCAACTTGGAGGTCACTAGCTATTAATCTAAAACTAACTTTGGCTAGGGGAAGGCAAGTCTCAGTAATTCTAATGAAATCTTCATGGTGTCCTAGTCATCCTCGGTCCCTAGAAGCCTAAGGAACTAAATTGATTTAGAAGTTTCCTTTGGGTTTATATTTTCTTTTATGGTCAGAGGAAACATGGGCCCACTATTTTCATATGAACCATGCACTAGACTTTCTTCAAAACAGATCTCTAAGCCCTGCAATTAATCCAATTTCACTGAGGTTCTTAAAAAAAAAAAAAAAGTGATTCCACAAGTCTCATTTTGTGTTTTCCTCAGTCTTCTATTTTTATTCTTTATTTCTGGTGTTATTATCTCAAGCTCCAAAGCAAACTGGAGCTCACTATCTTACAAAAATGTATTTTGTAAGATAGGATTCTCTTCTCTCCAAGATCTCTCAACACATACTATTACTTTGTTAGTGACAACCTACTTTTGTTTTTTTACCTATCATCATGCATACCTCAAACACCAGCTTAAATGTTTTTCTACAAAATGACTTCTTAAAATTAGGTTAACTTTTCCTATCATGGCTCCTATAATACAGTGGTATTAGTATACTTTACTATTATTGTTTATTATCTGTCTGTATTCCCTTCTAAACAGATCTTGTAGGTCTTGTTCACCACCATAAACCTGGCACAGAACAGATAGCACACAGTGAATATTTACTGAGTCAATAACATAAAATAAGAGGAACTTTCTCATAAATCAATCTCCTTTTCTAGCAGCTAACCAATAATTTGAAATAGAGCTTCCACTGAATAAACACTTTATGATAAATTTTGGTAAATTTCTTAAATCAATTTGATTAGCTAATGATCTTACAATGTTAATAAAATCCCAAGATCACACAGTCATAGTGCCCTGTACATCTAAATTCTGTATTTTAAGAATCTTCCTTTGGCCCTTTCTTAGTCAGAGCTGGTAAGTATGCTTCAACTATTTATTTCCAAAGAGATTTTAAATTTCTTGCTTTCCATTTGCTGTTTTCCATTCTCAGTCATCTTATGTTTTTCATCATACTTCTCCTAGTGTCTTCATTATATGTATCCAACTATGTTTTCTTAGTCCTATATTTTTACCCTTTATTTTTGGTGTTATTTTATCTACTGCACACTCTGGATGTCGCCACAGAAAATCATGTGTTTGTGCAATTACCTGGAAAATGAGTTTCAAAGAAGAAAGAATATTGTTAATTTTCTATACCCTGGTACACTGAGCTACAGGGAAGATGCTCAGTAAACATTGTTGCTGTTGTTGTTTTCCTCTTTCTAAGCAATCAGGCCTCACTTTAGCTTTTTGTAGCTAACCTTCTGTATTTTGGTTTCTTTTGTCTTAAGAATCTGAATTCTTTAAGAGGACTAATCGAGGGTCAAAAAGCCTCAGGACTGCAAGTATCACAGTTTGTATTATTTCAGTTTTGAACTGATTCACAAGTCTTTAAGCTTCAAGTATAACTCTTGTATAATGGATAAGCACAGGCCATGTAGAGCATAAAATTAACTCCCCAAATTCAGAAATCTTACCTCTTGGTTAGTTTTCTGACCTGGCTTCATATAGAAAATAAAAACTGTATCAAAGGGACGACATGGCAAGAGATCCAGATACCCAATGTCATCAAAAAATCCAGGTATCGTGGAGTCAAGTGCAATGAGGTGAGGAGGTAGACGACTATTTGCAGGTTCCTACAAAGGAAGAAAGGAGAAATGATTATCTTTTTCAATATCCTACTTATAAAAGAAATACTTGCTCATGATTTAATAAAATTTAACTTTAAAGAAACCAGAACCTTAAAGAAACCATGTAGTATTCCTGTATATTTTCTTCCAGTTCTTGCGTTAAAAACTTTTAATGCATTTTTTCCTTCACTTGTTGCACAATGTTAATATAAAATAGCACAACCACTTTGGAAGAGTTTGGAAGTCTCTTGCAAAGCTAAACATAATCTTACCAGACAACACAGCAACTGCATACCTTGTTATTCACCCAAATAAATTAAAGCTTAAGTCCACTCAAAAACCTGCACACAAATGTCCACAGTGACTTTACTCGTAATTGCCAAAACTTGGAATCAACCAAGATACCTTTCTGTAGGTGAGTGGATAAAATAAACTGTGATACATTTCTACAATGGGTTACTATTCTATTAAAAAGAAATGATTTTTTTTCATTTTTCATTTTATATATATTTTTACATCATTTTTCCACAATGTACGCATTTTCATCTTGGTTACAGTCCCCATACAATTTCCACCCCCCTTGTTTTGATTCTACTCCCTCCTCCTACCCCTGTAGTGTGTCTCTGGTTTATAGTTGCTTGTTGATTTTGATTTTTACTTTATTATAATAGGTCTTTTTCCTGGTCCCTTATTTAAAAAAAAAAAAAAAAAGAACTATCAAGTTACAAAAAGACTTGGTGGAATCTTAAATGCATACTGCTAAGTAAAATAAGCCAACCTAAAAAGGCTACATGTTGAATTATTCCAACTATGTGACATTCTGGACAAGGCAAAACTAAGGAGACAGTGGCTGCTAGGGACTGGTGGAAAAGTGGGAGGCTGGTATGTGAATACGCAAAATACAGTAGATTTTTAGGCCAGTGAAAGTATGCTATATAAAACTGTAACAATGGACATGGCTATAAAATTATACAACACACAACCACTTTTAAAATACACCTGTTGGGGGCCTCCCCGGTGGCGCAGCGGTTGAGCGCTGGGTTGCAAAGCTGCCGGAGACCTCTGCGGCGCCGGTTCGATCCCCGGCTGCTCCCCGGCCACCGGAGGAGGGTCCCACATGGCGCACAGACCTCTCCTGCCACCCGCTGCTCCCCTCAGCAGTGTACTTCGGTCTTTCTGCCTGCTCTGCTCCCCGCTCTGGCTCTGGTGAATTCTCTCACCCTCCCGCGCTTCTGACTGTACCCAGTGCATGTATAAACAAAACGAACGAACAAACAAACAAATAAATAAATAAAAACATGCCTCTAAAAAAAAAAAAATATATATATATATATAAAAAAAAAAAAAATACACCTGTTGGGCCTCCCCGGTGGCGCAGCAGTTGAGCGCTGGGTTGCGAAGCTGCCCGCAGCCTCTGCAGCGCCAGTTCAATCCCCGGCTACTCCCCGGCCCCCGGAGGAGGGTCCCACATGGCGCGCAGACCTCTCCTGCCGCCCGCTGCTCCCCTCAGCAGTGTACTTCGGTCCTTCTGCCTGCTCTGCTCCCCGCTCTGGCTCTGGTGAATTCTCTCACCCTCCCGCGCTTCTGACTGTACCCAGTGCTTGTATAAATAAATAAATAAAATGAATAAATAAATCTTAAAAAAAATGGTCACTGGTCATTTGTGGCTTTAAAAAAAAAAAAAATACACCTGTTATTAGCTGCAGCCCTAGCATTGTGCTTCCCTAACATTTACCTTTGTGTACCTCCTCTGTAGTTTCTTTTTTCTTTTCCCCCCTCTCCTCCCTACAATCCTCTTGTCATTTCGGTCATATCCATGCACCTTAGTTAATAATTTATCTTATTAGAGTGCCCTCTAATATAAACTATGGGCTTCAGTTAAAAAAACATTGATACTGGCTCATCAATGGCAACAAATGTACCACACATCAATGCAAGTTTTGTCACTCATGGTATTTTTCAGGAAAGGGTCCCCTAGAGAGGACAAGGATTATTCTTTACTACATCAACAAGGATTATGAGCCTAGAATTCTAATCTATAACACCATTCCTAGCAAGGGCTGGGGTCAAACCCTAGAAAAATATTAAGATTCTCTAGTCAAACAGATCAGTACTGACACTAAGTAAAATAAGTAGACTAAATAACCATGTCAATTGTGGTCAGATTTTGACACTAAATAAATTTGCTACAGATGTACAAAAAACCCTCTAGTGTTCAATTTTTCTTTGAAATCAAGGAAAAGAAATTGTAGTTCATACTTTTAGTAATAAAGTTTCAGGGGAAGAGTTTTAATATTTTTTAAAATTATCTACAGATTTCATTTATATGTGTGTTACAGGCCCTACAGTACGCAGGAAAAATTAGAGTTGGAAATATTACCAAAAGCAGTCCCCTCTGAATGCTTTCATGGGGTGAGTTGTTTTGGAGTTCATATTGTAACCTACAGCATATAGAATTTCATTTATTCCCCTGCAGTGTAATATTTAAAGCAGTTTTTTAAAAAAAATTTTTTTCTCATAAGTAAATTTGTAATTCTCATTAAAATACTTTAGCTATCATTAGCTGATTATTTGTGAATATATCTACTCATAAATGTTTACGAAAATTACCTTCAATGCTTCTAATGATAAAAATCCAAAATGTGAAAGGAAGAGGCGTGCTGTTTGGAATTCCTGGGCAGGAGGTGGGGGCTTGCAATCTGTAACTGGATCAGGAAAACTTCTCTTCTGCAATTCCTCCTCACTCTGTTGTTCAAGGTGTATTTCATAAGCAATCTGCTGGGCCATGCCATTCCTTAATTTTTCATGTCTCTCTTCTAACTGAAATAAACCAAATATTCATTTTTTGAAACTATCACAAATATAGTAGGATTAACCTTAATTTAAAAGTGAAAATAAAGCTACAAGCAAAAAAGTAAATGAAGGTAATTTTCAGTGACAACACTGTTTTAAGTTTAATACAGAGTTTGCAACCAAGTAAATGTGTTCCAAGGTTAAAACAAATACAAAAAAAAAAAAAACAACAAAACAAAACAAAAAAAACCAAATCCCTTCCTTATGAAGCTTCAATAATGGCTCCTTTGTCTCTTAGCTGTAAAATGAACCATTCTGTCTCCATTTCCCTTCAAATAGATCCCAAGGACTTTTGAAGAAAGTCAGCAAAGTTAAGTAACTTCACTCTACAAATGACACTACTTAACTTGAGCTGGGTTGCCTGGTGTTTTAAGAACCATTTTTGATTTTCTATTTTGCTGCTAAGAACTAAGATCAAATTTTATATAAACTGTTTTAATTTTCCTCTTATCCACCCCAAATGTCTCTGAACCTTCCTCTACTCTTTCTTCATCTTCTGTCTTAATAAAAGTATCCCTTTTTTAGACACGATCACATAGCTTCTCGATCCTACTGCTTCCAGGACCTTACTTTATTACTTATCACCTCCCCAATTCATCTTATAATACAACCTCTAAGAATGTTCATATTCCTCCCATCCCTGAATTAAAAGAAAAATATTAGCTTTGCTTTTCCTTAGGTAGGCTATTTTCTCACACTATTTTCTGCTCTGTGCCCCTTCCTTTTATTGCTAACAATGCAGTTTATATTCAATGCTTCGTCCTCATTAATCATTCACTTCCCAGCCCATTATACTCTGCCTTCCACTGTAACACTCCTTTGAACCTCCTCTCAAAGGTCACACCAAAATCCAGGGGTCTTCACTTAATGCTCCTTTTTCCTAATTTCTCTAGAACGTGTGTAATAGGCAACCTTCTGTTCTTCCATATCTTGACATACCTCTGTTCCCCACTTCTTAAATTCTTTTCCTTTTACCTAGGAAATCCAAATTAATCTAAAACCAAAAAACTTTGTCCTACCTTCCCATATGTGTCCATATTTCTGTAAATGGCACTGATACTTTCATCATTCAAGCCTGAAATCTACAGTTTTTGGCTCTTTACCTTCCCTCATGAATCCAAAAATCTGCCTGGATCCACCTCTCTAGTACATCTCATGTGTAAGACATCTCATATAGTACATGGCTATCAAAGATGTAGTCCTTCCTTTCCCTTGCCTGAATGCTTTGTGAATTGGTTTCTCTTCTCCACATATCTTCCACTAGAGTCGATCATGTCACCCAAATATTGAAACCTACCAAGGACCAGGCAAGGTAGCTCAGTGACACCTCTTTCCAAGAGATGTCCAGTTTCTTTCAATCAACTACAACCTTTACTTGTCTTATCAGACAGTAACCTCTTGGAGCAGAGTCCAGATCATCTTATGAATCACCTCGAAAAACACTGAAGAAAGGCAGTGTCTTGACCACAGAAGTTGTTTAAGAATATCTATAATCATTCTCTTAACAATAGCTAACAATTTATCTTACTTCTTCAGTGACGATTTCATGCAAATCTGGAATGCTCAGATCTGCTTTCACAAAAGGAATCTTATCCACCTCTTCAGGAAATGGTCGATGTTTCACAGTATATTTAATTCCAACATCATTTTTAGGAATTGGGCGAGGCTCAGGCACAAATAGCTGTTATAACAAAAGAAGATTAGGTTTATTGCACTTGGTGCCACATGTAAACAAAGTGTATTTCTTTGAACTCTGGGTTCCCCTAAGATTACATAACACATTAACTCAGCAGGAATGTGCAAATACTACTGCTCGCAGTAAAGGTAAACAGTCTGTGTACCTGTGTACTCTTTTATTTTCATAAAAATGTCCATCAACTTATTAGCAGTTTTGTGACTAATAAATGGGCTGTGGATCTCTATTGCCCCAGGCCTGAATCTCCCATCTTCAGTGGTAAGTCAATGGGTAAGGCATTTCAGAACTTAAGGCTCAAACTTCTTTATCCCCCAAGGGGTCTCAACTCATTCCACATAATAAAGTAAAAGTTTAGGTCCATGGACAGCTCTAGACAGTGAATTCAATTAGAGCTTAATCATGGCTTAAATGAAAGAGTATGGGCACTGAATCTAGGTCTCTGTAGCTCCAAATGACAGCTTCAAAATGTATTAGCTGTCTGACTTTCATTTTCACATCTGGTAAGTGTAAACCACCCATCATCAGGTTGTTACGAGGATTAAACAAAAAGGTACCATGGGACATATTAAAATCACCAACAGGCCTCCCCGGTGGCGCAGCGGTTGAGCGCTGGGTTGCGAAGCTGCCACAGCCTCTGCAGCGCCGGTTCAATCCCCGGCTGCTCCCCGGCCACCAGAGGGTCCCGCATGGCGCGCAGACCTCTCCTGCCGCCCGCTGCTCCCCTCAGCAGTGTACTTCGGTCCTTCTGCCTGCTCTGCCCCCCAACCCCCCGCTCTGGCTCTGGTGAATTCTCTCACCCTCCTGCACTTCTGACTGTACCCAGTGCTTGTATAAATAAATAAAAATAAATCTTTAAAAAAATAAAAAAATAATAAAATAAAATCACCAACAAACTATAGTTCTCTCCCCCACTTCCTTGCACCCATCACTACTCCCCGGGCCCACCACAACTCCTCCATCCTTGTCAGTGCCCCACAACCTGGAATACCTTCTGATTTGCTTTTGCTCCTCTGGGTAAAAGGCAAAGCTGCTGTGCCCAAGCCAGTCTTCCAGACATTCCCCGGACCAGCACAGTGACAGAGGGGAAAAAATCATCTAGAAAAAAATGTTGATGTAAAGATTTTTATTCCAGACAACCACTTTCAAAATACACCTGTTATTAGCTGCAGCCCTAGCACTGTGCTTCCCAAATCACCTTTGTGTACCTCCTCTGTAGTTTCTTTTTTTTCCCCCTTCCCTCTCTTCAATCCTCTGTCATTTCAGTCATATCCATGCACCTTAAAGTATTATTAACTTATTTTGTATCAACCACTTTCTTACCTTTGTCTTAAACTTGAATTTATTTTAAAAGGAAATGGCTTTAAATAAAAAACCATGAATTCTGGTGTGCTATCTATTTTTAAAACATACATAATATTCACCAACATACCTACCTCAGTGGTACACATACACTTGATATATTCACATGTTGGGAAGGTGCTACATGCAGGAAGATAAACTAGGTATTTGAGTGCTGATATTAGATTGACTCAGGCCTTTGTTTACCATTGCTTGCCGCCGGCAGGCACTATTATCCAGCAGTACTGACAGACAAGTTGACTTAGCATTGGAGAAGGCCCAAAGTGCTGAAACTTACTCTGTTCATTTCCAAGAGGTTGCTCCAGCATTGCCAGGATGACACTGTTATCTAAGACAAAGTACCGGAAACTATGCTTGTTGATGGTTGGCAGCCTGGAGTATTTAATTAAAGTGGTCTCATTAACCAAACTACAAGGAGAGGCAGGACCACTGGGTGAAGGAAATGCTCCAAGCAACTGCATAATACTATGGAGAATGGAAAAGATAATAGTTAACTCAAAGCAAAACCTTTCAAGTTTACCTCATATACCAATGTTGTTCTCTGCTTTTTTGAATTGTAACTGACCAGTCATGCTTCCTTTTCACAAATCAGTGAATGCCAAGGTGTGTTATCCAGATTGCCCCCTACTTTCCAAGACTGAAAGATCCATTCCCCCACATATAGGAAGTTGGTGGCCACAGCTTTCAACTGACTGCCTCTAGGACTTTTCCTTGGCCAACAAGAACCACCTCACCTAAATCAAAGCTCCTTCCTGGGACAGCCCATACGCAATGAATGGCATAAAGCCTCAGTTCCCTGGTCTCACTTTGAGAGAACTCTGAATGCCCAATCCAGTTCCAAAGCTCTTTACTGCACCTGGATGACAGTTTCATTCTACCCTCTGCTTGATCCTGCTTTTTTCATTCTTCCACAGGAGTGATCCTGAGAACGCTTTCCAATAAAATTCTTGCAAGCAAATTTCTCAGCCATTTGTTCCTCAGGGAAACTGATTTACGATACTTCAAATTAGGAAGCTCCTAAAATCTATTTAACAATTTTGTGTGCTCTAGGTTTCAGGATTGTGTTAGCTGAAGCATTCCAGACCTAGAAAAAGACCCAAAGATCAGCCAACCCCACTTAATTTTTTAGATGAGTAAACTCAGGCTCAAAAGAGATAAGTAATCAAGTGATCAGAAACCAGAGTCTGCTGCCTTCTATGTGGCCACAAGAAGGTATTATCTTCATTTTGCAAAAAGAAATTTGATGTATTAAGTTACATGTCACAGAACCATTGTAATTATTAAATGAGAATATAAGAAAAATGTCTTATAACTGGAATTCAATTGATCAAGGCTTAACATTCAGAAATATTTATATCCATGGAGATTTCTGGATAGAAATTTATTCCAATGACTAACATAAATCATACTCACCATGTGCCAGGTACTGGTCTAAGCACTTTACAAATACTGTTTTATCTAGTTATCTTAACAACCCTAGGAGATAGGTACTGCTATTATTTTCATTTTAAAATGAAGAAATTCAAACAGAGATAAAGTATCTTGTAATGAAATTATAAGATTCTTTTGGTCCTAATATAATCTGACCTTTCAGCGCACCTCTTACAGAAAACTATACCGACACCACTTTTATCATCTCAATTGTGATTGGTTTCTCCCTTTCTCTTTCATTCTAATGCCCAAAACCAATTAGCTCTGATAAAAGCAACATTGTTTATTAGATATTGTTCTTCCATTTTTGCTCCTCCTTAAAAGGAATGTCCAAGAATTTCAAAGACCAAGAGAATCTGATTTGAGAATCTAAGAATTTGAGGAAGATAACTGAAGCAACCAGACTAGTAACGGGAATAAGTGGTTTTGGTTTTCTAAAATACGACAAATATATAGATGTCACAAAGCACATTAGCTAGGTGAGCTTTCAGTACCCCATGCAACACAGATCATAGCCAAGCCCATCTCATTTCTAAGTACACTCTCTGTGCAGTCATTTTCATACCATGTTAGCGTGGCTTCAGCAGCATCCTTTACTCTCATAGATGCAGGATTTGGCTCCTTATCTCCTTTGTACTTGACCTCTTGCTCACTGTTTTTGGACTTACTTCCTGAAATCCCAAGTTCCACAATCTCCAGTACTTCCTTAAGACAGTCCTAGAAGCAGAAAGGGCTGATCAGTTTTTACAATAACTCTTAACTATCTTACAAGACAAGGAAACACAGTAGTTCCCATTATCTGTGGTTTTAGTTATCCACAGTAAATCTAAGTCTCTCACAATATTTTGAGAGATCACATCCACATAACTTTAATTACAGAGCAATTATTCTATTTTATGATCAGCTACTATTGCTCATCTCTTACTGAGCCTAATTTATGAATTAAACTTTATCATGGGTATAACAAAAATATAGCATACAGAAATTGGTAATATCTGCAGTTTCAGGTATCCATTGTGGGTCTGGAATGTACTCCCATGAATGACGGGGTCTACCTAATACATACCAAAATGCTAAAATTGGTCATGTTTTGGTGGCGGGACTTCAGTTTCTAATTTTCCTTCATAGCTATAATTTCACAATAATAAACTCCTCCCACCTATGTTTTCTTTAAAGAACTAAATTTAAGTGTTCATAGAGCTAGATAATAAGAAATGATAAACTCAATTTTGTTAGTCACAATCCTTGTAAAATTACCATGGATTGTAAATCATGAAATTGATGTAGCATCAATTCAGTTAAACCTGGATGATTTGTAAGATGTTAGCTATCCAAAGGAAGTTTATTTTTAAGCATGATCATAACTTCCGGTATCATAGCTTCAGAAGTAACTAAGACTTAGCCAACAGTATTATTATTATTTTTTAAAGATTTATTTATTTATGCATATAAGAGCTGGGGTACAGGCCAGAGATGCGGGGGGGGGGGGGGGAGGGTAGATGAGAGGATCCACCAGAGATAGAGGAGGGAACAGAACAGGCAGACTGAATGAAATACACTGCTGAAGGGAGCAGCGGGCGAGGCAGGAGAGGTCTGCTTCGCCATGTGGGTTTCTTTCTGGCGGCCAGGGATCGAACTCATGCTGCAGAGGCTGCAGATTGCTTCATAGAGAGGTGCTTAACCCCTTGCACCACCAGGGAGGCCCAACAGTATTCTTTTTTTTTCTTTTCTTTTTTTTAATAGAGGCATGTTTTTATTTATTTATTTGTTTGTTTGTTTTGTTTTTTGTTTGTTTATACATGCACTGGGTACAGTCAGAAGCACAGGAGGGTGAGAGAATTCACCAGAGCCAGAGCGGGAGGCAGAGCAGGCAGAAGGACCGAAGTACACTGCTGAGGGGAGCAGCGGGCGGCAGGAGAGGTCTGCGCGCCATGTGGGACCCTCCTCCGGTGGCCGGGGAGCAGCCGGGGATCGAACTAGCGCCGCAGAGGCCGCGGGCAGCTTCGCAACCCAGCGCTCAACCGCTGCGCCACCGGGGAGGCCCTCAACAGTATTATTTTTTTAACTAAGTAAAATTGAAACTATCCAATGGACTATGAATTATTTTCAACTCCATACCTTCCTATGAGACAGAAAATTTCTATAAGAAAAGCAATCTAAATACCTATGTATTCTTAAAAGCAGAGAAATGGGTGCAATACAAATGAAATTTTTAGGTACAAGCAATGTTTATAGACCAGCTATGCTCTAGGCTTGTAGCATGGCTATCAACTTCCCTTTATGGCTTAATGGTGGGTGACAAAAATGCAAGCTAGCCATCTTAAGGCTAAAATCCTTTCATGAAAAACATTTTTGATTGTTAGGATAAATTAGCCAAACCCCATCTTCCAAAAGAATTTCTCTATGGGTTAAATTTGCAACCAATTATAAGTATGATGACAGTTTTAAGTTGTGCTCAAAAGAACAAGTTTTACCAAAAACAGAATAAGTATACTTAAAGTATATAATATTGTATTTAAATTTAGATATCCTCTTTTAAAAGACAATTTCCCAACACACATTTTAATTTCTCCTTACCTTTTCATCAAGCATATCCGGGTGTTCTGTCAGCCAGACACAGAGACACTGGAAAGCTGCCACTATCATGGAGTGCAGATCCCGGGAGTGAAGAGGAGCTGGCCGACTACACTGGTATACAATGTAGCTGCATACAGAACTGATAGCTCTCTTCCGGTCTCCTGAGTCAACTGCCACCTTCACCTGCAGCATAGTCATATGAGGAACAGTTAGCCAGGAGCCACAGTACAAATTTCAAAGCACCTGCACTGAACCTGGCCTTTCTGAGAATGTGATACAACATAGGAACTCTTGCTTTTCAAGATATTATTTATAGAGGATCAGAGTATTTCAGATGTACTATTAAAATACTCTATAAAAAGAAGGTATTTTTCAAACCACAAAGCACTATTTCTTTTCAGCATACTTTTTCTTGCCTAAAATTTAAACTGCTAGGGTGTATCTACTCATCACCAGAGATCAAAAGAATAACTGGCAATGGAACATGTTCCTATTTCACAAGCTTCCTAATCCAACTCTGTAGTAATGCTCCACAGGCTCAGGGGTATAATTAATATAAATACAAATATTAAAATGTACAATTTGATAAAATTTTGGCATAGTATGCTCCTGTGAACTATCACTACAATCAAGATAGTGAACAAACTCCACCCCCCAAAATCTCATGTACCTCTGCAATCCTTCCTCCCATTCCTTTTTGCCCCCTCTCTAGTTAACATGAATTTGTTGCCTGTCATTGAAGACTAACTTGCATTTCCATAGTTTTACATAAATAAAAGTACCCCATATTATACTTTTTGGGGGGCAGGGGAGGGGGACTCTGGTTTTTTTTATATTGCATAATTATTTTGAGACTTATCTACAATTTTGTATCATTCATTCCTTTTTCTTGCTGAGTAGTATTCCATTGTAAAGACAACACTACAATTTATTTTCCCAATCTCCTGTTAGTAAACATTTGGGTTATTTCCTGTTTCTGGACATTACAAGTCTCAACTTTCCAGTATAAGTCTTTGTGTGGCTATATACTGGAATGATTGGGGGCACATGATAGATGCATTTTTAACTTTTGAAGGAACTTCCAAAGTTGTCTTCTAAAATATTAATACCATTTAATATTATAGCCAACAGTGTATGAGAGTTACAGTTCTTATTTTTGGATATAAACTATGTTTGAATATAATCAACACTGCAATAGCCATACTAAAGGGTTGGGAGATATAGAAAAAAGGGCCACAGCCCAAAATTTCTGGGCTAAATAAAAGGACTGTCCCCTTACCTTTGCCAGGCCAGAGAGTAGTTCTAAAGCTGCCAGTGATATGCTCATGTCTTGTCTCCACTGAGAATTGAGTCTTTGGGTGACGAGATGAATGCTGCGTATCAGGAGCCCAGCAGCTGAATCTGTATTAAGAGCTAGGATATAACCCCAATGCCACATCCCACAGGGAGGGAAAACAACTAAGCATTAGTAACGAAAGCACAGCATTCCACTAGGCACAGACCACAGCAGCCACAGTGAGTAACACGGGCACCCACACAGTGCTATATTCCCCGCCCCACTGGCCTGAACATCAAGCCTGATTAAACAGTGCACAGGGCACACACATTGGACCAGAGCAGTTTCTAGCTCCCAGCTCAGGTACTTAGACATCCACTGGGATTTGGCAGTTTCAGTATCATTCTTAGAACATTAAAAATCTTAAAATTTCTACATCAATTTGTAGAGAGTTACATTTTCAAAAAAGCCACTACTGGTTGTCACCTGAGGGTTTTTATAGAGGAAGGAATTCAAATTTTGGAATATACTCAGATGCTAGGAATTATCTTAATGCATCCATTGAAATTATTTTCAGGTTTAAACCATCAAAAGTCACATGCAATGCCTTTTCCAATTACATTTTAACATTAACTCTCCAAGACTACTTTAATACTTCTTATAAAATTGAATAATCAAGTCACTGTTTTTACTCGGCCTCCAATTCTATATCATAAAGTACTACTTAATATTAAATTAGGAAAATACTAAATTGAAGTTATAAAGGAAGCTTTAGGGACATTATACCTGTCAATCCTATCAGAAAGAGGGCAGTGACAACAGAAAAAGGAATGATCATTAAAGAGAGACATTCATGCGACACTAACACAAATCTGGATTTCTTAGTAAAAAATATTTTACAACATTACAAGCAGAACTCACTAACACCAATTCAAAATGTTGAAACAAACAATAATTACTTCAAACACTTATATTAGAACACATGCAATAATGCAAAAATTTTAGTTAAAAAGTGTTTTAGAGAGCATGAACAACAAATACATTTTCAACCTATAGTATACTTAAACCATAATGAGTAAGATAATTTAAATAAATTCTTCACAAATGCAATATTGAAAAATGCTGAATATCAGCATAATGACTTTATGTTATCTGACATGCTAAAGGATACTCAAAGCAAACTTTAACCATAGAAACGTGCCTGGAATCCTAGGCTCAACTACTCTCCAACCAACTGAAAAATTAAACTGACATCTAAGGATCTAGATTCATTACAATCTAGCTGGAATAACACTCACAGATTCAATACACTACTGTGTATAAAACCATAAAGATACCCTCAAACTCACAGCACCCATAATTTAATTGTCCAGAGTAAAGGACATCATATAACCGGTATTAGTGAATCGGACACTCTGTTGGCAATATGTTTTATTTGACAAGGTAAAAAATAAGTTTTCCTTTCTCAAAATTTATGACTGAAGAATCTATATTTTAGGGTATATAAGTTTTACACATGAAGGTAGATTCTTTATTCCCATCACCCTCCCATACCACAGTGCAATAATTATATACTGGCTGACTACTGTTAGACTGTGAGGTAGTACCCACATCCTATTTGATTCTGTATTAACAGCACCTGGTACCGAATATAGGAATGTCTCCTGACCACCCATTATAATCATTTATAAAATCTAATAAACTAGCCAAAATCTAACTATTAAAAGCTATAAAGCTAAATAGAAAAGATTTTTTTTTTCTTAATCTTTTGGATTAATATCTTCTCTATTACATTCAAATACATAAAATATCATGTTTGTTTATAGGTCTGGGCATTAGAAGTTATTCTGTAAACTGTGACTCTCAAAAACACAAGCAGGGCTTACCATAATCCCTCAGGAGCGCCTGAGCAGGTCTTTCACTGTCCGGAGTTGTAGGCTCTGTGCTTCCACCACTTGCTGAACTAATTCCACTATTAGTGCGACTATGACTCTTCAGGTTATTTTCTCCCCCTCCCTAAGATAAATAAAAATGAATCAATATTTGAAGGCTATATTCATAGTTGACTAGTAAAGACTAAAGTCAGTCATTAAAAAACTTGATAAAATGAAATGTGCCAACAGCATAAATGATCTAGATAAAAACTAACAAGGTATTAAAACTGCTAGTGTTTTTGCACTGACACGAGGGTATGAAAGCTCTGAGGATTACAGGTATCCATTCTGGGGTCTTCTTTGTTGCTGTTTACAAAGGGCCAGCCTACAAACTTTTCCATCTTCACCAGACTTCACTCTCAGTCCTCAAAGAATAAAGCCTTTGAAGCATAACATCAGAACAGGAATACAATCTTTAAAATAAAAACTAGGCAGCTCTGCAGCTTTCTTCCCAAGCCTGCCTACCAGTGACTATGCAGGCATCTCTCTTCACAAATCTGTCCCTTTCAGGGACAGCTCATTCTGGCACTTGCGTGTAGGCAAGTGTCCCTTCTCTTCCTTTCCCTTACATAATAAATCTGCCCTTTCGGATATATATAACAACATAAACAACAGCCACTTTCAAATGTAGCTATAGGATTAGCATAAAAATTAACTCTATTAGTATAGAGACCAACAAAGGTTTTCCTCATTTTTTCTCCATGAACACAATTCATTATATTCAGATAGTTTATTATTATTATTGGTCATCTACCAGGACACGAATATAATTTCCTCAATAATAACCTGACCACCTAACCTACATCCTGCATCCACCTATCTCATTCAGGTATAAACTTCATTAATTTTCCCACTGCCCAGCTTCAACTCCAGGTATAAAAATCACATATCTTCAAAACAGAAGTGGGGAGATAGGAATCTCAGGGAATGTTTATTTTTTTTTTTTTAAAAAGAAACATGTTTTGAAGACCCTCAAAGGCATAGATGGTCTATAAGGTAAGAAACAGATGAGATGGGAAAGAATAAATCAAATGCTCACTTATAGCTAGAGCGTTACTTCTACTAGGGATGGAAGGAATTATGGATTTTTAGATTAAGTGAGCCAGCTCACCAGCACAGTGGGGGAAAAAAAAAAAGGCTTAGGTATATGTGTCCCGGCATATGGCTGTATTTAGCTGGAATTTCTCTAAGGCAAATTTCCTCAGGGACCTGACACATAATTGATAAAGCACCGAAAGGTAAGAAACCTCAAAATATATATATATAAATGTTTTTTTAAGATTTATTTATTTATGCATACAAGAACTGGGGCACAGGCCAGAGGTCCAGGGGGTGAGAGGATTCACCACAGAGGGTGGGGAGCAGAACAGGCAGATTGATCAAAACAAACTGCTAAGGGGAGCAGCGGATGAGTCAGGAGAGGTCTACTGCATCATGTGGGTAGCTCCCTGGACAGGGATCGAACTCATACTGCAGTGGCTGCAGATAGCTTCATAGGTTGCATCTTAACCCCTTGTGCCACCAGGGAGGCCCTCAAAATATATATTTTAAAATATATATATATTTTAAGGATCCTTTGGAATCAACTAACTGAATTTACAAATAAAATACCTTTAAAAGCCACAATGACAAACATATCGGAATATAATTTAAATGCAATCAGAAACGATACTCTCTAATATTCTCTGACAGACAACACGTGATATGCTCCTTACCATCTCCATTTGGCAACCAATGGCTTCTAAAAGTGCTGAATCTTGAACAATATTTAACATTGCCCCTGAAAGAGCAAAAAAATTACATTTTGTATAAAATACACAATAAGAATACTAAATGGTTTAAATATCTCAGTTAACAGCAGAGAGAAAAATATTACCATAGCTGTGTATTCCTGAAATTTATATAAATTATTAATAAATCCTTTGCTTGAACAGGAAAGATTCTCTTTAGAAATGCTCTAATTTTGATCTGTCCCCAAAGTTTTCAAACCACATTTTTCTAAAATAAATCTGAAATCAAACTTTGCTTTGTATAGAAACAGAACCATTATATGTTTTAAATTAGCATGAAAGACACATGCAAACATCTCAATACTACAAATTAAGGAAAATATAAGCTCTGCTTCTGATCTTTTAAAAATAAAACAAAAGTTACAAAATAAAAATCATAGCTTTATCTTTCTGACTAGACTGCTTTTTAAGAACATGGCTCTGGGCTTGCAGATTGGCTTCAAATTATGAAGGCAGGCTGTGTGTATTTATCATCAAAGAACTTACAATCTAGAAAGGCTAGGACAAAAACAAGATGGCGAACAAAGCACACTGCCTCTTTTCCCAGTAGGGGAAAGCTCTGGTCCATAATGTGTAAAGAGAAGACAGATTCAACTTTGCCAGTTGATGGAAGACTCTTCCTTAGACTGTACATAAGTTCTTTAAAACATGGGCAAAGCAAAATCAAACACTCCATCCACTGCAGAAATTATCTGATTTCAAGAAGAATGTTATTTAAACACTATTACTTGGAGGTTCCCTCTTATCAAAACACTTTCCCCCTCCAAATGCACACAAACCTTCCAGGTTCAAAATGAATTGGACAGAAGGTCAATGCCATTGGAGGACAGGCTTCAACCCTTGGTCAGTCTGAACATGCTAATTTCAGAAGGTTTCTAAAAACCCAGCCTAGGGAAGAACACAGCTCTACTTCAGATCTGGGAATATAAACAGCAAAAAACTACATTTGTGAATCTAGAAAATCATGCCTACAATTAATAAAATTAATGGAATTTTAGAACCTATAAAATTTTTTACTCATAGATAATTCCAGTCAAGTTAACTGTCTTTTAATTAGATCTCTGGACAAATATTCTTGGCAGCTGTTACCTATCTCTTTAGAATCACTCTCCATTAAGTCTTTTTTTTTTTTTTTTTGTGGGACCCTCGCCAGCGGCCGGGGAATGAACCGGCACTGCTCAACCGCTGCACCACCAGGGGAGGCCCTCCATTAAGTCTTAAAAGTCTTTGAGAACCATCTCAAGCATGAGTCTACTGGAATGGCATACATTTCAACTCTGCTGAGGATATAAGGGCTTTGAATAAATGTCCCACCCTACCTCTGAACAGGATCTAAGATACTGAGAGGAAGTCCAGGTCTTACTAATGAAAAGGAGGAAAAAAGTCTCTAAGCACCATACAGCATCAAGACATTCTCAGGGGTCAATTGCTCCAAAAGTTCTATCTCCCTCCCAGGTTTTTTTTGGGCAGGAATGGTAATTATATTCATGTGGTTCAGTGGGGAGCATGAGGACGTATGCTTTTCTGAGAGCGCCACTGTCAAGAGTGGTGATCCTGATATCCAGGATAGAACTTTAGTGGTACTAAGATGCAGAAGCCACAATGGAAAACCACTTGCTTTCCAATAAAGTTGCTACTTACCCAATTTGAGCATTGGGTTGGGAGGAGAAGAGGACTTGTCTGAAAGATGTTTAAGGAGGATAAGACCATCCTTAGTGCTATTACTAGGTCTGTCAACAAATCAACAAATATTTATTGATACATTTTAGCTGGTGAGGGGACCAGGAGGAAAATAGAAACGGGTAAGTCTGAGAGGCATGCAGGAGTCAGATGATGTTTGAATATAGCACCTCAGCAGATCAGAGCAAATGTACTCTCAGTGTAATGGGAAGCCAGTGGCATGAGACTAGTGACATCTACTTTATCCTTTAGAACAATCACTCAGCTTTAGTATGGAGAATAAACTGGGGGAGGAACGAGGAAAGAAAGGAGGCAGAGAGGGCCCCCCTGGTGGCGCAGCGGTTGAGTGCAGGCATGCGAAGATGCCCACAGCCTCTGCAGCGCCAGTTCGATCCCCGGCCCCGGGTGAGGGTCCCACATGGCGCGCAGACCTCTCCTGCTGCCCACTGCTCCCCTCAGCAGTGTACTTCATCAGTCTGCCTGCTCTGCTCTCCACTCTGACTCTGGTGAATTCTCTCACCATCCCGTGCTTCTGACTGTACCCCGTGCTTGTATAAATAAATAAAATAAATCTTAAAAAAAAAAAAAAAGAGGCAGAGAGACCAATTAGGCGGCTATATAATATCACTGATTCAAAATATAGGGTGGCTTAGATTAGGGTCCTAAGATTGATCAGGATACATTCTGGAAGTAGTAGATAGAACTAGGAATGCTGATTTCTTCTCTCTCAACACTACAAAATACTCAACATTACCTGAAACAAATACTGTTTTTTGCTATCATTTGACTACTGACTGAAAGTATTCCAATCTCTGCAATGAGACTTGCTCCAGAATAAGAGCCACATATTACTCATCTCTCTAGAATTCTCTAGCACATCTGTACCTAGAAACATAACCTTGTTCTTGATAAAAAGTCAGAAGTATAATAAAAAACAGTTGCAGTAATCAGGTTGAGAAGTAATAACGGTTTAAAATATGGTAGTAACCATCATGATGAGAAAACATTTAAGACAGAATCACTATGAATAGGAGACCAACAAGAAACAATAAGGAAAAAAGGGAAATACAGCAACTGCTACTCCTTAATTCCCTCTTAATTCCCTCTGACATGGCTCCCGGAATTACACCCAACTCAAAATTTTTTCATGTACATAATGGGCAGAAGAGAGAGAGAGAGAGGAAGAAAGAAAGGAAAAAGGAGAGAGGGTAAAAGAGAAAAAGAAAGGAGGAAAGGAGAGAAGGGAGAGAGGGAAAGAGAAAAACAAAAGATCACACATGAAACTAAATGTTTTCTTTCCCTCCCCTCATCCCTTCAAATTTTTTTCACATATGAAAGTAAACAAATGCTGCCTCTGAATCACAATAATGAAATTGCATTAGGCTTAGGCGCCCGTCACTGCCTCTTCAGCATGTCTGGGGGGTAACAGTAACTTGATTTCCACTTACATAAAAACAGTAGAAACACATACCTAGTATCATTTGGGTGTTGTTGGGGTCTGTTTCCGTTTGCAAGGCACCTATTAGTATATTCACAAGCCTCAACTTCAGGGACAAAAAAGTTATTGGTTTATCATAGGAAGAGTTGTCATCATTACTAAATTTCCCTTCTAGGACCACCTGTGGAAAAAACAAATAATATTTAGCCCAGGTAGAAACTGCTAGAGTGGACAACAGAGAAGACCATTCTAACAAGCAAGGCTTTCAGTTTCACTAAAAATAGCCATTGTGCTGTCTGTCAGTAACTCACACAACATGTTATCAGATGTCACCTGTCTATCACCACTTGCAATGCAGACCAAGGCATGCTGGCAGACTAACAGAAGAAATAACACAACAAATCAACTTTGATAATTAGCTTGAATAATCTGAAATTTTTTCAAAGCTCCCATTCCAACTTTTAAATACAATTTGACTTGAATCAACACAAAAAGTGGAATATATAAAAAGTTTTAATAAAACATTACCTCAGATTTGACTGTGCCAAAGTGATGAGGGAGGGGCAACAAAGAGAGTAGGATATTAATGGAAGATCTTCTCAATTCTGTTGGATTTACATAGCTTTTGAATTTTGAGAGTTCTCTGCCAAAAAATAAAAAAGCTATTAGAATTTTTGAACTAAATTGTATTTTCAACTATTGCCAAGTATATATTATGCCTATTTTTCACAATTCAAGCACTGAATTTGCTTTCATAAAGAATGTGGTAAATACTTTTCCAATGAGTTTATATTTTGCAATCAGAGAGAGATAACGTTAAAATGTTAGTGAATTCAACTAGAATATGACTGATTCTAGGCCGGGATTGCTCTTATTCTTGGAGACCAGGTCAAAAAGTATTCCTCAAGTTCATGGACAAATCAGAACTGAAGGAGTTCAGAGGTAAGATGGATCTAAATGTTCTATACTTATTTAATGTGGCCTGAGTTTCCTTAGGCTATGAAGATAACTGGATGAGATCAATCAGGAAACAGTGGAGGAAGCACCAGAAAAGACCAAGCCAAACCAGACAATTGATAATAGAGTATAGAAATGATAGCTTACCTGTCAGGCAAAATGGTTTCAAGAGCTGAAATAAAGTAAGGAACCACAACATCAATCCCTTTCAAGTCACAGCAGAACAAAGGAGGGGAGTTTAGAATAACGCTGGCCAAGACAGGATGGCACACATAATCATTTATCTGCAAACCTTGAATTAAAAGCATGTAAAATCTAGGAAAGCAAGAAAAAAATTTTAAACAAACTGCTGATCAATTGCTCTCATAATTATCAATATATTCTATAGTTATCTGAAAGTGTATTTCCACTTTTCATGATTTCTATTCCTTAAAAGCATTATTGGAGTGAGGACAATTCAGAGTTAAATATACTAAGAACCAAATTATCTTTCCTAATAGAAAAAAAATGATGTCTATTATATATGTGCTTGAAGTTTTAACCCTTGCAACTCAAAGTTACAGGTGCCAGCAAACGAAGCAACCAAAACCAAACCAAACAAATGGCTGCAGTAATTATCAATAAATGGAGGAATTACGTAACTGAATTCCATGTCAATAAAATTTGGTAGAATTTTACAATTCCCGAAAAAAAAAAAAGTGTTTTTCTGTGCCTTTTCTCTCTTTCCCCATTATTTTGGGAAGACAGTGAAAGAATGAACCCTACATTCATCATGATACAAAGGTCACTGAAAGACAGGTCTTTTTAGAAATCTACCTGAGTATATCTTACGTTTAGCCCCCTCCCTTAATTTTCAACAAGTAAGCATTCCAACTCCCACCATTCAAGAGCAACTATATCGGTACACTCTTCTACCAAAAAGCATTTTGCCCTACAAAATTCTTCAGAAACAACTTCCTCACCTGCTGGGCACTGCTCAAACCATTTCAACGTATCTTGTCCCTAGAACTAAGTATGTAATAACCAATGGCATCTCAACCATTAAATCCAGGAGACAAATCTACTATTCTGCTTTTTTAAAGCTCTCCATCCTCCTTTTACTCCTTTTTCTTATTTTTCTCTCAGCTCTACAGTTATTTCCTTTAATAGATCCTCTCACTCCACCGGCCCCTCACATTGGTATTCATCTCTCAGGTTATTGACTAATATTGGTGAACCTTACTTCTCAAAGCTATCTCTTCCACTAGTCTAGTTTTAACACTACTTGAGCTGCAGAATATAATCAAACCAGTCTCCAGCTCACACCTCTCAAATGAATTCCAGATCTAGCAACCAAAACTTTATTGTGTATCTAATGGCAGGACATGTCCACTTACTACTCCAGTAGTCCCTGTGCACAGCACCAGGCACAAATAGGAACTTAATAAATACCTGTTGCTAAGTATCCAAAAGGCGTTGCAAATTTAATAGCTTCAAAACTAAACATCATTTGTCCTCTCACAAATCTGCTCTTTTGGTTGGTCATACTACCACACATACAGTCTTACAGGCCAGAGAGAAAGCTCACATTCACAGCCTTCTCTCTCACTAACACCATGTGGAACATCTCCCCCAACCATAGTCTCTCTCCTGAGAAATGTGCCCCAACTGCAAGGACTGAGCGCCAGCACTCCATGTGATCCCTCACAGCCATAGCCAGCTAGACTAGAGACAGTCACTCAATCAGATCTTTCCCAGCAATCTGAAACTAAGAATCAAAGATGCTCCTTGGTCTGCTGGTCATCTAGACCAGGGTCATGGAAACTGGGAACTTAGAAGCATATTGCAATAAAGAAAAATAATATGCAAAGAAGAGAAGAATTAAACAGTTCTGGGAGACCATGAACATATAAAAACAGAAAGAGGGAATATGGTTTTGATCCTTGAACACTCTAGTCCCTGCCATTTCTGAGCACTGCTGCCCATTCTGATCTCAGCATATATTTAATAGCACTACTTTCTTGTAACTAATTCCCCTGTGCTTAAGTCACATAGAGAGGATTTTCCTGTTACTTACAGTCAGGAGACTATGGTTTAGATAACCCTGATTAGTTTACTGCCTGTACCATCCTGTTTTATGCCTATTTGTTTTTGCACTTGGTTCCCTCTGAGAGGGTCAATTTAATTCTCTATCCTAAGAACCTACCAGGTACACAAACACCTGAATGCTCTTGTTGATATTAATATCACTTCAGCAGCTATGCAAATGATCAACTCAGGAGCACAAAATAGAGTGAAAAAAAAAAAAAATAGGAGACCATTACAAGTTAATTTAGGAAACAAGTAACAAAGCCTGAAGTGTCATAGTGGGAACAGAGTGGAGAGATTAAAAAGAGGATTAAATACCAGAAAGGCAGGAGCTGGCTAACCAACAAAAGATACAGAAGGAGTCTAAAATGACTCCTACTCTCTGGCCTGGGCAACTGAATGGATGGCAGGGAAAATGGCTGAAGTCAAAGATTTGGATAAGATGATCCTGCTCAACTTGCTTACACAGTCTAAATACAACCCATCCTTTACAAATTCAACACAACCATCCAATCCTCTGTAACTCATTCCTGGGCCCCTAGAGAATGTGTTGCTTCTTCATCTGCATGCCCATAGTACTTTAACTGTGACTCTCTCTATCAGATCATTATTACTTATGTACCTGGCTTTACTCACTCGAGAAAGTAAGTTCCTTGGAGGCAGGATTTACAGCTAGTACAGTGCCTGATCCTGTGTTCAAATTTATAAAATATATTTTTAAAAGGTGGCCCTTCCAACTCTCTCCATAATGAAAGTAAAATAAGATAGAATAAATAATACTTCTAAAATAAAAATATTCTGATGAGGCAGGTAAAATGGAAGAGTCCAAATAAAATTTTTGATTACTTACTGACATTTGCAGGTATTTCAGACCAACATTTACTTATCAATTCAGCCTACCAAGCCATACTACAATAGACAGCCAATACTATCAAAAGTACACAAATGGAAGAATAAACAAAAAAATTCTAAGACCTGGATAAATAAGCTGGCAGAATCTCTTCTCCAGTCTTCTTGCTACAAAAAATCCTACATAGTGTCCCACAAGCCTCAGCTCTTCCTGCTTCATAGTTATCAGGAAATTCACTTGCATCAAACATGGGATTGGAAACCATGGTGTCTGTGGACATTTGTGACCCTTTCCGTCGAAACTCCATGCTAGCTTGTGTTGTGATGGCTGGGGAGAGAAAAGGAGGGTTTTATTGTATTTGTCACTATGCAAATAGGCTCATGGGACCCTGGACACAAAGATCAAATGTTGGTGTCATTAAATAGCTACTTGAATAGAATTCAATAATGCTTTTGTTTAGCATCTATGTCTTAAAAAATTTTTTTTAAAAAAGGGCTCTCTTAAATCTTCTTTGAAAATGGTTAACAATTAATTTACAGTGGTACTCTCAGTTTAACAGATTCTACAAGAAGCATTTCTCAACTGAATTTTTGGTTAGCAGAGTACATTTGTATGTATCTGTATTACGATACAGATATACAAGACAGAATTTGGCTTTTCTATGATTTATTCTGTTTTTTTCCTCCCCTTTGGAATGATGTTTAAACATTAAGAAAAACAGCTATTGCAATTTATACATAACCCCAGAGAGACATCATAATTGCATGGGCAATCCCATGCCAGTTTGTATACTTTAGGGAGAGGGCAAGAAAAGGCTGAAAAATGGGTGAGGAGGAAGAGAGCATTCCCACTGCCCACCCAACTCCAAAACACACACCAAAAAATCACCCAACCAAGCAAAATGAGAATGAATTTTAACAACCACAGACAGCAGCTAACTTAAGGTTGATAAATTAGAAAATTGGAATTGGTAAGAAGGATTATCATGATCATTCAAGTCACTGAAACAAAAGCCCTTTGAAAGTTGCTTTTATTTTTAACAAAAGATTTCAGTGTATTGAAAATCACTCTGAAATCTTTTATCACTCTACAAAAAATATTTAAATTATTTTGTAATAATATATTTAATAGAATACAGAGTCAAGCATAAGTCTTTATGCAACTTCCCATGAGCCATTTTTAGTCCTGAATAAGTTACCCAGCAATAATACATTTGAAAAACACTACATGCAGAATGCATACAAATCAAACACTAAATCTGTATAAAAATAAGCTTAAAAGCTTAAAAAAAAAAAAAAAAGCCAAAACACAGTTAGTGCAAAGTCCTGGAATTCATGACATGACCAGACTAGTGTACAGAAATAATGGGACTGATTCAGGCAGATTAATTTGCTTTTGCCAACAATCTTCCCCATTCAAGACACAGAAGTATTTTTCTTCCCAAGTGCAAAAACTACAAGAGACAATGACAATCAAATTTTTTAATGGAATTATGAAAAAATAAAAACATGACTGCAATTAAGGAGAAGCTTCTGGTTCCTACTTACAAGATTTATAAGAAAGAAGAATTTGGATAAAAGATGCTGCAAGATAATAGAAATAAATGGAAACAAATCAAAGGACAGCAAGTAATTATAAAATACTTTAAAGATGGTGAAATTTTACAATACGTTAAGAAGCTTTTTAGCTTTTCAAAAGTTAGATTAAAAGCTTTATGATAACACAAGCTAGTTCAAAAACATAAGAAATTGTGCATTCAGTCAAAAATTATGATTTTGTATCATGCAAAACAATGAACAAAGAAAATTACACAACTACAAAGAATTGGTTTTGAACTGCCCATAACGTGCATTAAATTTTTAGTTCATTAACCCTTCCCAGCTCAATTTTACTTTTACAAAGTATAGTGTACTGTCATGTCAATCTGAAGCTAACTAGTTTATAGACACAAACATTTTAAGTTAGAGGTGAATTGCATGGCAGAATTCCTTGATGGCAGCCAGTACTCAGAAAACAGTGTTAATGTTCCCCAAACTCCCACCACCACCACAAGTAGCATCCAAATGCATCAATCCCATTCAACTATCTGGACATCTCCAATCTCCTGGGTAATGTAACAGCCTTTCTCATCTCTGAACACTAGGGGGAGAGAAGCTTCTATCCTTTCTCCACCAAAGAAAATGCTAAAAATTCGAAGTAATAATTTGTTGTGCACATATGATTTGAATTCTGGTTTCTATCTTTTGGGACAAGAAGATGAGGTAAAGCTGTTACAAATTACTTAGAGAGTGGAAAGAGCTGTAAATTCCTTTAAGCAAGCCTACCAAGGAAGCAGTGAGTTGACCCATTCTGGACTCAAGAGATTTTAGTGTCAACAGCCTGATACCCAAAAGGTACACTTGTAAGAATTACATTGTAATAAAAATAAAAACATGACTGACTGATTCTAGGAAATACAATACATATTAATGAATAGAAACATGGTTCAGAAAACTCGAAATATAGACACGTAAACGTAAGAAAAAATAAGCCAAAAAAGGTTTTTAAAAGTTTTCATTTAGTAAGTACATTTACTTATCCATAAGCAAGCACTACTTTCAAACTCGCAAATAAAAGGTAATATGGAAATGGCAAACAATAAAGTATCTGGATTTGAACAAAATAAACAGAGGAATCCCTAATCTCAACCATGGAATCTCAAATTATATTCCTGAAAGTCTTTATGTTTACAACTTTTCTAAATTTTTTAAGATTTATATGAACATTCAAAATAATATGTATATAATAGTCACACCTTAGACTTTAGTTCTAAGATACACAACAGCCAAGAATGCATTTCTAAGAGAAAACAGAGACTCTTATGGCCATAATATGAGTTTTATCACTAGAATTAACATTCTCCCTAGAGATGCAATTAGACATCCTTTTGTCTCAATCTATTTCCAACCCCGGTGGAAAAGTGCTTTCTTACCAAACAGCCAATACACTCATTAATGCATACAGCACAGTACCTGGCACATAGTAATTACGGCTCAATATATGTTAGCCATTATCATTATTCAACTCTGTATGACAGGCCCTAAGTATTGTACGTTCTGCACTGTCCACCCTCCCGTACTTCATCCTTTACTTCACAGTATAATGGTAAAATGACACATCACATTTTATTTAGACATTTTCATTTCTATAATAAAGTCGAAATGAAGATTAAGGGTTACTAATTCTTTACCAGTTTTATTTCGCTACAGAGCAAATGGTATTTCAGAAGTTTGTCCTTGAAGTCCTTTAGACTAAAATCTGAGCAGTTAAAGACGTCTCTGAAGCATAAGTTTTCTGTTATTTATAGGTACTAATGAGTGCATGACTGCCAAAATCTAAGAAAACACTTTTTTTGAATAAATTTCCAATCAAAATCTTTCATTCTTTCTATCAATATTATTATCCTGGCTGACATGAAGGGAACTTCCAGGTCACCTACTGAAAGGAATCTGATTAAATAAAAAAATAGCTAACCTGAAGTGTGCCTAATAAAACCAGACCAAAACTCAAACCTCATAGAACATACATAAAAAGGACAAGTAGTGAAACCTCCAAAATTCTTTTACTTCAGCTGGAAGGGGTTAAGCACAAGACATTGCTTGATCAGAGACAGTTTTTTTAAAGATACATATTAATCTTGCAGGTAGGAAAGATTAAAAAGAAAAAAAAAGAAAGAAAATGACAACATATTTCTTGAGCAATATTTACCAGTCATGCTGCTGTCTCTGTTTATCCCATTATGAAGTTTACAGTGAACAAATGCTGCATCAAATAACCATGATCCAAAGAGATTCAAGATGCTGTTAACCTTTGGTCTCCGAGGGGCAGGTAGTGGCCGGGGTTCTGAACTAGTTTGATTTGGACTTGAGAGAGGAGATGTGGAGGATGCCTGGTGCTGAACTTTGGAGGCATGAGCAGTACTAACCTATTAGAAAAATGTAAGAATATATCCACGCTCATGAAAAGTCTGAGAAAACAGAACTTTTTTAAAAGGATGGCATATTAAAGTCAACCTTATATGGCCTAACACTAGTGATAAAAACACTTACCGTACTTGTCTTCATGGTAGCCTTATTCACAGTAACAGCCCGGTGCCTCCGGTTATGTGGCGGGGTGGTATTGACAGCAGTGCTCTGGGGCATACTTAACCTATTCACGGGTGTTGGAGGAGCACTGTCTGACCGGGGTCTAGAAATGCCTTAAAAAGAAAAAAAGACGACGGAGTTATTTTTCATAGTTCAAAATAAGCAGTCAGAAAAGCTTTCTCAAGTAACACCAGTGAGTTAGACTAAAAGTTTTAGATGGCCATGGCTACACAGAATGAACTACATTGCAAACCTCCCTCAGAAAGAAAGAAAAAAACAAAACAAAAAAACCTCCTTTAGAGCTAGATGTGGCCATGTTCTGACCATAAAGAAGAGAATAATTATTGGGTGGGTCTTCCAAAAAAAAATTCCATAAAAGGTTCAATCAAGTGTAAGCTCTCCTTCTTTTAATTCCTGAACAGGAAAGTTTGAACTTATTTAACTCTTGTGACCCATTTGATAGTGCACATAAGATGGAGAGCTGCAAAGGGAAGGCCCTGTGTCCCTGATATGGTGAAACTGCTCTAGCAGCCCTGTACTGCCTATGCCTAGTCTTGGGCTTTAAACAAGTGTGAAAACAAAATGATATTAAATATCATTAACTTTCAACAGGTTAAAACAAATCTGGCTTCTCATATTCCTACAATGTGAAAGTTCAAAACACCAGCTCACAAAAAGTATAATTTGCTTTCTAATGATACATATAAGAATGGTACCTAAAGCATTCTAATCTGTATTTTCTTAGATTACTAGTAAGAATGAACACTTTTTTGCAAATCATTTGTTCATATCCTTTGTCCATTTACTCACTAAGTCTTATTCTTTTTCTTAGCATTGTATGATGTATTTATATAACAGCAACAAATACCACATTTGTTGCAAATAATTTTTCCTAGTTTATTTTTTGTAATAAAATCTCTTTGTCTTTTCCTCTGTGCTTTGCATGAAAGATTCTAAGATTAGAATCTAAATACCTACATGAAGCTTTTTAAACATCTAGCCAACAAAAAGCAAAATTCACCTAAGAAAGCATCCACAAGACAGCTGATTCCACGCATGGCACGAAAAAATATTTGAGGCAGATGCTTAAGGCAGGGATACTGATTCAATTCTTGTGGCATTCCACTCACATTCAAGAACTGTTCCTGAAATTTGGGAGTAGAGCTTATAATGGCTGGGTTACTCAAATCCACGGGATTGCTATCAAAAGAGAGAAAAGAATTATACATTTAGAAGTTTCTTTAGCAATAAAATATAAGCACTCTAATTTAAAAAACAGAACTGTTGGTGCCTATTTCTTTGATTCAGAGTTATTAAATCACGATGCATTTAACAGGCCGGTGACTCAAACATCAAAACTTCTTTACAGATTTCTGGTATGTTTACATGAACTTACTCTGCCTAGTCAGAGAATGAGAATCAAAGTAAGACTAGAAGTTTTTAATATACAAAGATATTTTTCTAATATGTTGGGAACTAAGCAATGAAATGGAAAAGCTGTAAATAAATTAAGAGGAGTTGATTTCAAATCAACAGGAGAAAAAAAATTTCCACATGGAGAAAATTTTACTTTAATATTAATGTTTTCAGAACCACATTCCTTTACCACTTAAGTAGTTTCCAAAATCTCTTTTGACAAATTAAAGTTTTACTAAGTTTAATAAGGGGAATGTGGGTGGAGGGAATGGTAAAAAAGAAAAAAAAAGGGGGGGGAATGTATTCAACATCTAGATCATTCTAACTGAAATTACTAAACTTCGGTTTACTTTTTGGTTCTTTATTACAAGGGAACTAAAGTATTTCATGTACGTGAGTAAAATGTGTCCATATCACCTAAAAAAAAAATTGAAGTACATGTTTTAGAAGTTGTAAGTTGTCTGTAAGTCTTCCAATTTAAAGGGATAATAGTGTACCAGTTTTAGAAATTAAGGTTTTTAAGAATTAAGAATTTTAAATAAAATATGAAATTAAGACTAATGGAAGTACAGGAAACTGCTCTACTAAAGAAAGCAAGCTACAAGCTGAAGTAATGTTTACATGACCTCAACAAAACTGAAACACACTTTTCTCTGACACCCTCAGAATGGGAAAAATTTAAATGGTTCTTATTATATATATATATAATATAGACTAAACTTTTGGACCTGCCTGCAGGACTGACTACAGGAACTGGACAGAGCTGTATAATTGGACTTCTCTATTCTCAAGACTACGAGACTGGTTATAGAAAATAATTGAACAATTCAACTTCTAAATTGTGGGACTTCTTCAGAAATTCTAAAGATGGAACTGTAGGGGAGCAGTCTTTTTAATCAAGAGTTAATTTCATGGAAGAGGCTCTGAAAGCTGGATGGAAGTAACTAGGCTGTCTCCCAGGAAGACTCCTTATCTCTTTTCAATGGAGAAGGCAGAACTTATTATGTACACCTTTTGTTTGCTGTGCTTGTCTAACTTCCCTAATTACCTTCCCTTTCTTCCCACCCCTCAACCTATCTTGATGGCTTCTAAAGATGGGTAAGGCAGCTACAGCTGGGTCTCTCCCTTGTACAAGGAATACACACACACACACACACACACACGCATATATATAATTAATATATAATTAAACATTTTGTTTTTTTCTCTCAAAAATATTAATTTTCCCAATTTTTACAAAGTATTTGAAATCAAGATGAGTGTCTATTCATGGGTATGTACTAAAGGCATATATTTAGACAATGGATTTGGCCTTGAGTTTGTATTTTTTCTACAAATAATTTTTTAAGTATTTCCATTAAAAAATAGATTTCAATTAAATGGCCTCTCCAACTCAAGATGGTACTGATAATCAACCTAAAGCACCTGGGAAGAATTCCACTAGCTAAATGGTCAAAAGAAGTAAACTGAGAAAAACAAACAGTGGCTTATAGATGTTCTGCCCTCTGAAATCATTTTTCCATCCATTCAAACAACTCTTAATTTCAAGTAGCAGCAAGTGAGGACAGGGGAATGTGCAGAATATGAATTTCTGGTGTTAGTACATTACAATCACAGAACTATAGTTCATCATGTGGAATAGAGGAGGTAAGAATCTCTAGCAGCAGTGCCTGCTAGAGACTATAATTCATGTTTATTCAGAAATCAGAAAGCAGGCAATAAAGTTGAAATGGACTACATCTCATTCCAGCAGAGCTCTGCTAAATACATGTCTGATACTGAAAACTAGGAAAAGAAAGGCTTATGCCAATTTTTCCACATGTAAATAAGAAATGCCAATTTTATTGGCACTCAAATATTCAAAGAATAGATTCAAGATAATAAGTAAAATTAGAAATGAGAATAACAAGGGATATGGAACAGATATGTAATGAAGTATGGCACTGTCCGCATTCTGGTCAATGGAATATGAATAGCAGTGATTTATATCATTTCAAGGCCTTGTTCATTAAAAACCTCCCACACAATTTTCCTGTTCACTCTTCTCTATCTGCTAGACAGACAGAGGAGCCTGCTTACAGAGCTGAGTCCCTACTAGAGCCACATGTTGAAGATGGCAGAACTTCTGTCATCCTGAGTCCCTGAACTACTATGTGAGCAGAGCCACCCCTTGCACCAGACTTTATTGAAGTTATATAGTATTAAACCACTAAGATTTTCTAGCTCATCTGCTAAAGCAGAGTATGTTCCTTACCATAATTAATACACAATCCAAAACCCAAAAGGTTTTGTAGGTTTTTTTCTGTTTACTTGTGTTTTGTAACTTGTCAAGTTGATTCTAAACTTCATCTGAAATGTTAAATAGGCAAGTTTATAAAAATGTTCTAAGAAATGGGGGAAAGGCCCACCAAATATCAATAATTACTCTAAAATTAAATAGATTAAAAGTGTAAATCTCATGTAATAAATGAGATTAATGGAATAACACACAACCCAAAGACAAAATTTGGCATAAATAAAATGGAACTTAATGTCATATATAAAATATAAAATAAAATATAAAATCTGAAGAAATCACAGTATCTGATCAAAGAACACAGATTTTCTAATTTTAAAGAAAAAAGAAATGGTCACAGAAAAATATTTTTTAAAAAACTGAGATAACAAAAGATGAAAGATACAAATACAAACTGAAAAAAGAGAAAAAGGTTAACATTCCTAATTTTATTAAAAGGTCATAGAGAGTAATTTAGTATCATGAATACACAAATAGAAAAAAGGACTGGTCAAACCAGAAAGAGAGGTTATGCAAGGAAGTCACGACAGTATGCAACAAAACAAAAGTTCCACCGAGCACATGATGGAGCTAGTAGAAAGAAAGGTAGGAAGCAATGAAGATGCACTGAATAGAATTGCTATAAAGAAAGAAATAGCATGTAGAATTTATCTCTCTGAAATTTTAGGGTGTGTTTATCAAAGAAATTTTAAACAGCAAGGATACAACAGAGCCCCTAAGAGCCAGTGACAAGTGAGTGCTGGTCACAGAGACGAGTAAGGCAGTGTCCATTGTCCACTAACTGTAATAAAGCCCTAGAAGAGATATCATTACCCAGGCTGCAAGAAGCAAGAGAACAAACAGTGGATGATCTCCTAGAGTGTAAACTAAGAATAGCCTAGGAGAGACTGATTCTGCTAGAGACTGATTCTGCTGGGAGAGCAGAAACAGAAGACAGAGATGTGCACTTTGTATAACTTTGTTACACCTAACAATTGTGCTTTGGTAGTCACACTCTAAACTCCAACAAGACAATTAAAGCATGGTTTCTGCCCTAAGACACTTACTGGTTAAGACCACAGGAAATACTGAAACAGTACCTTAACATATGTAAAAAGCGAAACCATGTCTGTGCAACACACTCATTATCCATTTCAGGAGGAATCAGACTGGCATCTTCATCGGGAATTTTAAATGGAGGAAATGAAGGACCATATGTAAAGCGTAATAATCTAGAAAATAAAATAATTAATAACACTAAGTTCAATTCTTAAAAGAATGAAAGATACATTTAAGTATTAAATTACGATGATATAAAAGAAGACAGATGAGACATGTATTATATCTCACTGAAATAAAGGTAAATGAAGATCTTTGTTTATAAAAAGCACAAACTAGAAGGAAATTTTCAGTTTTATAAAAGACATTTTAGATTATAACTTGTCATTTAAATAATTTATCTATTTAAATAACTTAATTGTAATTTACATTTTTATAAGTTATATAATATGTATTACTTATTTTTTTAATATTTTATTTTATAAAAAAGTCAGAGAGAGTAATTTAGGATCACTAATACACAAACAGAAAATGAGGCTGGTCAAATCAGAAAGGGAGGTTATACAAAGAAAAAGCTTAAGAATTAAGACAATACACAACGAACAATATATACTTTATTTATAGAGAATTTTTTAACCTTATATTACTTATATTTATAAAGTTACAAATTATTTTATAAATATTTCATATTGTAAGCATTATAAACTTAACATTTATTGTATAAATTTTTTTTTTTTATAAATTTTATTGTTATATTCCCCATACAATTGCAGCCCCCCCATTCTGACCCCAATCCCTCCCCTCCCGCCCCCCACTCCCCAAAAAGTGTCTCTGGTTCATAGTTTTTTGTTGATTTTGATTTTCACTTTCTTATATTCATTTTCCTGGTCCCTTATTTAAGTTTTCTAGATTCCTGCTATGAGTGAGACCATCCGGTATTTTTCTTTTTCTTTTTGGCTTATTTCGCTGAGCATGATCCCTTCCAGCGCCATCCATGTTGCTGCAAATTGCATGTGTTTATCTTTTTTGAATGCTGAGTAATATTCCATGGTATATATGTACCACATCTTCTTGATCCAGTCATCTATTTTTGGGCATTTGGGTTGTTTCCAAAGCTTAGCTATTGTAAACAGTGCTGCTATAAACATAGGGGTGCAGGTGTTCTTTGGAATTGATGTTTCTGTGTCCTTTGGGTAAATACCTAGGAGTGGAATTGCTGGATCATATGGAAGCTCTATGTTTAGTAGGTCCAGAAATCTCCACACAGCTCTCCACAGTGGTTGGACCAGTTTGCACTCCCACCAACAGTGCAGGAGAGTTCCTTTTTCTCCACACCCTCGCCAGCATTTGTTGTTGCTAGTTTTTTTAATAAGTGCTATTCTCACTGGTGTAAGATGGTATCTCATGGTAGTTTTGATTTGCATTTCCCTGATGGCAAGTGATGTTGAACATTTTTTCATATGCCTGTTGGCCATTTGCATTTCCTCTTCAGAGAAGTTTCTTTTTAGCTCTTCTGCCCATTTTTTGACTGGATTATTTTCTTTGTTGTTGTTGAGTCTCATCAGCTCTTTGCAGATTTTTGTGATCAGTCCTTTATCATTAGTGTTGGGTGCAAAAATGTTCTCCCAGTTGGTGGGGTTTCTCTTTGTTTTTGTTATTGTCTCTTTTGCTGTGCAGAAGCTCTTTAATTTGATGTAGTCCCAGCTGTTTATCTTTGCCTTCACTATCACTGCTTTGGGTAATGTGTCTGTAAAGATGTCTTTGATGTGCAGATCACGTAGTGTTTCGCCTATATTTCCTTCTATATATTTTATGGTTTCAGGTCTTATGTCTAGTTCTTTAATCCATTTTGAGTTGATTTTTGTGTATGGTGTGAGGTAGTGGTCAAGCTTCATTCTTTTGCATGTAGCGACCCAATTTTCCCAGCACCATTTATTGAACAAACTTTCTTTGCTCCAATGCATAGTCTTTGCTCCTTTGTCAAAGATTAGTTGACCATAAATCTGTGGGTTTATTTCTGGATTTTCTATTCGATTCCATTGGTCTGTATGTCTGTTCTTGTTCCAATACCATGCAGTTTTGATGATTATGGCTTTGTAGCATAGTTTGAAGTCTGGGAGTGTAATGCCTCCATTCCCTTCTTTTTTTTTCAGGAGAGCTTTGGCTATTCGGGGTTTTTTGTGATTCCATATGAATTTCATCAATAATTGTTCTATTTCTTTGAAGAATGACATTGAAATTTTGATTGGAATAGCATTGAATCTGTATATTGCTTTTGGAAGGATGGCCATTTTAATAATGTTTATTCTTCCAATCCATGAGCAGGGGATGTCTCTCCATTTCTTTGTGTCTTCTTCTATTTCTTTTAACAGTGTTTTATAGTTTTCTTTGTATAGGTCCTTTACCTCTTTTGTTAGATTTATTCCCAAATATTTGATTTTTTTTGTTTCAATAACAAAAGGGATGGTTTTTTTGATTTCTTCTTCTTCAGATTTATTGTTTGTGTATAGGAAGGCTACTGACTTTTGCGTGTTGATTTTGTATCCTGCCACTTTACTGAACTGATTGATGAGTTGAATTAGCTTTTCTGTGGAGTTTTTGGGGTTCTCTATGTATAATATCATATCGTCTGCAAATAGTGATAGTTTGACTTCTTCTTTTCCTATTTGGATTCCTTGGATGTCTTTCTCTTGTCTTATTGCCCTGGCTAGGACTTCCAGTATTATATTGAAAAGCAGTGGTGAGAGTGGACATCCTTGTCTTGTTCCAGATCTTAATGGAATTGCTTTCAGCTTTTCACCATTGAGAATGATACTGGCTGTTGGCTTGTCATAGATGGCCTTTATGATGTTGAGGTATGTTCCTTGTATCCCAAGAATTTCAAGGGCTTTTATCATGAATGGGTGTTGCACTTTGTCGAAAGCTTTCTCAGCATCTATTGATATTATCATATGGTTTTTATATTTCTTTTTGTTGATGTGTTGGATAACGTTGATTGATTTTCGGATGTTAAACCATCCTTGTGCCCCTGGAATGAATCCTACTTGGTCGTGGTGAATTATCTTATGGATACATTGTTGGATTCTGATGGCTAAAATTTTATTGAGGATTTTTGCATCAGTGTTCATTAGGGAGATTGGCCTGTAGTTTTCCTTTTTAGTGTTGTCCTTGTTCGGTTTTGGTATTAGTGTAATGTTGGCTTCATAGAACGTGTTTGGTATTGTCCCTTCCTTCTCAATTTTTTGGAAGAGTTTGTGAAGGATAGGCACTAATTCGTCTCTGAATGTTTGGTAGAATTCATTTGTAAATCCATCAGGTCCTGGGCTTTTGTTTTTGGGGAGGTTTTTGATTACCATTTCAATTTCGCTAATTGTAATTGGTCTGTTTAGGTGTTCTATTTCTTCTTTATCTAGCTTTGGGTGATTGTAGAGTTGTAGGAATTTGTCCATCTCCTCTAGATTATTAAACTTATTTCCATATAACTGTTCATAGTAGTTACTGATTATTCTTTTGATTTCTGCTGTGTCCGTTGTGATTTCTCCTCTTTCATTGATGATCCTGTTTATTTGTGCTTTCTCCCTTTTTTCCTTTGTGAGCCTGGCTAGGGGTTTGTCTATTTTATTGATTTTTTCAAAGAACCAGCTCTTGGTTTCATTGATCTTTTGGATTGTTTTTTTAGTTTCAATTTCATTTATTTCTGCTTTGGTTTTTATTATTTCTTTTCTTCTACTGGTTTTGGGGTTTTTTTGTTGTTCTTTTTCTAGATCTTTGAGCTTCGAGATTAGGTTGTTTCTTTGAGTTCTTTCTTGTTTCTTGATGTGAGCTTCTATTGCTATATATTTTCCTCTTATTACTGCTTTTGCTGCATCCCATACATTTAGGATATTGGTGTCCTCCTTGTCGTTCAATTCAAAAAATTTTTTAATTTCTTCTTTGATCTCCTCATTAGTCCAGTGGTCTTCCAGTAGTGTGGTTTTTAATCTCCATGAGGTAGGAAAGTTCCTTGCCTTCTTTTTATGGTTTAGTTCTAGTTTGATGCCTTCATGGTCAGAAAAGATGGTTGGTATGATTTCAATCTTGGTGTATCTGTTGATGTTTGTCTTGTGCCCCAGTATGTGATCGATCCTGGAGAATGATCCGTGTGCGCTTGAGAAAAATGTGTACTCCGTTTTTTTGGGGTTTAGTGTTCTATAGATGTCTGTTAAGCCCAATTGCTCTAGGTCCTTATTTAGAGCTTTGGTTTCTTTACTTATTTTTTGTCTTGTTGATCTATCCATTGTTGATAGTGGTGTGTTGAAGTCTCCCACTACGTATGTGTTTTCTCTGATGTCTGTTTTCAGAGAAGACAACAGTTGTCTGATATATTTTGGTGCTCCTTCGTTTGGTGAGTATATGTTAATGAGTGTTATTTCTTCTTGAAGTATTGTCCCCTTTATCATAATGTAGTGACCATTGGGGTCTCTTTTTATCTTTTTGAGTTTGAAATCTGTTTTATCTGATATAAGTATAGCTGTTCCTGCTTTCTTTTTTGGTCCATTTGCTTGTAGGATTGTTTTCCATCCTTTAACTTTGAGCCTATTTTTATCTTTTGTAGCTAAATGTGTTTCCTGGAGACAGCAAAAGGTTGGGTTTTGTTTCTTAATCCAGGCTGCAACTCTGTGTCTTTTTATTGAAGAGTTTAGTCCATTTACATTTAGAGTTAATATTGATATGTTAACATCTGTATTTGCCATTGTGTTTGTCTTTCCTTTGATTTTATTTATTTATTCTTTTAATATCTTTTTTTTTTTGGCCTTCTTTCATTGTTATTCGTCCCTCTGAGGTTCTGGCTTTAGGACTCCTTTTAGTATTTTTTGGAGTGGGGGTTTAGTTGCAATGAAATTCCGGAGTTTCTGTTTGTCTGGGAAGGTCCATATTCTTTCTTCAAAGAGGAAGGAGAGCTTTGCGGGATAGAGTATTCTTGGTTGGCATCTGTTTTCTTGGAGTCTGTTGACTATGTCCCTCCACTCTCTCCTTGCCCGTAGTGTTTCTTCGGAAAAGTCTGATGTCAGCCTGATTGGCTTTCCTTTGAATGTTATCTGTTTCTTCCCTCTTGCCAGCTTCATTATTTTTTCCTTGTCCTGGATTCTTGGGAGCTTTACTATTATGTGTCTTGCTGTATTTTTTCTTTCGTCGTGGAAGTTTGGTGTTCTTCTTGCTTCTTGTATATCAATTTTCAGCTCCTTCTTCACATTTGGGAAGTTCTCTTCAATTATCTCTTTGAATATTTTCTCTGTTCCTACTTCTCTCTCCTCTCCTTCTGGTATTCCTATAACTCTTATATTTCCTTTCCTCATGGAGTCAGATAGTTCCCGAAGTCTTTCTTCATTCTTTTTCCTTCGTACTTCTCTTTCCTTTTCTGTTTTGGTTCTTTTTATTTCTGTGTCTTCAAGAGCACTTATTCGTTCTTCCATTTCATCAATTCTGCTTTCATTGCTTTTCCCAGAATTCTTTAGTTCTTCCACTAATTCTTTGATCTCCTGCATTTCTTTTACTTCCCTCTTTAGGGACTCAATTTCATTCTTCTGATCGTTGATTATTTTTCCCTTATCATTGTTTTCCTTTATGACTTCTGTCAGTTTTTTAATCACGGCAATTTTAAATTCTCTTTCTGGAAGGCTCAGAAGTTCTTCCAAGTTACTGTCGTTGCAATCTGGGGGCTGGTTTTCTTTTTGTGGTGTGCTTTTTCTCTGGAGAGTTGCTAGGTTGCGTGTGGTTCTTCTCCTCCCTACTGTCTGTTTTCTAATTTGCCGTATGCGTTGGGACACTGTGTTGTTGGGACTGGCCGGCATCTTGGGTGGGCTTCTCTTCTCCCCTCTGGTTCCTCCAGGAGTCATCGGCAGCCCGGGCTGTGTGCGTGTCTCCCGGGGTCTTTGTTCTTCTCTAATGGCGCCCGGAACCGTTCGCTCACCACCGCGGCGAATCCTGCAGGGTTCGCCTCAGCTCCAGTTCACGGGGTGTGGTGGCTGAAATAGTTCCTTTCCACTCACAGTCCCGCTTGCTGCGTCCGTTTTTCTTGTTGGCCGTTTTGGTTTGTTGTTTCCCTCCCCTCTGCCGGTCGGAGAGTGCCGCCTCTGTGGGCAGGGGAGGGGAGCAGGGTTCTGCGCTTCCCTCCCTTCTGGTCCTCTTTTATGGCAACTTTCTTCTTTGGGCAGTTTGCTGGAGTCGTCCGTTTATCTTCCATGTCCCGGTTCTCACTGGGACCTGCCGCTTTTCCTCCCTATTAACTTTTTTTAATGGGAGATCTTACTCGCAGCGTCTCCTCGCCGCCATGTTGCTCCGCCCTCCTATTGTATAAATTTTACCCCCATTATATAATAGCTGTATTACAGCACATGTCATATATAGTATTGCATATAATATTTATAATTTAACAACAGTAATAAGATCAAAAATTATGTAATCATTTATAAAACTATAGGTATTTATGAATTGTAAATCTATAAAATTAATAATTTAGTAAGCAACTACATATAATTCTACATTAGTCATAATTATGTAAATTATTTTTAAAAGACTCATCCCACCACAAACTCTTTCAACACAAGCAAGCTATAATTCATAATAACTATTAAACAACTTTACATGAAGTTCAGAATTTATCGTGCACCTTAAAAGTAATTTAACAATTCCAATACCTTATTTAATAGTAACATTTCAAATATATTAAAACTTTTCAAAGCCCTTTAACTCAATTATTCCATATCTAGGGAATTAGATCTTAATAAAATAACCAGAATACAAAAGCTATATATATGTTCACATAATGAAAAACTAGTCATTAAAAATACGATCTCAAGATCTATTTAATAATGAAAAGCAGCACATGTAAATTAAAGCAGAACAAGAATCAGGTAAAAAAAAGTAGATAACACTACATAGAGAAATCTCAAATTGATTATTTTTAAAGAGACTGAAATGGGAAAAAATACATTTAAATGTTAACATGGATTATCTGTAAGTAACTTCCCCTACTTCCAAATTTTCTATTATAAGCACATATTACTTTTAGAGTCAAGATAAAACAAGTATTATTTAAAAACAAATTCATAATATTGACATTCACAAGATATAACAGAATCAAAAAGAACATTCCAAACCTTCACCTTTCACTTCAAATGATGATAAAGATACAAACATTTCATTAACTCAGAAAAAGAACAGTCTACATTCCAATACATGATACCACCTACTAATTATTTGTTCCTGGCTCTCTACCACTACCCTAATCAAACCTGAATTAGATTAAGCCTTTAGATCTAACTACCAGTAAATAGGAAATATAAGAGGACAGAAGAACATGTTAATTAACACAAGTAGGACAAAATCAGGAAAATTCAGAATGTGAACTATGCTAAGACTTACTTTCTTCAACCAAAAAATTAACTGCAAATTAATAAAAATAAATAGACTTAAGAAACATGTCAACTAAACATGATCTGATTCAATGGAATCAACTTTTTGATTCAATGGAATCAACTGTAAAAAGAAAAATAACTCAAGATATTCAGGGAAACGAATACAAATGGTTAACTGATTAAAATAAAGAACCGTTAACAAATTTTTAGGTGTAATAATGGTAATGTAATCATGTTTCGACAAGAATCATCCTCTCTTAAGAGTCATCTGTTAAAACATATAGGGTTGAAATGAAGAAAGAAGCCTGAAAAAAAATGAGGACTAACAATTTACTCATAGAATAGCAATAATATATACAAATCATAAAAATGGTAAAATTATTATTATAAAAAAATTGCCTACTTTGAGCTTTTCTGTGACTACAAAGCTGGGGAGGGAAATCCCAACCAGTTCGAGGACAATGAATCTCATTCCCCCAGCCCTTTCCTCCTCTCCCAAAGCCCCTCAATATATAGCTTGGGGCTGCCCTGGAGCACAGGTGGTTGAGCCCAGAGCTGTGAAGCTGTCCGCAGCCTCTGCAGTGCTGGTTCGATCCCTGCCGGCCTCGGAGCAACCCACATGGCGAGCAGACCTCTCCTGTCTCGCCCGCTGCTACCCTCAGCAGTGTACTTCCTCAGTCTGCCTATTCTGTTCCCCGCTGTATCTATGGTGAGTCCTCTCACCCTCCCGTGCATCTGTCCTGTACCCCAGTTCTTGTATAAATAAAATAAATCTTAAAAAAAAAACCCAAAACAGGGGCCTCCCCGGTGGCGCAGCGGTTGAGCGCTGGGTTGCGAAGCTGCCCGCAGCCTCTGCGGCGCTGGTTCCATCCCCGGCTGCTCCCTGGCCACCGGAGGAGGGTCCCGCATGGCGTGCAGACCTCTCCTGCCGCCCGCTGCTCCCCTCAGCAGTGTACTTCGGTCCTTCTGCCTGCTCTGCTCCCCGCTCTGGCTCTGGTGAATTCTCTCACCCTCCCGTGCTTCTGACTGTACCCAGTGCTTGTATAAATAAATAAATAAATCTTTGATAAATAATTAAATAAATCAATCAAATAAATCCTTTAAAAAAAAAAAAAAAAACCCAAAACAAAACATATAGCTTGACTCCCCTCTCCCCCTCCAAAAAAATCTGTCTACTTTGGTTATAAAGTAATATGTTATAATATGGTCCCATTTCTGTAAAATTATGTTATACACATAAGTAACAGGATTTCTGGTGAACTTAACATTTTCTGTTATACCTTTTTATGGCTTTGTTTTTAAAAAATATTAATGAAATTTAATAATCAGAATGAGTGGGACTGGGGGCTTGGGAGTAGAGTACAGAATTTATCTTGGCTTCTCCAAGATACTTGCTTATTCTGAAAGGCTTTAAGATTAGACCGGCACTGGAAAAACTACTATGCCTATCTTTAAAAAGTAGCTCAATGTTATATGTAAAGTACAGTAATTATCAGACACAAGAAACAGCTTTTTACAATGTATTCCATAAATCCCAGAAAGACACTGAACTGGGGAAAGCTGCCTCAGGTTAGAGTGATGAAAGAAGGCAAGTCAATGATGCTGACCTACCTTGAAGTGAGTGCACAGATGACCTTGCTCCATTGCTCCACCACTGCTGGGTGGTGCCTCCAGTTAGCCACCATCTCCTTAGCTGTTTTCCAATAAGGAGGTGTTGGGAAGCACCGAGTACAAGCTAGTAACCAAACCTCAAAGAGAACACCAATCAACTTCTCTGCTAGATTCTCAGCAATGCCACCTTACAAACAGAAAGAAAATATATTTTTGTCATACTTTTTTAAAAGCAGTGTCTTTAATTCACTAATTGAGAACAGTGGTTAAAAAAATTGCAATGTTCTTAATTTTAAATAGCCATTTCATAGTTAAAAATGAGAAACTCTCCCTCGGTGTGCACAGATATCATATGCAATCATAAAAACAACACAATATCACTTTGAAAGTTTTCAAGTCCCGCTACTCAGTGCTTACTCTTCTTGCAAAAGGGACAAAAACACAGAGGGGAGAAGGGAAAGGATGAGCACTTATGATGAGGGACAGTATACTATGAGTCAGCTTCTGCACCAAGTAATTCATATTCATGATCTTACATAACCCCCACATCAGTTCTGCAGGATAGGTATTTATTACCAAGTATCAATTATAACTATTTCAAAGATGAGAAAACTTAGATTCAGAAAATTTAAGTGACTTGCCCAACTTCATGCAGTCACTAAGTAAAGGAAACAGAATAAATACGCAGGCCTTTCTACTTCTAAACTTAGAACTGCTTCAGGTATTTGAAAGTCACCCTTCAAGGGAAAGGGAGACTGAGAAGGGAGCAAAAGGACTGGTGCTGGGAAAACAAAGCCTCAACTAGGAAAACAGAGCTATTCCTCTGCTCTGAGTCCCTCTGCTCTGAGCCCTTAAACAAGGGAGAAAAGATCTTTACTCTTCATAACTTAAAGGCAAACTTCCATACTAGTAGGAGAAGTTACAAGGATGCATACTTCAAATGAACAAAAACAAAGTTTCAACAATAAAGAGCCCCAGTATGGGGTTAATGGCCAGTCCTATGTTGCTGAGATCCCTGGCATGTCAGTGGAGGGTAGCCCCCCATGAATGAATCAATTGCTAGCCAGCAATACCAATCAGGGCATTACTATTATGGGAAGCGAACACTAAAATTCTGGGATTCCTTTTATTTATTTATTTTTTCCAGTCTGGGATTCCTTTTTTTTTGCGCATGGGAAAACTGGAGTGTAGGCCAAAGTGCAAAGGGTGAGCAGATTCATCAGAGACAGAGTGGGGAGCAGAACAGGCAGATTGAATGAAATTCACTGCTAAGGGGAGCAGCAGGGGAGACAGGAGAGGTCTGCTACACCATATGTGCTCCCACCATATGGTTGGGGATCGAACTCAGGTCGTAGATTGTGCTGAGACTTAAGCCCCAGGCCACCAGGGAGGCCCTGGGATTCCTTTTAGATATTTCCCTGGACACTGCATCTGTGAGAGTACAAGCACTCACATATGTGTTAGTATAGAGATAATGCATATAAATAGGCAACAAGGGCACAAAAACTAAACTATCAACATGTATTCTATATACAATGCTATAACATCAAAACAGGGCTTCTAAGATATATTCAAAATCTTCTAAATTGAAGTTATTTTTTTAAATTTTGTAAAATATATATATGTATATATTTTTATAACATTGCTACTCATTTTTTTTTAAGATTTTTATTTATTTATGCATACAGAGCTGGGGTACAGGCCAGAGATGCGGGGGGTGAGAGGATTCACCAGAGACAGAGTGGGGAACAGAACAGGCAAACTGACTGAAGTACACTGCTGAGTGGAGCATCAGGCAAGACAGGGGAGGTTTGCTTCGCCATGTGGGCTGCTCCCTGGTGGGCCAGGGATCGAACTTGTGCTGCAGAGGCTGTGGATTGCTTCACAGTGCAGTGTTTAACCTCTTGTGCCACTAGGGAGGCCCCCGCTACTCATTTTTGTACAATGTTTGATTCTCCTCTCAGGTGTAATCCCCACAAAATTCCCTCTACCAAGTTACCCATGAACCATCACCACAGTCTCTTGTGCTCTTCCCACACCTGTTTTGATCCCCCTCCCTCCCCTTCCCCTGCTGTATGTCTCTGATTTAGTTTGCCTGCTAGTTTTGTCTTTCTCTTCTGGTCCCTTGTTAAACTAAATCCTTGTTAAAACAAACCCTTCTGTGGTTTAACTGGAGGCTTATTTTTTATTTTTTTTGAAAGATTGTATTTATTTTATACAAGAACTAGGGTATAAGTCAGAAGCGTGGGAGGGTGAGAGAATTCACCAGAGCCCCAGAGCGGGGAGCAGAACAGGCAGACGGACCAAAGACACTGCTGAGGGGAGCAGCGGGCGAGGCAGGAGAGGTCTGCCGCACCATGTGGGGTTCTCCCTGGCCGGCGGGGAATCGAACTGGCTCTGCAGAGGCTGCGGACAGCTTCACAGCGCGGCACTCAACCGCTGCGACATGGGGGAGGCCCAACTGGAGGCTTTTTAATGGCTTGGTAATGAATGGCATACTATTATACAGCCATACAGAACATTTTAAGACATTACAGGTTTCATTTGCTGAACAAAATACCTTCTGTACCTATCAAGTTTTCAGATTCTACTTTGTAATCAGACCTGAGGCTATATGGCTCTCATTTATTAGTTGTTTCCTATATAGACTCTAATCAAATATACTAAACAAGCTAGTGTTTTAATCATTATCAAACATACATTAATTCACTCAGTTCCTCCCTCCATTAGCAAAGTCATCAGTGGAGGTAAAATAACATCATCTTGTACCTTTGAGAGTTAAAGAGCTATTAACTTTGTCAACTATCATGCCAAAATGCATGTTCCCAATCAGTGTCTACTATTCATTGAATTTAAACATGAATTGTATCTGAAGTTCAGGAAAAAATGTGGAAAAAATAAACAAACCTTGAACAGTTGGTGGGGCTAAAAGTATATCATTAATTTGCAGAAGAAACAATAGTAAGACTTCCCAGGTTTCTCGGGCCATGATGGATGACTCCCGGGCCAGTTTCTGAATAGCTCTCAGGACCTGTAAGCATAGTCGGATCTGACTCGAGCCTTGTTCCTGCCTGAAGAAGACAGACGGAATCACTGACAAGTCTTGAGAAGGAAAAGCAACAGTTTAAGAAACAGTGACTTATGGACTCAGCAGGCAAGGGTCCAGAGATGCTACCTAAGCAGACTTTTTTCAGTTCAAAGCTACTTCTTTGCCCTTGTACATTTTGATACTTGGGGATCAAAACTCTCCATTTCTATGAGAGCTTAAAACATCCCTGGGAGAAGGAAGAATATAAGAATGTAAGCTTCACCTCTGGATTTTCGATGTATAAAATGTGCCAGGAACATAACAGGCATTTAATAGTTTTCTGCAGAAAATGAGTATCCAGTCATTCCTGCTACTCACAATGAAGCACAATGTCCTTTGCATTCTTTGTAAAAATTTTAAACACACATTCACAAGAATTCTGCAAGTGATTTCACAATGGTCACAACTCCCTTTGAAGCTAACATGTGCTAGAGAAAAGCCTAAGGACCTAACGGACTATCCTTACAGGCTCCCCAAACCAGTGACAAATGAAGGCAACTGCCTCAGAGATGACCACCTGCTTCTGCTATTCTAATGAAAAAAGGTAGTGACTTAAGATGAAGGCTCCCAATGTTCCCAAGAAATCTTGGAACAACAGTTTTATAACTCTTTGTAGTTCACATGACCATTTTATCCAAATAAAATGGATCAAATTATTCGGGCTAGGACTGAAAAGGAAGGTAAAAGTCCAAGCACCATCCCATATCCCCAATTTCCAAAGGAGACCACCTGAGAATTTTGAGAATAGTAAGAAACTAACTCCATTAATGAATGGGTGGCCTCCAGACCTCCATGTGAAATCCAAGACAAGTAACTAACATTACTGGAAAAAAATCTTGAGGTCAAGTTTCACATATGATGACTCAGGTCACAAAGAATTGATAATATATGCCTGAATTAGAATAGGTAATCTGAGAGGGGTGATCAAGAAACCCAGAAAATAAAGTGAATATCCCTACAATTATCATCTCAATCTTAGGACAAGATTCTCAGATCCTGGGCAGAAAACCAGAGACTCAGACGCAGAAAACCAGAGACTCACACCCCAGAATTGCAAACAAATGACACCACTAAGTTTTCTCTAAAAAAGCCAAACCTCAAGCACAACAATGAGATATTCACTTATGATAACCCAAGAGCAGGTAAATCAGTGCAGGTAAATCAAAGCCATGAGGTTCAAGCATCTATCTCTTGCTCTGGTTACTTGAAGATAAATAAAAAAGTATGCAATAGCCTCAAACTTCAGCTACTCATATAAAAAGCAGCACAGAGTAAGAAATAAAAATATCACCAGTTGTCCTGGTAATAATACTGTAAGTCTCCCAAAGTAATCTAGGCTCACCCATCATTTCCAGGTACTTGCCCAGCACCAGCATAGGAGGTATCTGCTCCTTAGGGGTAGTCACCTACTCAGAAGGCCTAAATTCAGGAGCAATATCCAGGTTTCTAAAGCTAAGAGAAGTAAGGTAACCTTTACTAAAAGTAAATAGGTCTAACTACCAGAGATTTTCCTTTCCTCCCAATATTTCAAAAGCAACTGTGATCTTCAGGAAAAATCTATTCTAGAACAGAGGCAGATGAACTAGGTAGCCCATTAGTCAAATCTGGTCTGCCATCTGTTTGTTTTTTGTTTTTTTTTTTTAAAGATTTATTTATTTTTATACAAGAGCTGGGGTACAGGCCAGAGGTGCAGGAGGATGAGAGGATTCACCAGAGACAGAGCGGAGAGCAGAACAGGCAGATGGACCGAAAGCATTGCTGAGGGGAGCAGTGGGCAAGACAGGAGAGGTCTGCCATGCCATGTGGGAATCTCCCTGGTTGGCAGGGAATTGAACCCGCGCTGCAGAGGCTGCGGACAGCTTCACAGCACTGCGTGAATAAGGTTTTATGGGAACACAGCCATGCTCATTCATTTATATATTGACTATAGTTGCTTGCTCTACTCCAGCAGAGTTGAGTAGTTGCAAAACACACCATATGGCCCACAAAGCCTAAAATATTTACTATCTGGCTCTCTATACAAAAAAGTTTGCCAACCACTACTTTAGAAGATTATCACATTTTTAAAAGCACCATATATTTAAATGACTAGTGAATGGAACAACTAACTGGCCTATAAGGTAGTCATGCTTCTCAAAAGAGAAAAGCAAAAGTTTAACTCAAATGCCATTGATTTTCTTCATCAATACAAACTGATTGATCAGTGAAAGGTGGTAAGGGTACAAAAAAGAAAGACACATAGTATAGTGACCATACTACTCACATGTACAAAAAAAATGCCCAGTAAATTAGTCTCATAAATGGGATGACAAGAAAGCATTATGCAATTTTAGAAGAACCTTTTTAGCCACAAACAATACCCTAACTCTACCAAATATTTCCTGCTATTATTTCCATTTGAAACCAACACACACAAGCAACAGCATCTGATTAATACCTATTACTACATCAGCAACTACAGAAGCCCAAAATTTATGCAACCCAGTACTTGTCCTCAATTTGATTAGATGAAGAAATGAGACAGAGAGATCCAAGAGTGACACACAAAGTACCATTCAGATTCAGAAACAGTGTGATCAAAGGGGGCCTGGGTGGTGAAAGAAGGTTTCTCATTACAAGGCAGAATTAAGGATGAACCAATAAGAAAGAGAGATGGATAGCTAGAAGAAGGTGAGGAGGAGAAGGAGGAAGACAAAGGGGTAGGTAATGATGGGGAAAATTTTTAAGGAGTCTGAAATGAAATGAAAATGAATCTGGCCAAAGTGCAGACTCAAAGAATTAGCAGCAACTAATCTGGTTAGGGGCCAGATTACAGAAGCCACTTCATACAAGGTAAGAAATTTATACTTGATCCTACAGACCAGAGTTTTTAGTAGAGATTTTTCTTTTTAATTCAGATAGTCAAAGTAATCTTCCTTTTAAACTTAAAAGCCAAAAATTTACAGAGCTGATTTTTGGATGACTCAAGAGTTCCTCACCATCTGACAGAGTAAAAGCTCTATCCAGAACTTTTCCAAAAGAAGGCAAGCCCCATTACTTTTACAATAGCTGAAAACAATTTTTCTTACAGGAAATCTCCATGAATGGGAAGAGAATGAATGCTTTTTCTCCACTATCTTCTGTTATTTCTCGATTCCTTATAATAACATGTAATTCTCTTAGAATCGGGGTGGGGGGGGGGAGAGGCAGGGAATTAAACACAAATAGGACACATAACCCATATTATGATATATAAGTTCTTTGCCTCAGGATGTTGCAGAAAATCAGTAACAAACTCTTAAGAGTAATCTTTTGGTCTGTTGCAAATCTGTCCACAATAATCTCTAGTCTCCTTGAAAGACTTCATTCACCCATAGGAAAAAGTCTTTTTTATTTTTTATTATTAAATAATAATTTTTTTTAATTTAAATTTTATTTTTATATTCCCCATACAATTACAACCCCCTTATTTTTACCCCAAGAGCTGTCTCTTGTTCATAGTTGTTTGTTGATTTTGATATTTTCTTTCTTATAGTTACTCTTTTTCCTGGTCCCTTATTTAAGTTTTCTAGAAGGAAATAGTCATTTTAAGGTAAAAGACATATGTAGTTTTAACTTAAGTGGAAACAAAAGGCAAAACTATGTTTTTTTGAGTGGAAGAGAAAGGAATCACAGTATTTTAGTATCAAATAGATGTGAGATCTTAGAAGCAAAGCTAAGTCTTTAAAATGAAAGCCTGTGAAATACTCCTATAAACATTATATAAGCCCACATCTCCTATCATTTATACTAATACTCTTTCAGTTGAACAAGTAATGAAAGTGACTGTTCAAAGAACTAACAAATCAGCTCCCATAATATAAAAAAGTAACATTTATGAATGTCATTATGATCTTGATAGCAGACCAGATAGATGGACAAGGTGGATATAGCTTACCTTGGTACAAAAAGATTTTGCAGGTGTTTTAATATACTTTGAACATATAGGTTAGGCTCTTTAATAACTGGCAATGGAATAGAATCTTTCGGCAACACTAAAGCCATAATCCAGTCTGTATAAACATCAACACAATATTTTACAGTCTCTCCATCCAATGGGAGGGTCAGTCCATAGCAAATTACTTCCATGGTCCATTTTACCTAAACAAAAGAAAACATATGTACAGAATTATCACACATCCCTATCTATAGCTCAACAGGCTGATATAAAGTATTAACCTCTATTATTGCCAAAAAAGTTCTCAATTAACAGTATAGTTATCTAAAATATGTATCAGGGCCTCCCCGGTGGAGCAGCGGTTGAGCGCTGGGTTGCCAAGCTGCCCACAGCCTCTGCAACGCCGATTCGATCCCTGGCCACCAGGCGAGGGTCCCACATGGCGCGCAGACCTCTCCTGCTGCCCGCTGCTCCCCTCAGCAGTGTACTTCATCAGTGTGCCTGCTCTGCTCTGCTCGCTCTGCTCTCCGCTCTGGCTCTGGTGAATTCTCTCACCCTCCCGCGCTTCTGACTGCACCCGGTGCTTGTATAAATAAATAAAATAAAAATGTTTTTAAAAAATAATAAAAAAATATGTATCAAATTTATTCTGAAGTATGGATTATTCATGTATAAGACATAGTTGCACAATACTTCCTAAGCAAAAGCTTTTAGAAGAAAATAAATTCCTTATTTCTAAATATCAAATCTATGCTGGTTTTGACCCTTTAGACACCATTAGTGTTTACTCTGTGAAATAAAAAGTAAATAAATGTCATCTTGATTTTCCAGCGATTTAAGGCATAGAAAAAGAAAATTTTAGGGCCTCCCCAGTGGCGTGGCGGTTGAGCGCTGGGTTGCGGGGCTGCCCGCGGCCTCTGCGGCGCCGGTTCGATCCCCGGCTGCTCCCCGGCCACCAGAGGAGGGTCCCACATGGCGCGCAGACCTCTCCTGCCGCCCGCTGCTCCCCTCAGCAGTGTACTTCGGTCCTTCTGCCTGCTCTGCTCCCCGCTCTGGCTCTGGTGAATTCTCTCGCCCTCCCGCGCTTCTGACTGTACCCGGTGCTTGTATAAATAAATAAATACATAAATAAATAAATAAATCTTTAAAAAAAAAAAAAAAAAAAAAGAAAATTTTAGATGTTTTTCTCCACTTTGTTTGCATATGGCACATGTGTCTTTTAGGAAATCATATAAATTCAATTGCATTCCATTTTCAAATTATGCAATGTTAACAAACAGTATAAACAATGAACCGTTCAACTCCTATTTTGTGGTTATTTTATCTGCTAAAGAAAATAACACTTAAAATGGAAAGGTAAGACCAGACAGGTGAGAAAGGACTGAGCTGGGTAAGATCTCAACAAAGCACTTAACTGCACTAAATGAATCCCAGCTTCCTGACCCACTGAATCACATCCTAAGGGCTGAGAGAAATTATGTTAAGAGACTGCTGAACCACTGTCTGCAGTTACGAAGAATGAGTAAAAGAATGAATGAATATAAAGAGACTGGGGAAACAGTTCAATTTGCAAAAGAGCATGAAACTAGTTTCCAGATACTGCAGACTGGAAAGTTTAAGTAAATTCCAGATAAAACTCTGGGACAAATTACTAAGCAATTATAAAAATAATAGTCAATGTAAACAAGACTGCTGGACACAAGTCATGTTAGGACAATTATGAAGAGAGCTTCATTCACTTACTAACAGGGCTACTATGAAGGCAGCTGACAACTGTACAATTCTTCCAGTTTACAAAGTACTTTCATTAATACCATCTAACCATCAAAATAACTCTATGTGAGAGTGTAAACTAGCTTCACTTTACAGATAAGAAAATAAACTAAGCAAGATTAAGCACTTTGGTCCAATTCACTGCTTTGTAAGTAGTGGAGCTAAAAATTTGAACCCTGGCATTCCAACTAGAAACCTGAATCTGTTCTCACCGTGCCATTTAATAGCCTTCTCCAGCAAAGGGGAATCTGGGTTTTAGCAAAAAATTTAGTATGATGCAGGATATTTTTTTCAGACAAGATGAAGACATATGGTCCAGAGGAAGGTAGAACATAAGTATTTATACTGGTTTAAACACTAACGAGTAACAGCTGATTAATGTACCAAGATCATTTTGGAAGAAGATGCTCAAGATCCTGCCAAGATTTTAATTTGGGGGAGGGAAATAAAAACAGATTATATGCTGACCATTTATAGATATCACAAAGTTAAAAAGGATAACTAATTTGTTAGATAGAATCAGGATTCAAAAAGACTTCCAAATGTCTACAGCAATGCCACCCAATCTCGTCAAAGACTTCAACAGCTTAAAAAGAAAGTTAAAACTAACAAGATAAGTACATGTATTGAAATTGTTAAGTTCAAGAAACAACTACAAAGCCCAAGAGTAGAATATACAATATTAATATAAAATATAACAAAATAAAACAGCAATAAATGTTAAAAACAACTATAATAGCACAGTTAAGTTGTGTTAAATTGGGGAGGGGAAGACAAGATTTAGCTTCACAAGAGAATTTTAAGAGGTTGCAAGTCCCTAATTATCAAATGCAAGACAAAGAAAGATATCTTTGGTGGTATTGTCACACAATAGTTTAATTGTATAACTCCAGATGACATTGGATTCAAGTGTTATTTTCTCATATCCTTTTGAGTGTGGGAAAAGAGAATAAACAAGGGCTACACCAGAGCCCCTCTGTCTACTCACATGCCACCTCTTTCTAGACGATCCAGAAGGATTATAGACACCAAGAAGAGGACATGCCAGGACAAGCACGGTCCTCAAGGTCAAGTCTCTGCTAGGGTGCTTTGAAGAGAAATGCTCCTCAGATGAGGGGCTTCACCCTTTGGCAACACATAGCCTAGAGAGGGTAAATAAATTGCTTCCAGAGCTATAAACTTTAGTCTTTTATCTCAACTAATCTTACATCTAGACTAGGCTTAATCTTTCCTTTGTGAGAAATCAAGAAAAAAGGGGAGGGGGGAGGAATGGCTTCTGAGAAATAAGTAAACCCAAAGTCTGAAGATTGTATAAACTCTTCAAGCACAGGGGACAAAGTTCTAATCCCATCTCTTAATCAGATCTCAGAAGAGCAAACTCCCGTATCACTCCATTCTCAGGATCCCCTTATTACTTCTCACTGGCAGCTTCAGCCCAGTCCCCTGAAACCAAGAACAGAGGACCAGCTCCAGATCAAGACATTCCATGAGCCCTTAGCTTTAGCAAGGGCAAACACAACCCTGATCCCAACCGCTTGGGATGCCATGCAAGCTTAGCTGCTCTGCAGCACTCTTACACCTACAGTCGGGTAAGAGTAGGCAGGTATGGATAGAGAGAGAGAGCTCAGCATATATCAAGTGTGAAACTTGACACAAGCTAAGCCTTCAAAGAGAGGCCATCTAGAGCCGAGTAGGAATGAAGCCCTCTCAAACATGCTCAATGGAAATCTGGAGACTGAGCCTAAAGCTTAGGAGAAGGGGCCTGATACTCAAGTCAGGCCAAAGGCTCAAGTGGAGAACCAGATCTCACTAGTAGGAATTCCCAGGAGCACAATGATACAATCTATCCCTTATAACCCCGACAAACTCTGAGTCCCAATCCTCAACCCAACTAAGGTTAAAATTAAGAAGTCATACAATATTAAAAAGACATCTTTAAACAAATCCTTTAGTAACAAACTTATAGTTTGACATGGTAAATTAAATGAAGAAACTTACTTCTTTGTCAGTTTTTAACAAACTCTCACTACCAGCCACTGAAGGGGTACCTAAGGCCTGCCCAAGAGGATGGACCACTGCATTTGCCACCTCTCGCCCAACACTCTCTGGATAGCTGTGCAGCACACTGTTGTGGCCCTGATCATTCTGAATCACCAAATGCAGCGACCTCCACTCAGAGTACATTGCGCCGCTAAAGGACTATCCAAACGGCACCTGAAAAGACAAAACAGAATTATGTATCAAATTACACTGTTGTAATAAAAATAAGTAAAACACAGATTTAGACTATATGGCAAGATAAAACAGGTGCAAACATACTGCCTCAAAAAGATTGAGAAAATAAAACACATCTAAATGTTTTGAGATGTCCTAAAATAGCCTCATGGTGAGGACCAGACAGGCCCTGGGAAGCTGCTGTCTAAGTACCTCCCAAAGAGAGCCTCCAGAAGCCCTAGAGTTGGGGCAGATGGCCATTTACAGGGGACTAAAATCATCAGGTTTGGTACAATCATAGCATAAAGGAATCCTTCCCATCCTATCTTTCAAGGCAGGAAAAAAAAAAAAAAAGAAGAAGAAGAAAGAAGAAAGCAAAAGGGAGGAAAGAAAAGGGAGACAAAGGAAAAGAGTTACTCCGCGATCCAGACTTTTTCAGTAACAATTTCCAAATTTCGATTACATGTTATAAATATATCCCTGCAATGTCCCACAATGCCCTCAAACATAAAATTTATTTTTCTAAGATTTATTTTTATTTATGGGCCTCCCTGGTGGCGCGGGCGGTTGAGCGCAGCGCTGAGAAGCTGTCCACTGTCTCTGCAGTGTGGTTTCGACCCCGCCCAGCTACGGAGATACCCACATGGCGTGGCAGACCTCTCCTGTCTCGCCCGCTGCTCCCCTCAGCAGTGTATTTCAGTCAGTCTGCCTGTTCTGTTCCCCACTCTGTCTCTGGTGAATCCTCTCACCCCCCTCATCTCTGGCCTGTACCCCGGTATAAACAAAACAAACAAACAAAAAATCAATGGAAAATTCAACACATATTTTAAAAAAAAAGATTTATTTTTATTTATTTTATGCATACAAGAACTGGGGTGCAGGCCAGAGATGCAGGGGGTGAGAGGATTCACCAGAGGCAGAGTGGGGAGCAGAACAGGTAGATTTACTGAGATACACTGCTGAGGGGAGCAGCGGGCAAGACAGGTCTATAGTGCCATGTGGGTTAGATCCCTGGCCAGGGATCAACCTCATGCCACAGGGGCTGGCGATAGCCATAGCTTGATAGCACTGAGACTTTAACCCCGGTGCCACCAGGGAGGCCCCTAAACATAAAACTTATTGACAATATTTCATCACTTGCAGTGGCATACAACTTCTAGGAACACCTAGAAGTCACTGTGTCCTTCTGAATACACAAAAAAAGTTGTCACCTACTGAGCATTTACTACATGCTACCCAAGCAATCACCAAAACAACTTTATATCAAGGAATGTTATCCCTATTTCACAGACTAAAAAACTGAAGCTTAGAGAGGTTTGAGGCTTAGAAAGGTTTGCTTCTTACCCGAGAGAGGAGTGACACGGTAGAGCTGGGTTTTGAACCCACATGTGTTAGGCTCCAGGGATCATGCTCTTAGCCATGGCATAAATACTGCTTCTCTCTATGCTATACATTCTTTGCTTCTCCATGTGCTGTGTATTCTCCTTGACATGCTATCTAAGTCTACCGTATATATGAGATATTAGCCACAGCCTCTACAAATACCTGTACACACACCTGTACAAATGTAATGCAAATGTTACAATCATAAATGCCATACTCATGAAGAGAAAATCAAGATGGTTAGCCTGTACCAAATTATTGTTGGTAACTTCCATTTTCCACTTGTTCTGAAATCTGTTTAGCCAGGAAAGTTTAAGCAAAATACATGGTTGAACTTAATCTTTTGAAAGTTCTATCCAATCTGCATGGTAAAGGAAAGGATTCTGCAGGATTTGTGCCTTCTGCAAGAGTGAAATCATGGCAGGTCTAGGCACTGATGCAATTCCAGTTCAATGGTATTAAAAAATATTTTAACTTCCATAGTCTCGCAGGTAGAATGAATTATGTGCTGGCCACAGAGAGAGGAATTGCTTTGCTGCTCTTATATACCTCAAGTTAATGTCTGAAAAAATTCCAGCTGGGAAAGCAACATAAAGGGATTCTAAGGTGTATCTCATTTGTTCTGTTCCAGCACCTGGAGAAGGTAACCTCAATTCATCATGTGAAAATCTGTACAATAAATTATGAACCTGTGGAGAAAATTCTATCCCTTAATTTAACTTTTCTTCAAACTGGGAAAAGAGCAGTATTGGTTAATTTTATCTTAGAAAACCTCATTTTCAAGTATGAGTGTTTTTCAAAAGAATACGGCATTTGAGGATCACAGGCCTGCAGAAGAAAGACCAAACTCCGTAGCATGAAAGTCAAAGTCCTACACAGATTGGTTCAAAACTGTCTTTCTTGGGCCTCCCTGGTGGCACAGCGGTTGAGCGCTGGGTTGCGAAGCTGCCCGCAGCCTCTGCAGCGCCGGTTCGATCCCCGGCTGCTTCCCGGCCACCGACCACCGGAGGAGAGTCCCACATGGTGCACAGACCTCTCCTGCCACACCCGCTGCTCCCCTCAGCAGTGTACTTCCATCCTTCTGCCTGTTCTACCCTCCGCTTTGGCTCTGGTGAATTCTCTCACCCTCCCGCGCTTCTGACTGTACCCAGTGCTTGCATAAATAAATAAATAAATCTTTAAAAAAAAAAAAAATCTGTCTTTCTTTCATGCAGAAACCCACCACCTTCCTTTCTCTCCTAGGAGCCTCCTCTCCCCATCCTAGTTAATCTCAGCTTCTTTTGGAGTCTGCTGGACTCTGGGTCAGGTACCTTTAGTGACCCCATGACATCTGATGTCCTTCTCTGGGTCAAGAAGCCCTGAAAGCAGGAAAGCAGGAGGGATTCACCAGCACAGAACAGTCTACCCACACTTTGAAGGAAGGGTGGACACACTGCCTCAGTTTCCTCTGGATTTGTAAGGAATTCCCTTAAGGATATCCTGGAGTTCCTCACTCCCCAACTAAAATAAGCACTCTCAAAAAAAGGAAGGGCAAAAAGGGAAAGCTCCAGCAGGGAATCTTCCCCATCAGATGACAGCCTATTTCCACACCATACATTTCCTTTTAAAATTAAACACACACACACGTTATACGTACATATATACAGCAGTATAAATATTACATATATACACACTATATGTGTGATTTCTTATTTAATGTACAAGAATATTGTAATACAGGTAAATAATGGTCTATGAAACAACTTTCTTTTTTTTTTTAATCTATTACATGTTTTGGGTCAAATGGTAAAACACAATTACGGGTCTAAATCCAAGTTTGAAAACATCAATACTATTAGATTTCTACCCAAGATAGATGTTTACTTCTTCACACTTAAGTTTTATATTCATCTGGAATTTATTTTTGTAAGTAGTGTAGGAAAGCCTCAATTTTATTTTCTTCTAGACATGTTATGCTAGCATCAGCTTTTAAAAATATATCCTTTCTCACTAAATTGAAATCAAATTGTCATATTAAAGTCTCACACAGGAATCTACTTATGAATCTGTTCTGTGCAACTATCTGTCCCTATGCTAATGCCATATGATTTAAATTTATTGGCTTTATAGATGCTTTAATATATGGAAAGGAAGTCCCTTCCACCTGCACTATTTTTCTTTTCTTTTTTTTAAAGATTTATTTATTTATGCTTACAAGAACTGGGGCGTAGGCCAGAGGTGCGGGCATGAGAGGATTCACCAGAGAGAGCAGAGAGCGGGGCGGTGGGGGTGGACAGAACAGGGGAGCAGGAGGCGAGACAGGAGAGGTCTGCTGTACCATGTGGGTTGCTCCCTGGCCACCGGGATCGAACTCACTGTCTTCAGCCCCTGCGCCACCAGGGAGGCCCCACCTGCACTATTTTTCAAAAGTCTATTGGTTATTCTCAAATACTTTTCCATATAAAATTTAAGATGATTTTATCTAATTAAAAAAAATGCTAGAATTCTAATTGAATTGTTTATTCTACCTTCTCAACCTCATCTCCTACTGCCACTTTCACAAACATACACACCACAAGCTACAGTCACAAGAACTATTGATGATTGCTCAAATTCAACAAGTTTCTTCATACCCTATATATACTTCGCATGCTACTCCCACTGAACTGCCATCCCCCCCTTATCTACCTTACTCTTCCTTCAAGGCACAGTTCAAATGTCTTCTCTCTGGTAAAACTTTCCTTGACTCCTCATACTACCACTTTTCCCCAGCTCTGAGTGCCTATTACAGGCTGTACATGTCAAGCTTCACATTAACTTATTCATTATCCATGTAAAGATATCTTTACCACAAATGTGTCAACCTTTTTTGAAGGAAAACCTCACATCCTGAATCTCTGCTAGTCTCTGACAGACAATGGATACTAAATAAATGTTTCAGAATGTCAAGGTTTACCAATGGGAAAAAAGATGTTAGGTGTTCCCTTTATTCCACTAAAGCCCAATATTTTGCATGCTGAATGCAAATAAAAATAGAAAAATGTCCATTCGTTCTCAGCAAATCATTAGTAAAAGAGAAAAAAGTATTTGGATGTTTCTTTTGTTCTGACTCCATACCATACATATGACCTTGGACAAGTCATTTGGCATTTTTTTGTGATAGTTTCTTCACTTGTAAAACAGGGTGAATACCTGTAGTACCACGATAAAGTGACTTGGGAGAAGGATCAAAAAAAGCAACATAAGTCAACATACCTTGAGATGTGGGGATGCAAAGTACACATTACCAGGCATGTTTTGCTTCCCTTAGGAACACAGGGCACAGGGTGTCAAAGCAATGAGTAGATAAGTGAACTTTCTAAAAAGATGGGATTTTAAGCACACAAGTACACTCAAAGTGATCCATAAAACTTTGTAAAGGCCATATTTTATATTTCTGTTGTAGTCCTAGTGGTTCCACAAGGCAAATATCAATCAAGCTTGGCCAGAAAAGGAATGTAGTCACCTGTACACCAGATTCTAACTGTTAGGGACCTGATCAAGCACCTGAATTAGAAGAAAGTAAGACAGGTTCTGCCTGCATTACTTCCCAGAAGTAGAAACAGTACTTTTTTTGCTAGTCTAATAAAAAAAAGATACCCTGCCTGTTCCCCACTAGCATCAGCACAGCTCTCATCTTTTATGCCTCAGACCTGCTCTGTCCAATACAGTAACCATATCCACTCGTGACTACTGAAATTTATATTCAATTACAAATTCAGTTCCCTGGTGACATTAGTCACATTTCAAATGCTCAACAGTCACATGTGGTTAGCGAAGACCATATTGGACTGTGCGAATACAGAACAGTTCCATCACTAAAAAAACTGACAGCTGCCTTAGATATTAAACTTTCACTTTTATTTCAGTGCTGACTGGACTACTACTGATTGAGGACACACATGTCCAGGAACACATCTGCTAACATTAATGAGTACCTCCAACTAAAAAGATTCCATTTCTAAGTCTATAGGTCTCATGACAAAAATCAACTCTTCGTCTTTAACTGAGCACGTGGAATTTTTCACCTTTACTTTGGGGATCAACTAGAGACTTAAAGCTCAGGCTTTAAGACTGAGTTTCTTCCATACAGTAGGGCCAGAACTGGATATTCTGTTCAGATCTAACAGGTAAACAAGAGCAAGTTTCTTTAGTACCTGAATTTAACATGAATTGTCCCATCATTTTCTATATTAACCTTAGCATAAAACTGATTTTTTTTAAGTACAAAATTGAACCAATATAATCTTTCCATAATAGCCTTTAGAGCGTAAAGAATATCATTACATATAATGTGTTTTTACTCAGTCTATATACTTCACACCATATTTAACTGCTATTCAAAAATCTTCATTTTCCAAAAACCTCTCCATAATGAACTTCACACACATACTCGCTTTTATAAATGTTACATGATTTTAAGAACAAATACAATCTGAATTACTGTTGAGCAATAGCAGTTCAGGCATTTTGTAATGAATGCATGCTAAGTTTGTCAACCCTTCTAAGATTAAGGTTTTAATCATCAGTAAGCACTTCTTATATCATTTCTCCTGGTGAAAAGGATAAACTATTACAAACAGCAATTCCATTTCTGGTATTTACCAACAAGTACTAACATTTAGTGGATGACAACTAAATACTTTTTTTGACAAAGTGGGGGAGAGGGGATTATAGGCAAAGACCTACCGGCAACAAAAATGTTTCCACTACAAAACTGACTGAGTCTGTGATAAAGAGGCACTAAAAATCAACCAGAATTAATTACAGTTAGTCCCACATAGTGCCTCAATGTGTTTGTTCAACAGCTAGATGGAGAAATTAACAAAGCTTACTAAAGTACTTCCAAAATTAACAAAGCTTACTTGAATATTTCCAAGCAAAAAGAACAAAACTCTACAGACTATTATTAAACATCTCTTAGAAAAATGGAAATAAAGACAAAAATGTGTGCAGCATGAAGTCCACAACAAACTCAAACACTACTCAGTAAAACTTTTAAGTCTGTATATCAATGCAATCAGTAAAACTTTTAAGTCTGTATGCCAAAGGAGAAAGAGAGAGATGAAGAAAAATATAGCTCAAGCTGCTCATAAGCTAGAAGAGAGACATGCAACACGAGCAGATAGGACAGATCCAAGGTGGCTGGGAGTCACAGAGAGGAGTTTTCTGAAAGGATATTAGGAGTTATGCCACCAGAAACAGGAAGAAAAGGGTGTGTGTGTAAGAAGAACAGAATGTGTGCATTGAGTGGAGAGAGAAGAAACAGCCAGGGTTCGTCTGGGCAAAGAACAACAGCACATGCAAAGAAGATCCAGAGGTTAGAGACACTGTAACAGTGAGTTCTGTATATTCAGGAAAATTGTAAACCAACAGTTTTGCATGAGACGTGCACACGTGAAAAGGTCCAGATAACTCAGAAATCCTGCAGAAAAACTTATTTCCCACCCCCAACAGACTTTCATTAGATGCAGTAGTCAGCGGGCCTAATTTACATTTCTCCAGGGTGGAACTTAGATTTTCCACAAACTCCCAGATGAATTTCTTACACGCTTAAACTGAAGAAACACTGAAATGTCCTTTGAGAAGCAAAATTACCTACGGTGGCGATTCCCAAACTTTGCTGGACACTATAAATGGAACTTTACAAAAACACGGACGTCTGGTTTCCAGTACCCGCCTCCCACCCCCCGCAAACCTTCTGATTTAACTGGTCTGGGTGTGCTACGTGGGCACAGGGAATCTTTAAGAGCTGCCCCAAGTGATTTTTAATGTGCCGCAAAGTTGGAGCCACTGACCTACTTGTAAAGAACTTGACTCTGGAGTCAGACACCCTGGGTTCAAATTACCAGCTATGTGACCTTGGGCAAGCAAGTCACCGAGCCACTCGGGGCTTCGGTTCCCTCGTCAGTAAAATGGGGAGAACACTCCTACTTACAGGCTTGTTGTGAAGTTAGATGTGGTGAACGTAATGGCCTGGCACAACGCCGGGCGCGTAGTAAGCGCTTAACAGGGGTTAGTTGTTTATTCCCATGATTAACTCTTGCTCACCCGAGAGGCACTGTGCAATGGGCAGCATCGCCCCACGGGCGGCAGCAACTCCACCAGCCCTTTCCGCTGGACCAGATTCCCCGCTCCAGACCCGCCCCCTCCCCCGGGCGGCCCGGACCGAGCCTCGCCCCGCTGGGGCAGCTCCCCAGGGCGAGACCGGATTTGCACAGAGCCGACAGAAGCCGCCGCCTCCAGGACCAGGCGCTCCCGGACCCTGCGGGTCCCTAGAAGACGGCCATACACTTCCGCAGGTCGGGTCCCCGGAGCGCACGGGGCGGTGATACCAGGTTCAGCCGCCCTGAGACCGCCCGAGGGGAGGGAAGGGGAGGGTCCGGCCCGGACGGGGAGGACCGCCCGGTTACCTGAGGCGACGGGCGGGGCCCGCATCGCTGGGGCGGGCGCCACCGCCGCCGGCCGCTCTGGGCCTTCCGCCTCACGCGACCCGCGCCATAGGACCGGCGCTTTCGCTGGCCCGGCCGGCTTTCCTCAGGCGGTCGGTCAGTCCACCCGTCAACGAGTCTCCGAGGGCGCCCGGGGACGACGAAGGCAGGTCGGGGCCGGCCGGCAGGGCTCTGCTCAGACAACTTCCGATTGCCAGAGATGGCAGCGTCAAATAACTCCCCGAACTGAGTGGGCCACTACGCATGCGCAGCGCTCCAGCTCAGCGATTTCTCCGGGGCCGAAGCGGCAGCGTCAAATAATTCCCGAGAGTCGGAGCCGGAAGCTGCGCGTACGCAGATATCCCAGATAGCCGCGCGGCGCCCCAGCCTCCTCCCTTTCCGGATCAAGTGCAGGGGGTGGAGTGAAGGGGTGGGTTCAGCTACCTCATCGCGGCTCAGCCGGGGGCTCGCTCTGCCTGCGACCGGCTGAATCCACCTACCCTGCCTGTGTTAGGAGCGGACGGAGCAAGGGGCTGCTCTGGAAGGTTGTGGCTCCCACACAGGTTCTAGAGTTTCTCACATCCCACCATTGCAAACCCTCCTTTAAAATATTGTCCTTTACCCGCCGCCCCCTTATTACATGGATATACCTTAATTACGAACGATGCTCAATTCCAGGCTAGGTGTGAGTTACAATGAATGAATCAGACATTACGTGCAGAACCGCCTTAAAGAGCTGAACCTGATATAAGCGATAAGACAATAGTAATAATAATAGCAAGAGATACCAGTTTGAGCAGCTACAATGCACCACGCATTTTGTAAACAATACCACTTCAATCATTTGGTTTCAACTTTTATGAAGAGGATAATTTAGATGTACATTAGAGATGTACAGCTCAAGTGCCTTGGCAGTGTAAAGGAGGAAACTTGGACTGAGAGGAGGAAGGAGGACTTGGCCTTCAGACTGTCCTTGATATTCAAACAAGGGATAAGGATTTCCATGGTGCTGCAGGCATTGTCTGAAAAGAGCAGAAGGGAGCAAAGAAAATGCTGGCTTCTTCCCTTCAGTTAGAAGAGACCATGGAGGAAAGAGTGACAAGGGATCTGCAAAAGAGAAAAGGGCTTTCTCAAGAGCTCTCTTTCAACCCTTCAACCCCACTCTCTCCCCCAGGAAGGTAGCTTGTGGTGGTAAGAGACACAAAGAGTAAAACTGTTCCAGGACAGGAAGAGGCTATATCCAGGACACTGGATTGAAGCAATACATTTCAATTAAATTCAGTATTAAAAATATTGTTAGAGGCTCATTCAATATCTATTCCAACCATTTACTTCTTGACTTTCTAAGCAAGAGGGTAAAAAACAAAGCAATCTCTCTTGCATCTCTTCTCTGATGTGAATAATGCTCCTGTGAGTTGTACAGGCACACAGCCCATGTAACGTGGCAGTGCTGCCTCCTCCCCTCAGTGGAAGATGGGTGCAGAAATGGGTGCAGTGTGCCCTGGTGTAAGCCTGGCATATGTCCCTCACCAAATACAAAAACAAACAGTGAAAGTGAATTAAGAACAAGTCCACAGAGAGAGAGAGAGGCCTGGTGGGATTCCAATGCCTGGTATTTGTTGTCTTGGGGGGGCAGGGGCAGCTTGAAATCTGCCCAGCTTGAACTCTGTATTTGTTCATGTATATGTACAAATATATATATTTGTAATATATATTACATATATATTTTTATTATGTTAGGTTTTAAATTCCATATGGGGTTGCACTATGTTTCCCTGGGACAGTGCTCTAGACTATAAGCTCCCTGAGGCCCCTTCTGTTTTGTTCAGGGCTGTTTACCCAGCTTAGAGCAAGGCCCAGCTCATAGTGACTGTTCATAAATACCTGGATATGAATGAATAGAAGTTGTTATCTGTATACTTGTATGATCCCCTTGAGGGAAGGAAATTCCTTATTCGTCACTGTATCCCTAGTCTCAGTACAGTGCCTGATAATGTTTTTTGAATGGACTAATGAACCTTTGTTCTTCAGGTCTCCATTCTCTGGCTTGATTCTGTGTATGGTGCTTACCAGCTGCTTCACCAGAGCCTCTAGTCATGGGCATCGATTTCCTGACAGAATCGTGACTCTTCTTGACCCTAATCCTGATTCTTGGGCCACCTCAATAATACTGAAGTTTCTTCCAGTTCAGAAGACTGGGGATGACTCCTGTTTAGACTTCACAGTAATGAGAGAACCACATGGTATTTTGGAATTGACTGAAACATGCCTATTGTCTCTGTACATTTCAAGTTCACAGCTCAAGTCTCAAGATTGTTGACTTAGATGAAGAGTATTGTAGAAAGACTGGAAAACAGGCAATAATTTGAAGCAGATGGAGGGAATAGTAAAATTTCCTAATTTCCAGTTTCCCCCTTACAAACACAGATCTGACAGCCTGGTGTGTTCATGCTATTTATGAAATCAATCTGCCACATTTCTCACTACTGAGCCAGCCACTCATGAGAAGAGAGACAGGTCTCCTAATTTCTCAGAGCCTTGGTTTCTTCATTTGTAAAATGGAGGACAATTAAATCTACCTCACTGGTTGTTGTGAAGATTAAGTGGGGTAATTATATATCCAGACTTAGTACAGTGCATGGTATTTAATAAAAGCTCCATCAGTGACTTGATGATTAACACCAGCCCCCCTGGGATTCTGCAAATTAGACACAAGAAAGTCTTTGTGGTGTCACGTCAACAGATGAATCTCTATCATAATGCCATTTATATTTGTTCTTCATTTTAATTATCAACAAGTCAGACATGCTCATGAAATAAAAATAGCAGAGATTTATCGAGCACTCAGTGTGAGGGCAGGTGCTGTGATACGCATTTAATGTACATCATTTTATTTTTTTTTTAAAGATTTATTTTTATATACAAGAACTGGGTGTAAGCCAGAGGTGTGGGGAGGCGGGTGAGAGGATTCACCAGAGCAGGGAGCAGAACAGGCGGATCTATTGAAATACACTGCTGAGGAGAGCAGTGGGCAAGGCAGAAGAGGTCTGCTGCTCCATGTGGGTTGCTCCCTGCTGGCTGGGGATGGAACTTGTGCTGCAGTGGCTGGTGATAGCTTGATAGCTCTGTCTTTAACCCCTGTGCCACCAGGGAGGCCCCCAGCATCATTTTAGTCCTTACTGTTTGGGGTAGGTGCTATTCTGATGGCCAAATCACAGAGCCAGGAACTGAAGTTCAAGTAGGCAAGAGAAAGTGCTCCAGGCCCCAGCGCAATTAAGGAGCAAGAACAAAACTCAATAAGCTATTCATGATTTTACTAGGGCTGCTTCTCAGACCAGGTGGAGTTGAGTGGCCTGGGGACAGGGCCGTTGTCACAGGGCATAGGGGCCTTGTTGAGCTATTCTTGGTGCATGCTATCAAGGTCACCGCTGGCCTCATTTGTCATCCCCAAATGCTGTTGGGGTTCCTTGCATGTGTCAGTCTCCATGCTGGTAAGTAAGGCTATTAAGAGCAGAAACTCGTTTAGCCTCTTCTGTAATGATAAGGTGGAGGTGAATGGAAGGTCTCATAAAGAAAAAGGAAGCTAGGAGTTTTGGTCATGTGGCCATGCTTATAAAAATTCAGGGAAGGGCCTCCCTGGTGGCGCAGCAGTTGAGCGCTGGGTTGCGAAGCTGCCTGCAGCCTCTGCAGTGCAGGTTTGATTCCCGGCCTCCAGGCGGGGGTCCCACATGGCGCGCAGACCTCTCCTGCCACCCGCTGCTCCCCTCAGCAGTGTTTACGTTCATTTGCCTGTTCTGCTCTCTGCTCTGGCTCTGGTGAATTCTCTCACCCTCCCGCGCTTCTGACTGTACCCAGTGCTTGTATAAATAAATAAATAAATCTTAAAAAAGGCCCTCCCTGGTGGCGCAGCAGTTGAGCACTGGGTTGCGAAGCTGCCCGCAGCTTCTGCAGCGCTGGTTTGATCCCCGGCTGCTCCCCGGCCACCGGAAGAGGGTCCCACATGGCGTGCAGACCTCTCCTGCTGCCCGCTGCTCCCCTCAGCAATGTACTTCGGTCCCTCTGCCTGCTCTGCTCCCCGCTCTGGCTCTGGTGAATTCTCTCACCCTCCCGTGCTTCTGACTGTACCCAGTGCTTGTATAAATAAATAAATAAATCTTTTAAAAAAAAATCTTAAAAAAAAAAATTCAGGGAAAACTAAAATCCCAGGCCTTGTGGCAAGTCTGAATGCTGCTCATAGCCAGGCCTTGTGGATCATGAAAGTAGCTTGGAAATAGGCATATCATCCTCCCCACAAGAGTCCTAGAAAAAGTTCTCTCTCCTACAGGAGCTCAAAGTTCTGCACCTTTGGCCTCTGAAGTTAAGGAGACTCAATTCCTCTGTCTCTTCCTGTTGCTGTTCCTGTAACCAATTACTTGGGCTCTTGACATACTGAGAACTCCCCAAGAGGCATTGCATAGCTTAGTTTCTGATTGTCATCAGTGGTTACCCTGGGGTGACTGTACTTCTCTAGTCCACTGAGCTGTGGCTGGGAGGCAGTAGGGGTGACAGGTGTAGAGCCTCTCCAAGATGCGTACAGCCTAGTGCTGTCTGATCCTTACTTGATTCAGCTTCCACCCATGGCATGCATTCAAAATCAAGTACAGCCTTGCAGTGAACTCACAGGCCTCCCACCCCTACCCCCACCCCCCAGCGCTTGTCCTGGTCTCCTGAAGAGAGCTTCCTACCACTCCGAGTCCATGCTGCAATGGAGGTTGCACAGGTTGTGGTGAACACCCAGGTGTGAGTCACTCACTTTACTCACCTCCCAGGTAAGGTTTTCCATCTACTCAGTTTTAAATGCCATTCTCCCTGCTTGCCCTGTTTCATTATTTTTTCCTGGGCCCATCTCTAGCATGCTACACATTTCAGTACTTGGCTGATGGTATGTCTATGTCCTCTAAAAGGCAAGCACCAGAGGCAGGAATTTGCTTTTGCTGTTTTTTGTTTACCAGTTCCTAGGATTGTGCCTGCACAGAATTGACACTTGATCTAACTGAAAGGAGGGGCTGGGCATCCAGTCTGGATGGGAGTTTAGTCAAGGAAGGCTTCCTGACGGAAGTGACACAAGCTGAGTCAGACAAGCGCCTCAGGGGAGGATGCATTCCAAGGACAAAGGCCAGGAAAAGGCGAGCCTGGCAGGAACCTTAAGCAGTCATGTGGCTGAGGCCTTCCCTGCTTTTGAAGAATGATCGATTAGATGAGGATGGACAGGCAGGCAGGCCATGGGCAGTGAGGAGGGCCTGCATGTCCCCCCTGGAGACTAGAAATCTGTGCTGGAGGCTGAGGGTCAGGTGGGGTAAGGATGGCAGAGGACAAGGGGTGACATTCATTTACAGTTTGAAAGTGAGCAAGTTAAGGATCAAGAAGAGCTGTATCCTCTAGTGTCAGATGCTGCCACAGCACGTCCAGCACCTTAGGTCACTGACATTTCATGTTTAGTCACTACATTAGGTTGCCACGGAAACGAAAAGGATTAAGTGAAGTCTCCATAAATGGACACTTCTGGCTTATTAGGAGGAATTCTGATGACCTTGGGTTAAACCTTGGTAATGATGAGGCCTCTGCAGCCCATGGTCATATTCTCTCTTCCCTCTTCCCCAGCACTCCATTGCTGTCCCCTTCTATATCACAGAGACCAACCCACCAGGGACCCCCAGGCTGTAGGATGGGGGCAGGACACCAAGAAAATGATGAGTGAATAATCAGAAAGGGGAAGGAGGTTGGGATGTAGATACTATCTACAGCCCAGGAGAAGTTGCTTAGCAATGAGGACAGTGTTAAAAGAGTTTACAAATGTCCAGTGACTGGTGCAGAGAGGGGCTGGAGTAGGTGGAGAGTCTTTGGAAGAGCTAAAAAGGGGTATCAAAAGGGGGCCCCTGGGTAGGAATTAAGGAGAGGGGCAAGGCAGAAATCAGGTGCTCTGCTGGAAAGAGTGCAGAGTAGATCGTTCCACCCCTCAGAATGTTGCCTGAGGGCAAAGGCCATCAAGATGCTGAACTCATGAAAGGGGCCAGAGTTTCTACCTCAGCCCCAGGCGAGGTGACTTCACTGTCCACGGAAGGAATGGCCAATCAGATCCTCCCTTCCTACCATGGCCCTGAGAGAGTTCCTCAGTGTGGGCCAACCCAAAACAGGATAAAGTGGGGGTCATGCAAATTCATGCTTAGTATGTTGTGATTCATTGGTACTCAACAGAAACCCCAAAGACCAAATCTACCTGGGGTTTCAGTAACAGAAATCCCAACACTTGACATGTGCCCACCACATCCCATACCCTGCTCCACACCTCCTCCTTGAATTCTCCTGCCTTCCTCGAAGTCTTCACCCCCTAGGTCCACCTCTACCACCCTCCTCTTTTCTAAAGTCCTGCCCAAATATTCCTAGTCAACAATTCTAAGAATTCCCTGCTCTCCTAAACCTGAGCTCCCCAGAAGCAGCAGAAATTGCTTGACCCTAGTCTAAATTCTTCATCCCTTTCCTGTCCCTTGACCAGACCCCTAAGTGTGCCAAGTGACAGGAGCAAAGAGTGACACTGGAAAACCTGCCCCCGGTGACCTTGTTCTTCACACCCAGCCCGGCTGGCACACAGAGGTAGTCCTAGGAAAATGGAAAACAAAACAAAACAGACACAAGAGCGGGGAAACTTCATGATTTATTGGGTGGATGGGAGGACAATGATATATAGCACAGAAAACTCCAGAAGTAGGCAGAGTAGGTGACCCAGTCCAGGGGGCTCCGTGGCACTGCTGGGGAGGGGGAGAGCCAGCCGAAGACTCTCTAACTCTTGGCCCCAAGTTTCCAGAGTCCCAGCCCCACCCACCCACAAGGGAGGAAAAATTGTTCTACAGTGTGCTGAGGCCACAGGGTAAGAAGGCTGGCAATGCCTGCAGCAGCAACATCAGCCCAAAAGAACCCGAGGAGAAAGTTAAGTGAGGCCCACAGCCTGGTATTTCTAGCCCAGAAACACAGGCTGACATAGCCCCTGGCATTCACTCACCAGGCAGAGGCCCCTCTGGGGGAGCTGAGGCCCAGGTCCCCATCCTGAGAGGGCCAGTGCTTCCATCCCCACGCGGCCTCCTCCATGGTCTCCACATCCAAGGCAACACCCCTGGAGCAATGAAGAACCCAGAGAGCAGGTGGTCACCACAATGTTTGGTCTCTAAAGTTACCTCACCTTTCTTCTGGCCAGCTTCGGTGAGAATGGTCCCCATTTAAGTAGAGACGAGTGGCCAGCTTTGTTTTTCTATACCAGACCTGGCTCTAAAGGAATCTCAGTACTCCCAGAAAAGAGTCAAAATCAAAAATGTCACTAAAGTCTAAAACAGACCTTTCCAGGGGCAATAGCGCAGATACGATCACAGGTGAACAGAGACAGTTGGAAGTTGGCTTGCGGTGGCCCCGCCCACTAAGGCTCCACAACGCCTCGCTGGGAGTGAGGCCCTCCTAGCAGCCAGCCCGCCACAGTCATTACCTGCCTGCCTGTGTATCTCCCGGGCACTTGTGCTCACCCCAGCCTTCAAGTCTTCCTCACCTTGGCACATCCCACTGCCCACCACGTCCCACAGGCCCAGGGCCACCACCTCCAAAAAGTCACTTCCCTTTGGCAATCACACACAGCACCAAAACGCACTCATTCCTACACACGGTTCATCCTGGCTCCTCACACCCCCCAAGTATATAGCTCTTGACACAGACAGAGCCTGATCTCTGGTCACAGGCGGCCAAGCTGAGCAAGGTCAAGGGGAACAGTCTCCTGTCATTGACTCTCCCACTGCTGCCCACGGTGCCTGAGACCAGAAAGCACTGGCTGCAGAGAAGCAGGAGTGTGTGAAGGCGCCAGCATTTGAAAGGGACGGTGAGGACCCTCCAAATACGGGAAACTGCTTTCAGCAATTCCTCTCCCTGCATTATCAACGACCAGAGCACAAACAGCCCGTGATCACTTTCCAATGCAGGTGCATGCAAAGACACAGGGAGATCCAGGGACAGAAGCAGGTGCCAGCTGCCTGTGACAGAGGTTGATTCTGGTGGAAACAACCCAGCCGAGCACAAGACGTCAGGAATGGCCTTTCATTCCTGGGAAAGGCCCATTAAATCTCCTGCCAAGGGGAAATGAAGAGCAGTCACTTTGGGCAAAACCACTGGGGAAATATTTGGGTTGGAAATGATAGGCAGCGTGTGCACAAAAGTCACCCCTAGTATAGCTTTGCTTTTCAAATGAAAAAGACAAGGTCCTGACTAGATCAAGGACAACAGCAGTAGCAGAAAGGGATTCAATCCCAGGGACAGATTTCCCCTTTACCACACGCTTCTGCTGAACCTCTGGGGAGGACAGGGGTGCAGGTAAGGCAGGTACCCCAGAGCTTAGTGGGACTCTGGAAGACCTTCCCCTGCAGCCATTGCTGCAGGCATGTGACAGATCAGAGGTGATCATGGCTTCCGGGGGCTGGGAGCAGATCTGGGGAGTCAAGGACAACACCTCCATCTCACCTCTCAGCCCCCCTACATTTGCACCTGAAGCCCCTGGCAACATGCACATCTCTGTACTAGATGCAAGGAATCAACACTCCAGAGAACGGACCAGAGACCTTACCTTAAGGACAGTGGGGCCCACAGTGCTCCTGACATGACGGCTGCGTGGCACCTCTGTGTCCATGCATTCATCCGTAGCAACAGGAAGCCATGCGTGAGCACCAACTTGTCTCGGCTCCTGGCAGGGGCTGGGAGCCTCGGGAAGGGGCTCAGCGCAGGTGTCACAAGATAGTAAGCCTTCTCCAAATGGTGGCTGTTGTTATTTCCTGAAGAGACACAGCAGCTTCTCATGAAAAGGACAGTAGTTAACTCTGAAGAGGGAGACAGCGGATGGCCTAAGACAGGGTAGTCAACACGACTAGTGTGTAGCTAATCAGAGATTAAGCACAGGTGGAAATGGCTGTGGCGGGCAGATGTTTGGGAGTGTGCCTGGCAAGGCTCGGTGGCAGCGGCTATGCCAGGGAACTTAAGCAACACATACAGCCTGCTTCCCACCAGCGGGGGTAGGAAGCAGTGACACTTCCGCACACGTGGCAGCCCCCGAGGCCCTGGAGCAGTGGAGTGTGGGAAAGCTCCCAGAACTGGAAGGTAGGATGCGAACCCTCCAAACATGGGACAATCCTTTCCACATTTCCTCTGCCTGCACCACCAGTGAGCAAGACACGGGCAGCCCATGATCACTTACGAATGCAGGGGCGGAGAGGCCAGAAGGCTGGCTGAGAAAGGAGGTGATGGCAGAGACCTGACTCACCATCCCAGCTGAGTGCAAAGACCCAGTAACTGCTCCTAATCCTACAAGAATCCCTTCAACCCAAACAGGAGAGGCAAAGGGAAGAGATCCCAGAAAGAAACGTGACAAGAGTTCTTAGGTTATAACAGAGAGGACTGTGGGACCTTAAGAAAAATGGTGTCATTTTAATAGGCTTTCTGGAGAATGAAATTGGGGCTACAAGGGGACCCCAAAGTTAAGAGAAGGCACACAGGTGATTAAGACTCAGGTACAGCCCTGTCAACATCCTTCTTGCTTCTGATTCAGACATCCTGCTGCCAACTTAGCAATTTGAAGAAGGGCTCCCCAAGGGCCCTCAGAAACAAGCACAAAAGAGGAGCCAGATGTGCCTCAAAGGCACTAGAGAGGGTAAAACTGGGACCAGGGTGAAGCCACCTCACCTCACCTTTACCACTTCCCACACCCAACGAAGCAACTGCAGATCTGCTGAGAACATACCTCACCTCGGGAGCACCATGGTCCAGACACCTCTCAAGGGCTCACTGCACTGAGCTGTGTCCTCTGCAATAAACAAGAAGCCCTGTGTGAGCAACCTAACTGTCATCTGGTCACATGTCCTGGTAACAAGCACATGCAAGCGCAGAGTGGCTGGCATGACAGGGAGCTGCTTCACTAACGTAGGTTGCTATTAAGAGCCAGGAAGGCACACCGTTTCTCAAGAACAAGGAAAGACATTCACAACCCAACAGAGGACAATAGGTCATCTGAGGCAGAGAGGGCTTTCAGATCATCTTTTGTGCAAAATCAGAGGAAATTGCTGAGCTCCTGGAACCTGGTTCTGAAAGGATGTGAAATCCAGGACTGGACTGGGAGTGAGCAGGACTGCAAGCAGCTCCTGCATGGGGGGTGAAGGGGGGCAAGGGGCCAGGAGCACGCCAGGTCACCTGTGAAGGCGAAGTCTGGTTTCTCTTTAAACCAGCCTTGGCCCACTTCATCACGGCTCTGTTCTGCCACCATAACCACAGGGAACAAGGAAACTCCTCCCCTTATGGACCTGGTTCCACCTCGGGCAAAGGGCCGCCAAGGACAAGCACTGGCCCATAGGAAGGGCAATTCTAAGAGAAGGGAGCACAGAGGACGTGCCCTCAGCTTTCCCAGGCTGGCTGTCTCACAGGTCATCTTCCCCTGACTCTCCAAGATGGGACGCCCCACACCACCTTCTGAAGATGAGTCTCTCTTTCTCTTCTCTCATGTTGTCCATTCTTTCCACAGCTGTTAAAACACTGGAGACTGGCCAGGTGCTGAGCCTAAAGAGAGACAAGGCTAAAACACTCAGAGTGAGGCAAAAACACAAGAAATCCAACAACTCCCACCAAATGATTAGTGCCTTCCTCTCATCTCAAGCCACTCCCTGGATTACATCACACCAGGAACCCTGAATGACTAAGGACCTGGGTGGCAGAAATGACTTCCTGGAGGGAAGCTCTAGGCTCTACAACCAACCCATAGCTCCTGCAGCCCATGCTCCAGCCTCCTTTGTTTTAAAGCCTCACTGAAACCAGCACTGAGCCAGACCCCAGTAACAATGGGCATCTAAGGATGGTGGGGAGGAGGAAGTGTGGGAAAGCTGCAGGGCTTGGAAAGGACCGGAATGGATGCTCCCAACCCCGGAAATGCACTTGACAGCCATTCCTTCTCTGTACCATCCATGCCAGGGCACCGGCAGACCGGGACCACTTTCATATCTAAGTACAAAAAAGGGCAGAAAATGAACCGGAAATGAGGCCAATGCTAAACATTGGAGACTGGCCTGCTGACTCTCCACCTCCCAAGGACCCTGAGTGATATCACTTCCGATAAAGACGCCACCCCTCATCTGACCACCCACAGGAAGACCAGTTTCTGCTAAAAATGCCTCCATTGTTCATTCAACCCACAAGAGCCAACTCAGGACCTACTCCATGCCAGATGCCTTGGTTCAGAAACAAACATACCACACACCAGTCTCGCCCTCACAGTGCCCACCCAGCTTCCTTACTTGAAGGAAATGAAAAGGAAGAAACTCACCCAAGGCTACCTGGCTGAAGAAGGGCTGAGTCAGGACCTCAACTCAGACCCTGGGCCCCCACACTAGCCCCTCTATTACCCTAGGCCTCCAACACAGGGCCGGGCCAGGCCTGTGCTTCTCAGAACCCAACTGGGCTCCAGAACCACAGCTCTCGGGTGCGTTGGGCAGGAAAACAACGAGCCCCCCGTTCACGGGGCTCAGGAGCAGCAGCACTTACCCACAGGGCAGCCCCAGCCCCTGCACAGGGCGGGTGCAGCAGGCAGTGTGGCCCCTTCACGCCCCGCAGGAGCCGAGGGGGCGCTGGCGGATGCTGGGCCCGCAAAGCCATCCAGACGGCTTTCGTGTCTCCGAGGTCTCCCAGGCGGCGCAGAGCCGGCTGGCCTGGCCAGGGGAAAGCAGGGGGGCGGGCTCCAGTGCAAGCAGCGGACAGGGGAGCGGACGCTGCCCTGAATTGAAACTGCAAACAACAGTCCGGATAAGGAAGTTATTTTAACGCTTTCTTTCTTCCGAAGGTGACTCAGGGGGAACTAGGTTCTTGGTCAGCCCCACCCACTCTCTGCACGGCCCTGCGGGACTGAACGCCTGGCGCTGGCAGCGGGGGCTGCGGGACAGAAAAAATCACGCGGGCTCAGGCACCGGCCGCCCGCAGCCCCGCACGACTCGCTGTGAGCCCCGGGCCCACGCGTCGCCGGACCCGTTTCTCGCCACGAACGGGGGCCAAGTCTTCCCCGCCGCCGGGCGAGGCCCGGGCCCGGACGGCCGCACGGGCCGCATGGCTGCCAGGGCCCGCCCCGCGGCCGCGCCCATGCCCGGTCCACACCCCGCGGCGGGCGGGCACGGAACCCGGCCTGGCGCTGGGCTCGGGGCCGATCCCGGGGGGCCCCCGCCGCCTCAGGGCCTCCTTTCTCCTAGTGTCGGGGCAGGAGGGCTGCGGCCTTGGCCTTGGAGGCCCCGGGGTCCCCGTGCAGCGCGACCCCGCAGAGACTCACTGCGGCGCCGGGACTGGCCGTGGCGGCGACGCGGGGCGTGGGTCGATGACGCGACGCGGCTCGACACCCGGAAGCGCCGCCCCGGCCGGCGCCGGCGAAAACGCGCCAGGGGCGGGGCCTGGGGCCGTGAGCAGCCGCTCCACGAGCTGGACCCGCGCATGCGCCTCTGGCGCCACCTTGTGGAACAAGCTGGTATTCTCAGGCCAAGTAATCCTGAAACCTGGAATTCCTCCCACTACCCTGTTTCCCCGTTTTATCCGGAAAACATTGTAAAACAGCAGCTTCCCCTTCCACCCGTCGGTCCATCCGTCCGTGCGTCCCACCATCCATTTTATTCTATCCACGCATCTTCTCATCACTATTCATTCTACACACCCATCCATCCAGAAAGTCTTTGTAGCAGCTGCTTCATATGCGTTACTAGGCTAAGCACTGGAAAAATAAAGAAAAAAGATAAATGTGGCCCTTTGACTTTGTTGGTTATATTCTAGTGGGTATGATAAACAAGTGAGTCTGCAAATGCAGTAATTAAAAATCTTGACAAGTGCTACAAAGAACTTGGGCAAGAACATATAAGGGACAATAAACCAGTGAGGACGTACTTAGCCAGGAGGAAAATATAGTTAATGTAAAACTTGATGGAAAAGAAGGAGCAAACCATGAGAAGATTAGATTCTATTTGGGGACATATGTAAAAAGTGACCATTTAATGTGACAAAATTCACGGGCAGGTGGACAGGTTTCATAGTATGATATATCACTGCAATGCCCATCAACGCTACAGAGGATTACAATTATAATGACAAATAATGACTAATATTTTTTGAGCACACTATTTCAGGCATTTTGATCCATTGAATCATCACATCAATCGTAAAGGTAAACACTATTATTACCCACTTTGCTGATGAGGAAGCAAAAGCTTGGAAAGTTAATTAACTTTTCCAAAGGAATGCAATTATTGTGTTAAGAATTGTGCATGGTCTGAGAGTTACCTTACTTGTAAGTTGACAAGCTAGCCTGCTCATACTTTGTAAATGCTGGCCGGGGACACGAAATTCCTGAGCTAGAGGCAAGGACGTTATTATGACAAAGCAAAGAGTTTCATGTTTATGTTGGTTCCCAAGCCTCACGAGTCCTACAGAGGCCCCAGGTGGATGCCTGCACACACCCCGAGTCACTGTGCCACCTGAGAGGGACACCGAACTTGGGGATTCAACATCCTTATAGCAAATATAAGTGAACCTGCTTTTAGTCTGGGAGACTTTATCTCCCAGACTAGGCCTTCGGGCCAAACTCCACAGACCCCTGAAGATCATCTTGGCAGCGTTTGGTAAGAAGCCAGAGTTTGTTCTGCAAGATGAAAAATGTTCTAGAGATGGTTGCACAATGATGTGAATGGATTTACCATGCTGAACTGAACATTTAAAAACGGTGAAAATGGTAAACTTTAAGTTACATGTATATTACAATTAAAATGTTTTAAATGGGTAAAATACATTGAAACACGGTACCAAGAGTGTATTTTTTACAATTCTGTATTTATAACGAGCTAGTTGAATAAATATTAGTTGCTATCAGCAGCGGCATCACCATCAGACATTTGATAAAAATATCTAGTCATAACTTTAAAAAATTCTTAAAATTCTAGAAATGGGGGGCCTCCCTGGTTGTGCAAGGAGTTATCTCTCAGCACTATGAAGGTATTGACTGCCACTGCAGCATGAGTTCAATCCCCACCCAGGGAATTTACCCACACGGTGCAGCAGACCTCTCCTGTCTTGCCTGCTGCTCCCCTCAGCAGTGTATTTCAGTCAGTCTGCCTGTTCTGCTCCCCACTCTATTTCTGGTGAGTCCTCTCCCCCCCCCCGCACCTCTGGCCTACGCCCCAGTTCTTGTATGCATAAATAAATAAAATAAATCTTAAAAAAATCAGAAATAGAATATACATCTAAAACCATCAGCTAATATCATGCAGAATGGTGAAATTATAGACATGTTCTTCTATTTTTATCCTGGAAGTTCAGAAAAATACCAGTGATGTTTGATGCCTGTGGCCAAGAAAACCCAAGGTCAGAGGAGTGAAGAACAGAAGAGGTTATTAGCACATCGAAAAGGAGAGAAAGTCAAATACAGTTATTCCAGAATGTTCGAGGATTCAGGTGAGAAAATTACAACATTTCCCAAGCCAGGAAAGTTTAATTAGCTAGAAATATCTGTTGTTTAATTAGTAGAAAGGTCCAAGTTGTTCAGGGAGGCCCAAGTTAATAAATTCCCATCCAGACTCATTACTCGAGAAGGTTGTCTTCACTGGTTGCCCACCACGCAAAGCAGGTAAGTCCACTGTAACTGGCAAACATTACCAAGTCTTCAGTTAGGAGTCCAGTCACAAGGCCCAGCCCTGCCATCTTCTGAGTGAAAAGGGACATCTCTTCTTATGTCTGTCCCCATGGCAAAGCCTGAGCCATTCATACCACCAGAGTCCCACATTTGATCCCCTTTCCAGAACTGGTCTTCAGTCCAGGCCAAAAGTGAACCAGAAGCAAAACTTGTGCTACAAAGACTGTAAGGGTCAGAGGACCCAGCTAGGGGCCCAAGAGGGAGCTGACTCTGGTGGAAAGGTCTTTGGTCTCATCTCAGTGGGCCAGAGCATCCAGTGAGGGCTAAGAGCTGCTGGACAGCCACAAACAGGAGCCAACATCCAGGCCACAAGGCAGCTAGGAAAGAAACAGTTCTGCCTGAGAGGAACTGAGGAGACTGGAGTGGCCAAAGTCTTCATCAGGACTCAGGCTCAGTTAGCAGGGGCCTGAGGTTATTCCCTCTTAAAGAGGCAGTAACAGAGCAACAAAAACAAGCAGAGGCAGATGACGAACAGGCATAGCAAGAGCACCAGTGTGGAGTACATTCTTCGTGCAGGGACCAGGCTTGGAACTCCTACAGGCCTCAGAGGGGTAGCTGTTTACTTCCTGCCTAGACTCTGGGTACCATCTTCTGGGAATAACCTGCCCATGACTCCATCTCAGAAGAGAAGGGGCTCCAGACTGCCTGCATTTTTCAGCCACTGTGAGGTCACAAACTCCAGGATGGTGTGATGTGGGCCACCTCCTCCCCTCCAGTTACAGCCCAACCTTTATTAATGTGCCCAGTATACTCAAAGCAGGATTTCTGGTATGTAATCATATTTTTTTACCTGTCTCTTTAGACTTTCAAAGAGGAAATGTCTTTTTCCCTGCCCCTAGAAAAGTATCAGAATGGCCTATTAGCTTGTCTGCTCACTCTCAGGTACTGAAAATGAGAAATAATATTTCCATTGCATTATTTAAAATGTCCAAACTAATCCGGCCATCATGTATTCAGTCACCATTTGCTCAGGGAAGGCTTCTGTCCTCTCCACCTGTTGGGGCCAGGCACAGGGTAGGTTGCTGTCTGCTGGGATTGCTCACAAGCCTCCTGACTTATTCAATTCTGATTCTCTTCACCAGGGGGTTTCTGTTCACCCACCCACTCCCAGTACCTCCAAAAACAGAGACTAAAGAGTAGGGCAGAGGGGAGTCTCCCCTCTTCTGGGATCCCCTCACCCCAACATGCTCCCTCTTGGGCAGGAACTTGTGAGCAGCAGGTCGACACACCGACCAGATTCTATACCTGCTGAAGGGGACCTTGATCCTGTAGCTTAGGAGTACTTTGAGCATCTGTCAGCTGTGCTCCAACTCCAGGGGACATATGTCAAGCTCCTGCATGTTTCCGGCTCCTCTTAGTAAGTTCAGGTGAGAGAAATTCCTTCCCTACTCTCCCCCTTGGGGCAGAAGGAGGGACAATTTTATGACCCAGAATTCATAATTTCCCCTTTTTAATATCTATTTTTGTGCTGTTAAGACCCTCAAATTAGAAGAGAGGATTCAAGAGTCAAAAGCAGCTATTTTTAGGTTTTTTTTCTCCCTAAATTCTGCATCTGGCCTAACACCTTTGGAAGTCAGCTGCCATATCAACAGGTGGAAACTTCAAAAATTGCCAACATTCAATCACTTTTTACCTAAAACAGCCACCACTGGAGATGATTCATCCCATATCTTCATCCTGTTCCGAAAGGGAACCTTTGGATAAATGTCCATGTTAACATCCTGTTACGTTGACAATGCACAAACATAAACCACACTGCTCAGACCCCTGACCTCCTCTCAGCACTGGGGATGCAGAAATAAAGGGACCAAATCCCCCCCTGACTTCAGGGGAGGAAGGGATGTGGGAGAAGGATCTAGCTTTGATTCATGGTCCTACCTTTTCCCACCTTCTGAAGGCACTTTTACCTTGTCTCCAGCTCAAGACAAAGAGGCCCCCAACTTGAGTAGTGCAGGGGACGCACCCTTCCTTGGATGTCCCAGGCTGTGGAATATGCTGATGCTCTGTTTGCTGCTTCTCTCCTGAGCCAGAAGGCCTTAGACTGGCACTGATGAACGCAGCAGCCACCAGTCACATGTGGACAATGAAGTCAGTTCAAAGTGCAATGTAATAGCAGTATAAAACATGCACTGGATTCCAAAAACCAGAGAAAGAACAGTAAAATATCACAAATAAATTACAAATGTTATTACACACAGAAATGATAATGTTTCGGTTACGTTAGGTCAAATAGAATATATTATGCAAATTAACTTCACCTTTTTGAGTAACTTTTTAATGTGACTCCTAGCAAATTTAAAATTACCTCTGTGGCTGGCATTACATTAATACTGGGCAGCACTGCCTAACACTTTGCCAACACAGCTTTCCCTCTATCTCATAATCCCACTCTTCACCTTCCCAGAAGCCCCCTGGTCTCTCAGAAATGCTAAGGCGCAGGAACTCCTGGGCATTGGTCATTGGCTCTGTGCTATGCCCTCTCTAAGTCTCATTTCACTTAATTCTCACAGCTATGCTAAGAGGCTGGCCAGAGAAGTTAGGTTCCACAGCATGACACATGACCAATCAGAGCAAGAGCAAGAGGCAGCAGAGGCAGCAGAGGATGCTGAGCTGAGCAGCCACAACTGTGTACACCGACCCCGTTGCTCTGTCTTCATAGCCACAGCACCCCTATGCCAGCGACCCCATCACAGAAACCCCCAACTTCTCACCATCTTAGAAGCTTCCCTGAGGGATAGCCCTCTGCACTGGTGAGGGCTGGATTTCCACCTGTGCTGACCTAGTGAAGATCTGGTATCTGAGGTGGATCCTCTTCCTCAGGCCTGTGGTGGGCTTTTTACACTTCAGAATGTGGGTGCAGTCGCCCCAGATCCAGAGATACGTCTGGGCCGGGATGCAGGAAGTGCTAGTGCTTGTGAGATTTGTGGTCGTGAACTCCCTCCCAAGTCTGTCCCCAGTGTCGATGATGGGAGCAGGAACCGCTATCTTCTCTGACACTACGCCAACCAGATCAGGCGTGGGTCAAGACTCATGCTTAGGCCAAAGTTCAGCGAAGCACCTGCCTACCTCCCTACACTCATCTTCTGACACACTTACATCCCAGCCTCTGACCATGAGATGGTATTTTAGTCTGGTTACTCCGAATAGATATATGCCCAGGATTCACTCACTTGTTCAGCTGTGCCAGCCACTAACCTAGCGTAGGGTAAATGGTTTTCAGACTTTTCTGCCCTCCTACCATTAGGATTGCCCTGCCTGATAGGGCGCCTGCAGTTGTTACATAGTTGTGTTGTTTACTTCTGTGGGCCATGGGAGGAGTATTGAGAAAGTCACCAAGAGAAGCAGAGGCAGGAGAGAGAAGGGGAGAAAGAAAGCCAAAGAAGGCCAGAGAAGCCCAGAGTGAAGACTTGCCTGGGGCTTGGCGGCCTTCCCCCACCCAGCCGCCGCCTGCTATGCACCTGGTTTCTGCACTACATGTAAAAGCTCAATAAAAGCCTGAGAAAGCCACCGAGGGCTCCAGGACTCTTTTACCCGGTCTGCTTGGATCATAGATAACCAGCTCAGTGCCCAACCTGCCCCTACACCTAGGTACTAGGAATACTGGGGTCACTCAGACCAGAGCCCTAATGCCCAAGCTAAACACACTCAGCATTAGCTTTTACTGATCACAGCTCCTCACATGGAAAGGTGACCCTTCCTACAGACTAAAGGTAAATAAATCTGTGTTAACAGAACAGACCAAAAGCAAAGCAAGCGAGAGAATGTTACTTCCAATACTGTAGAAAAGTTTGAGTTTTGGGCCTCCCTGGTGGCGCAAAGGGTTAAGCACCGCACAATGAAGCAATCTGCGGACTCTGCAGCATAAGTTCAATACCCAGCTGGCCAGGGAGCTACCCACACGGTGAAGCCGACCTCTCCTGTTGCGCCTGCTGCTCCCCTCAGCTGTGTACTTCGGTCAGTCTGCCTGTTCTGCTCCCCACTCTGTCTCTGGTGAATCCTCTCACCCCCACCCCATCTCTGGCCTGTACCCCAGCTCTTGTGTGCATAAATAGATAAATCTTTAAAAAAAAAAAGTTTTGAGTTTTCCCGGACCCCCAGGAGCCGGCATTTGCGCCCCGGGCCACCAGGGGGCGCGCAGGAGCGCCCGGGCGGGTTCCGCCCGCGGGGCCGACGCTCTAGCCCACCCGGCGCTCGCCGGCACTTCCGCCCGCGTGGAGGCGTCGCCGCGCTTCGCCGGCCGCGTGGCTGCCGCGTCCCGCGATGCCCGCCCCGCGCCGCTTCCCGCTGCGTCGCGCTCTCGCGCCGCCGGCCTGGGGTCTCGGGTGGGTGCGCCGCGGGGCCTCTGGGCGCGTGATCTGCGCCTCCCCCGCCGCGGGGCCCCACGAGGTCGGCCCGAGCCCAGCCCCGGCCCTGGGTTCGTGCCCGCCCGTCGCCGCGGGTGGACCGGGGGTGGCGGGGACGCGGGACGGAGCCCGCCGGCTGCTGGGCGGGTGCGGCCGTCGGATCCCCGGTTCTCACCCGGCCGCGTAGTGGCGGGAGACGGGCCTGTGACGCGTGGGGCCCCTGTCCGCTGCTTGCACCGGAGCCCCGGCCCCCTGCTTTCCCCTGGCCGGGCCAGCCGGCTCTGCGCCGCCTCGGAGACAAGAAAGCCGTCTGGATGGCTTTGCGGGCCCAGCTCCGCCAGCGCCCCCTCGGCTCCTGCGGGGCGTGAAGGGGCCACACTGCCTGCTGCACCCGCCCTGTGCAGGGGCTGGGGCTGCCCTGTGGGTAAGTGCTGCTGCTCCTGGGCCCCGTGAACGTGGGGCTCGTTGTTTTCCTGCCCAGCGCACCCGAGAGCTGTGGTTCTGGAGCCCAGTTGGGTTCTGAGAAGCACAGGCCTGGCCCGGCCCTGTGCTGGAGGCCTAGAGTAATTAATGGAGGGGCTAGTGTTGGGGCCCAGGGTCTGAGTTGAGGTCCTGACTCAGCCCTGCTTTAGCCAGGTAGCCTTGGGTGAGTTCCTTTTCCTTTTCTTCAGGTAGGGAAACTGGAAGAGCCCAGAGGAAGGAGGCCTGGTGTCTGGTGGTGGTGGTTTCTGAACCCAGGCACCTGGCTTGGAGTAGGTACTCAGCTGGTCCTGTGGGTTGAATGAACTATGGAGGCATTTTTCAGCAGAAACTAGTCTTCCTGTGGACCATCTGATGAGGGTGGCATCTTTATGGGAAGTGATGACGGCCCTTGGGTCCTGGACTTGGGTGAGCAGCTCTCCCTTGCTGGGTCTGTAAGTGGGCTGGCAACATTGGCCTTTGTTCCCAGCTCACCTTCTGCCCTTTGCTGCACCTGCATTCGAAAGTGATCGTGGGCTGTCTGTGCCCTGGTCATTGATAGTGCAGGGAGAGGAATGTCTGAAAGCATTTCCCGTGTTTGGAGGGTCTTCCCTGTCCCTTTCAAACCCTGGCGCTTTCTCACACCTCCTTCCTATCTTTTGGGTGCATCCTGGCACCCATAGTACTCTGCCTACCTTAGTGCTGGCTTCTGTGAGCCTTTAACAAAGGAAGGTGAGAGTGATTGCTCCCTCCTGAAATGTGTGGTTTGGTTGTAGGACCACATCTGTGGTTTTCAGACACAGGTCTCCAATTTCAACTGCCCCATTGAAGTGAGTGAGGCTGCCTGTGTCCAGGTCATTGGTTAATGCAGGCAAAGGAAAATTTGCAGGGTTTTCCCCATGTTCAGAGGAGTCATCTCTTCTTTCTGGGAGAGTGACCAGAGCATCAGGTAGATGGAGGGAAGCCAGTGGTCAGAGCCTTCATATCCAATACCTACATTTCCCAGGTGTTTACTGTTGATGGTGTCATGGACTTGTAAGCAGTACCAAATGGACTGATCATATGCTGGCTTCTTGTTCCTGCCGGAATATCATGTGGCTGCTATTCCATGTGCATAAGAGCAGTCCTCAGGGAGAACCTGGGTTTCAAAGTCTCAGGTAAGTGTCCTGCCTGTGTCGGTAGAGCTCACGCTTTGTGCAGGCTGCGAGGCCAGAGGTGATGAAATGATGAGGTGTGAGTGTGCAGGTGATAGTGCCTCCCAGTGCTCCCGGCATTTCCCTTTTAGACCACAAACACAGTTCTGGGCCCTTTTCTGTCTGAAAGCCCCTGGCAAAAGCTGCTGTGCTGTTGAAAGGAAAACAGCAGCGTGTGGGATGAGCAGAGGGTTGCATTTGTCCCCAGTGACCAGGACGAACCTGGAGTCGTCCCCAGTGACCCCTCTGAGCCCGAATGAGAATCCTGTTAGATATCAGTAGTGGTGCTCACAGTCAGAAGCCAACATCCTCAAATGTTGCTGCTCTTAATCTTCCTGTCAACCTTTAGCAGGCAATGGTGAATAATCTGAAGATCAGAGGCAGCTGCTGTAATCAGGGTGCAAGTCTGGTCACTGACTTGTCTATGGACTCTTAAGATCACAGCTGCCCAGGCTGCTCGGCTCACATGTTGCCCTTGTCTACACCTGCATTCGAAAGTGATCATGGGCTGCCCGTGCCCTGGTCATTGATAGTGCAGGGAGAGGAACTGCTGAAAGAAGTTTTCCCCGTGTTTGGAGGGGAAACTTGTCCCTTCTGAACCCTGAAGCTTTCGTACACTTTTGCATCACCCTTGTCCTGCGTGACAGCCTAGTTCCTGGTCTTGGAGCTCTTCCATGCTGGAGGATTTAGTGGACATTGGTGACCATTTTGAAAAGAGATTATCCTTGCTCCCACTCCCCACTTTGGCCATCTATGTCTCTGGGTATAGAGTCCTGTGGTTTGAGTTGGAATTCACGTGTGTAATGTCCCCAATTACTGATGATGTTTTCTCACTTACTCTTCAAATGGGTCTGGCAATCTTGATCTTTAAAGACCTGGCCACCTAACAAGTCTTACTGGAAGTTCATCTTCCACTTACCTTTTGTGGCTGGTTCATATTGAGTGGGTCTTTGTAGAATAGCATGATAACTGCTGAGGCCTTGTGACAGGAGGGGCAGGTGCCTACTGGCAGGTGGGAGAGCTGCTGAGGATGGTGATCCATCCTTTTAGTCAAAGGGTCTCAGTGTCAAAGCCCCTGGCAGCACTGAGCTGTCCTGTGGATTCCAGAGCAATCCTCTGGGCCAATTGCCCTGATTATTACCTGGTTGAAAGAAAGTTATTATTAAAACAAGATATGTTTTTCCTTATACTCTTTCTGTTTTGGGGACAGCTAATGTGGTGTGCATAAATGTGGGCCTTTTGAGTGGGACTCTCAGTGATGTCAGCTTGGGAAGAAGATGGCAGCTGCTTGTCAACTGCGTATATGCTTCCTTGCCTTGCTAGGACAGTCTTAGGCCTGAAGACTTGAAGGAAGTTTCAAGACCACACGATGGTGACCCTCAGAATGACTTGGGATGGAGGTTTGCTGCTTTTTCTCCCCAGGGTGAGTTAATGTCAAGGGCTAGAAATCCATAACCATGGTTATGCATTTATCCAGATGGGAACTCCAAACCATTGGTCTCACTTGTCCTTTCTTTTAGATTCGATGGCTGTTTGTGTACCTGAGTGGGGCAGAGAATGGAGAGTGAGGTCATCACATGAAGCATCACTAGCCCTGCTCCCTGCTGCCTGCTCAGAGCATCATGGAACTGTTCACTCTGCACGAGATTGGCAGGGACTGGGAGCACGTGGCCTTGACAGCAGTATCTCAAGAAGACAATGGGCAGGGAAGGCCAGCCCCATGTCCCTTCCCAAGCTTGGGGTGACTTTTTTAAATAACTGGGAGCTTTTCTCTTGAATTTATAGCTAGCTACTCAATCAATACAATGTGATTGTGTTACAGTATAATGTTAGGACAATAACAAAATAAAAGTTTTGAAAAATCCATAAGTTTGGGAGACCTGAAATACATTTGATGTTACTCATCAAAGAGAATGAGAAAACATATATAACTATGATAATGACGATTTCATTATCATACCAACTTGTGGGATGGAACTAAGATAATTCCTAAGGAGAAATTTATATCATTTTGCAAACATTGGAGTAGAAGAAAGACTGAAATTTAATAAGTTGTAAAGAGAGAAGACATAAAAGTAATAACAATTAGAGCAGAAACTAAAAAAGAAGATATATGCAAAAATGAAGAGTAGCATGGTTAGGTTGGTTCTTTGAAAAGATGTAGGATAGTGAAACCTGGTGAAACTGAAGAAAACAGTTTTAGGAATGGAAAAGGCCAGATAGAGCTGGCATTAAAAAGGGAATAAATTACTTTTGCCTTTAAAACTGAACTTTGACAAAATATCCATTTTTGGAAAACTTGCATAACCTCATAGCCCATCTGATAAAGGTCATAGTTGATGGAGTTAAATAAAGTTGCATTTATTGTATTTATTTAATGCCTCTTGAGAAAGAACAGTTCCAGAGGAGTCTAAGGGTGACCTTAGAGTAAGGACCTACATAGCCAGGACATCGGCACACTAGTGCCTCTGGGCTTATGTCATGGGGAAAACTGTTAATCTGAGAGCTTATATTATTGAAATGTTTTTATATTAATAGTAGGTTATATGTACACAAATAATATTGGAAGAGGGGACTCTTACCAGCTTTGTGGGTTTTTTCCTAAATTTGGCAAATGAGCTCTCAAAGTTTCGCGTTTATTAAAACTTGGAAAATGCTAAAATCTGTGTGTTTTTGTCCTTTTTAAGGTGAAGGTAAATCTTCCTGTTACCTGGTTATGGTTTCAGGTTTCTAGGAAACCCAAAGATAGTTTATGCAAAAAGATGTTTTAATCCCTTTACTAAGTTCTGAATTTGAGAAAGGAAAAGTCAGCTGTCAGGAGGTACAATATGAATATTCACAATTTGAAGTTAAAAATTAATGTGGGGGCCTCCCCGGTGGCGCAGAGGTTGAGCGCTGGGCTGCGAAGCTGCCCGCAGCCTCTTGACCACCGGTTCGATCCCCGGCCGCTGGTGAGGGTCCCACATGGTGCGCAGACCTCTCCTGCCGCGCCTGCTGCTCCCCTCAGCAGTGTCTTCTGTCTGTCTGCCTGTTCTGCTCCATGCTCTGGCTCTGGTGAATTCTCTCACCCTCCCGCACTTCTGACTGTACCCAGTACTTGTATACATAAATAAATAAATAAATAAATCTTTAAAAAAAAATATGGTGGGCCTCCCTGGTGGCACAAAGACAGCGCTATTAAGCTGTCACCTGCCACTGCAGCACAAGTTGGATCCTTGGCTGGCCCACATGGTGCAGTAGACCTTTCCTGTCAGCTGCTTCCCTCAGCAGTGTATTTCAGTGGATCCACCTGTTCTGCTTCCCACTCTCTGGTGAATCCTCTCACCCCCTGCACTTCTGGCTTACACTCCAGTTACACTCCAGTATGCATAAACAAATCTTTAAAAAAGTTAATATGGTACTTCAGAGCAAAAAGTAAATGTGGGTACTAGAAATTTAACATTTTAAAAGTAAGAACTTGTTACAATGATTCAACAGTATGGTAGAAATAAGAAAACAACAGCTCCTTGCTAAAAAAAATGCTACTCAAAGAAAACCCAGAGTCTAAATTTTTTGTGTGTATCAACTGCATAATAATATGCAGTAAGACCCTCTGAGGGTGGCCTAGGGATGTTAACCTGGGTCTGAGAACCCACTTAGGAAACTGCCAGAGAGAAGGAGGAGCCTCCACGAATGTTGAGGGCATGTGACCAGGGGCCTCCATAGACAAGTGAGGGAGGAGCAAAACTGGATTTGCGTGGAGCACCAGCCTCTCATTTTGGGGAATAAGGAGACAGGGATTTCTTAAGCAGAAAAAGCCAAGTTCACAGACCTCCCTCTCCTTTTTTTAGTAGAGTTCCTCTCCTTACACTGCCTTGACTTAGAAGAACCTTGTCCCCCAACACTCCCCAAGCAGGCAACAGCCTCCAAAGGCAAAGTGCCCTAAGAATGAAGCCTCAGGGGCTGCCTGGATGGCCTAAGGGTTAAGTCTCAGCACTATCACAGCTAGGGACTGAGTTCCGTTTCTGACCAGGCCGAGACGCTACCAACATGGCACAGCAGACCTCTCCTGTCTCGCCAGCTGCTCCCCTCAGCAGTGTATTTCAGTCAATCTGCCTGTTCTGTTCCCCGTTCTGTCTCTGGTGAATCCGCTCACCCTCTGCACTTCTGGCCTATGCATGAATAAATCTTTAAAAAATGAAGCATCGGGCCTCCCTGGTGTCGCAAGGGGTTAAGTACTGTACTATGAAGCAATCCACAGCCTCTGCAGCATGAGTTCAATCCCCAGCTGGCCAGGGAGCTACCCACATGGCACAGCAGACCTCTCCTGTCTCGCCTGCTGCTCCCCCTCAGCAGTGTATTAAAAAAAAAAAGCATCAATGAATTCGGCAGGGGAGGGTGCAGGTGGTGTGTGGGAGCCTCAGAGATGTCAGGTGACCTTGGTGGGCTTTGTATTGTCTCCCTGCAGGGGTAGGATGGGAGCCACAGGAAGGGGAACCTGCTGAACAAAGAGCCGGAGGAAAAGCAGAGGCCTCCAGGAGCTCCCTGTGGGCTCGGGCAAGGGGGTCGTGAGAACAAACCACTGCCTGGGAATTTCCCTACCAGCTCTGAGAAAGCCCCGAGCAGTCACCACAGGACCAGGCTCCAGGCCCAGAAGCTAAGCTCCCAGATCTCCAAAGGGACTGCAAGCTGGGCTCTAAAAACGACTTTTTCCAGGCCTCGCTAGTGGCGCAAGGGGTTAAGATGCAACCCATGAAGATGCCTGCAGCACAAGTTCAATCCCCAGCCAGAGAGACACCCACATGGCACGGCAGACCTCTCCTGTCGCCCACTGCTCCCCTCAGCAGTGTATTTCAGTCAGTCTGTCCTGCTCCCTACTCTCTCTGGTGAATCCTCTCACTGCCCTCCCCCACCCCAGACCTCTGGCCTATACCCCAGCTCTTGTATGCATAGAAATAAATTAAATCTTTGAAAAAAAACTCCCGACATTTTCCATATCCATTTAATGCGAAAAAAACTCCTGTAAAAAATGAAATGTCCACTCTGGGAAACCACATGTTAATCTTACACACCAAGAAAGAGGTTTCTCAAGTGAGTCAGTCACCACCCAGACAGAGAAGGAAGCAAAGCTTGCAGTAGAGGTCAGGGCTGGGCAGATAATTTGCTGGGAGGTTTATGCCCTGAGGTGAGGTGTGGGAAGTGTTCAGAGACCTGGACCACCCAGATATCCAGGTCAAGGTGTGTGTTTGTGTGTTGGGGGGAGAGGTGAATGCTCAGATGTGAATGAGAGACCTCTGGAAATCTTGCAAAGGCATCTCAGTGCAGGAAATGTGTGCCATTTTCCCTCCCCACTTACATGCAGCTGCCTCGCATTACAACTCCCACCACGCCATGAACTGGACTTCCTGAATGCAAGGCAGCTGGGAAGGAGGAAAGAAAGAAGAGAATATAGGGCCTCCCTGGTGGCACAAGGGTTAATCACCGCACTATGAAGCAATCTGTAGCCTCTGCAGCACGAGTTTGATCCCCAGCCGGCCAGGGAGCTACCCACATGGCGCAGCAGACCTCTCCTGTCTCGCTCACTGCTCCCCTCAGAGTGTATTTCAGTCACTCTGCCTGTTTGTTCCCCACTCTGTCTCTGGTGGATCCTCTCACCCCCCACATCTCTGGCCTGTACCCCAGCTCTTGTATGCATAAATAGATAAATCTTTAAAAAAAAAAAAAAGAAAAAGAAGAGAATATATATTGGAGGTGGAACAAAGGAGGAAGGACAGACCTGTGGGGAAGAGACTCATGGGTAAAAGCCACATTGGGAGACCTGTCCTAAGATTCTAGGCCAGTCATCAGTTTGTGACATAATGATTCATTTACTTTTATATCTCCCATTGTCACCTTGCATTCCTGTACCCAGGCCTGCCCCAACCTTGCCAAAAGTCCACAGGAACTTGAGCCTCGGGATGGAGACCTCTCTACCTGCCTTTCTCCCGAATTCCAGTGCCCCTGAATCACTTCCTTCCACTAAGAGCCCAGCCCTTGCTCTAGGAAGCACCAGGCTATAGAACTATCTCCAGAATGAATGAATGGTGTAAATAAAGCATGCAATTTAACCACCCTTTGAGAAGCCAGGCTAAAGTCTCCTTTCCCACGCTGATTCCCTCATGCGTGAGTCTCTTTAATAAAGCCTTGCCTGCTTCAGTTACACCCAGCACTTTCTGGTGAATTCTTTCTCTGGAGGGCAAAGCACCAGTCTTTTGGGTTGGGGCCAGTCACACTTTCGATTATGTCCCATGAGCCAAAAGCTGAAGAAAACCCATCTACCCTTTGCCTCCTGCTCCTCTGTTCTCTTTCCTTTGGGGAAGCAGAGGTGATGATGGGGTTTGACTGAGATACAGGGAAGGATAAATGACATTGAAGAGATGTCCAAGACAATTTGTTCTGGACTGTTAAGTAGCCATGAGTCAAAACAGCCCATTAAAAAGATTAGAAACCTCAGTTGCGGATTTGGAAAATCAAGTTCAACACAACTGATAAGGGTCTTACCTAGCCAGGAGCCTGCCCTGGATCCTTCCCTCCGCTCAGTCCTGGAAAATCCAGTTCTTTGGTGATGAATGAAGGTTCTTGAAGCCAAAGCCACCCCCTCCCCCAACACATCGGGGCACAACACCCTACCACTGGGCGCTGACATACCTACACTTTGGTGAGCCTTAGCCCTAATCTTCCCTCCCACCCTGTGAATTCCCCTCCCTTCCACCTTCCATCCCAGAGACCAGCTGTGCTTGATCCTCAGGCCTTAACTGGCTTCCTCCAGCTTCCTCTAGTTCCTCTCTGGCCTCCTGCCAATTGTTTTCCACAATTTATGGCCAAACTTATTGGTGTTAAAACAATCCGTATTGTTTAAGAAGGCTGTTTTCCCCCCAAAGGCTTTGCATTATACTGTGATATGGGAATCCCCAAGGCAGAGCAGGTGGGTGGTGGATGGGTGAGAATTCAGAACGGGTAGACGGAAGCCTCTTGGTGGGCAGTGACACCTAAGTATTAGAGGATAAACTCTTTTGGGTAGTCAGCTCTGGGCTGGGTGCAGCCACCCAAAAGTCCATGTAGAAGTGGGTGGGTCAGTGAGTGGGGCTTATTTCACGGGAGGTCAGAGATATACTCCTACCCCGGCTGAGGGTCTGGAAACCACTGTGTGAGGAGACCTCATGTTGCTAGTCCTCTAGGGGTGAAATCTCCACTATTGCCCAGAGGTGAGATGCCCTCCAACACCCCTCAAAGCCATGGGCTGAGGTGCAGGGTCCCATTTGCCAAGGGAAACAGCTGAATCTGTTTATCTGGGGGCAGGTGTGAATGGTCTGGGCTGGGTTTAGAGATGTGTCAAAAACAAGTACTAATTTGCTCCCATTTTGCAAGGAGCGTGTTACCATTTTGCAGGTGCTGGTTGTTCCCAGGGGTGAGAGGCCTTGACTCCCTGCCTTTTCACCAGGGAAGCTGGGTGTCCAACTGGGAGGTGGGCTTTGCCAGCAGCGAGGCTAGGAGAACCAGCCCAGTGCCTATCTGACTGCGGGCTTGGGGCTGAGAGAGCAAACACAACATTGCTGGCAGACAGCTTGCTGCAGGTCTACTGTTCCAGCAGTGTATGAGCTTTCAACTGGGGGAACTGAAACTTGTCCTGGTGCCACATCTGTGTGTCCCTTCATCCTCAGCTGCACATATGCGTCTGCAAGTGTGTTAGACCTAGTGTTGAATCCACCTGCCCTGTGCTCAGCATTTCAGTTGAGACCCTGGCAGACCCCACAACATGCCACACAGCAACCTGTGAGCATCTTGGGGTGTCCCTGCCCAGATTTATACAGCACAGGAAGAAAGCATGTTGGGTGGAAGTGCAAGATGTGACCAATAAGAGATTCAGGTTCATTCTATTATCCTAAACAATATGATCATATTTTTAATCACACTGATATCCTCATAGGCAGATTTGCCTAATGCTATTCTCTAGTTCTAGTGACGATGTCATCAGATGATGTCATCGGTTCCTGACTCAGTAGCCACCACCCCAAGCTGGTCACTTGCAATCAGAAAGTTTGAGGTACAGAGTGTGGGTGGCTCGAGCCAAAGTCACTGGGGGCACAGCTCATGAGGGTCAGAGGGTGGGGTTTCTAAATGGCACTTTGGTTTTGATGATCAAAATCCAGCATTCTCGCTGCATGGGGATAATTTTGCATTGCAATTTTACTAAAATTTAATAAAAGGCCAATCTCACTGCAAGCCTCTCCTGGCTGTTAGGGAGTGTGAATTATGCAACCAACCACCCACAACCCCCACCGCAGGAAGCCTAAATACACACAGTGCTGGTTTTCCAGACTTCTCAGCCAGATGTTTGGGACTGAAGAGCTGGTTTAGAATGGGAATTGGTAACAGTTTTTAGATTTTCAATGGTTCTTCTGGTGCAAATTTCTTGGGAAGTTTTAAGTGTGCCATCTGCACACTTAAAGGAGAGAAGATTCCTAAACTTGGAAGATGTGGAAACTCTTTCACGTTGGTGTCATACACTGCAGTGGGAGTGGGGACAGCTATGTGGGAACACAACCTAATCAGATCTAGAAAGATTTCAATGATACGCAGTCTTTGTGCCAGACACGTACATTTATTCCACAGAAAAACAGCAGATGTTAAGGTTGTAAGTATAAGGATGTTTATTGTTTGCAGCCATGGAAAACTGGAAATAATCTGAAGGTCCATCAACAAGAAAATGATTCAATCAATTAATTAAATGCTTACATCAACCCCTACTATGGAATATTAGGCAGCAATCTAAAAGGAGGAGTTAGCTAAGTAACTAGTTGTTGAACAGAAGAGAGTTCATGATGCATTGTTCAACGAAACAGAAAAATTATGGTGAAATAAATGTGTTCTGCATAATTACACTATCTTAAAAAAGCAGTCATCAACAAAAAACTCTCCCTGCTCTATCTGAACACAGTGAAAGCTGGGAGACTGCATCTCAGGTATGAAGCATAGGATAAGGTTAAAGGAAAATTTAGAATATAAAAGCTCACTCTATAATTATTGCAAATATGTACATTTATATATGCAAATAGGTAAGGACTGGGCAGTTACAGGCAAAATGAAAACAAAGACTGCAAGTGTGGGCAATGTTTTGATTTTGGATATCTGTTGTGATTTCAATATCGCTTTTAATATATAAACATTAAAAAAAGTCAACACTTATAAGGGACAGAGAGTGATGGTGAAATGATTCACATTTAAAATGATTACACTGAGAACAATTTGGAAGACACTCTCAATGTCCTGTAGTACCTCCAGCATTCGACAGCCCTTTACTAAATGAAAAACCAGCTCACAAAGCCTTCACCTGACCTCATACTTTGTAAGCATGCCAAGGATGTTTAAGCCCTTACAGATCCAATTAAAAGCATTTTGCATTTTGTATGACTATGTACAAATTCACATTATAGCTTGCTTCTATCTAGTTTCTGGAACTAAATTTTATTAACAAAGTGAGAAAAGACAGCAATTAGAGAAAATATTCTGTATTATGACTTAAGCTTTTCCATACATGAAGTCATTTTGCGTACGTGGCTGTGCATGACCTTGAAATTAAACTCAGGAGAGCTGGGATGTGGATTTTAAACATCAGTCTGGAAGTACTTGATCTGCCTTTATTGCTATTTTATTATTAAAAAAAATGAAATGCAAGAAATAACTTCTACGTCTTCTGAATTTGCATCTCGTAATTCTTTGATCCAGACTTCAACAGGTGAAAGTGGAAGGTGAGCTCAGGCATCTGGTGTTTCTCGTGTGCTGTTGGAGGCGGGCATGTGTCTCCCCCTCTCCCATCCAAGGCTGCTCCCTGGACTCCCTGCTCCCAAGGCCTCCACCCACTTTTCATGTTGAAACCTTCCAGATGTATCCTTGAGAAGAACTCTGATAGCTGTGGTGCTCAGGACAAGAGGTCCCATTGTCAACATTCATGTTTTAAAATACTGAGCATAAATTGTCTAACCCTGGACATTGTTCCCGTTACAGACTCTCTAAAGGGCCACTGATAAAAGGCAGCAGCTGTTATCTCCAAGGAAGGTTCAACAGCTCTTGAAGGCCTCCAAGGAGACCCCAGAGGGCTGGTAGGGGCAGCTGAGGGCATTAGATTCATGAATTTCATTAAAATTGTGTTCACATTTCATAATAGATATGTTAATTAATAATAAGTAGACACTACATGTTGTTTCTACTCTTGCTTATGGCATGAATGAATTCCCCTGTTGGATCTCCTTAAAGACACAGTTTCTTTTTAACTTTTGTAGTGAAGTTATTTTTTGTAGTGATAAAAGTTTCCCCGATATGATAAATTTTCCTCACCAAAATTGCAGCCCTGGACACTGGTCAGGCATGGAGGGTGCATGCAAAGATGCTCAGATTTCTGGACACAGGGACTGAGAACCTTTTGTGAGGGGAACATTAGAAAGCAAACGAGTCATTTAAAAATATTTTCTTGACTACCTGGGCTGTTTCTCAGATGGGAATAGCAACCAGCTGTGGGGCTAGTCTGCTTTGGGAATCAGCTTGACAATATTTCTTTACCATAAATTTTGGGGCCTTTGTCTTGCTTGCTGCTTTAGTTTAATTCCTTTCCTATATTTTAGTTTAATTAGAGGAATTAAATGAAACCTTCATGGAACAAGTTATCAAAATAAATGACCAGCAGCTCAGGGCTTCATATTTCCAAAAGTGGAGTGAGTTTCCCACTGTTTCATTACAAAGATGTGTTTGGGTTTGGGCCTCGCAAGACTTAAGGGATCTCATGATGGCTCTGGGGTTGGAGAGAGGAAAACAGAATGAGCCAGCAGCTGGGTTCTGCCTTCCCGGCTACTTCAGCTGGGGGCTGTTTCCTGCCCATCTAGTGGGAACTGCACCTACCTTGGGGGTGGCGGGAGGGGTTGTGAAGGGCTTGGCACAGTCCCTGGAGATTTCTTTGATCTGTTCACCAAACATTCATTGCATATATTCTGCGTCAGACACTCCACCATGAGCCGGGAGAGAAAGCGGTGGGAACAGGCCACCCAACTAGCACATGTGTCAAATGCAAACAAATATTTGAGCGCACACTTGGCAGTGCTATTTTCAGCGCTGAAGAATCACTTTGGTACCTTCAGTACCGGTGGGTTGGGGCTGGGGAGAGAAGGGGGTACCTGCTCCGAGGTTTGCCGAGCCCATCTCTATGGCTGCCAGCTGGCTCGTGCACTTATTTCACCAAGAACCAAGTGAGCACCAGCGAGCAGAACATCACAGACTGGTGCGCGGTGACCTGGGGTCCTGCTCCCTTTTCCTGCCAGAAATCGCAGTGCTTGACGGAGCACAGCTCCCTGACCAGCCGCCACAGCACCCGCTGGTAGAGCTTGTTGTCCTGCTTCTCGCGGGTCAGCTCCTCCTGGTTGGCTGCCCGGGTGGCGTTGATGCAGCCGGTGACAAACTTCTCCTTGGTCATGTTGGCCTCCTTGGAGCAGCTGTTGTAGTGGATCCCGTCGGGAAACTGCCAGTAGTTGGCCTCATAGTACTTGTTGCCCTCTGCTCCCAAGTCGATATCCAGCTTGCGACCCTGCCTGATGAAGGCGCCGGGCCTGACCTCGGACACGTGGGCCTCAGTGACCTGGGAGGTGCTGGGCAAAGCCTTGCGGCCCCACTTGATCCTGTGTTTGATGCCCCTCGCCTTGTTGGCAGGGAGCTGGCTGAAGAACAGCACACAGAAGATGACCAGCCACCAGCCCCCCAGATGCTTCCACATGATGTCAGAATCTGCAACAGAAAAGACTGGGCTGTAAGCTTCCCCGGTGGGTTTCAAGTGTCCCCTGATACCTCACCCCCTTCCTGTGTGGGAGAGATTTTAGGCAAGCAATGCCATCCTCATTCCAATTACACTTTTCCTGAAGTATAATCACTTTCCCAGGCTTGGGCTGCACAGGTTAAGTAGGAATCAAGTATTTCACTTTTGCCTGGTGGTATATCTATGCAGGGCGCTGAGCCTGGTTTCCTAAAACAGATAAGAAGCTGCAACTGGCAATTACAAAGTCTTTGAATATGCATGGGAAAATAAACAAGCAAGGATTTAATATGTCCTTACTCATTTATTTTATGTGTGTGTGTATTTCTTTGATAGTCCTGAGTCTTTCAAATGAAACAATGCCCTGGTAGAAATTACAGTAGAAGAGTTGAAAATAAAGACTGGGCAGAAATTGTATTTTTAGTTTTCCGCTTGATTCTCTACTGTTCCAGGATGGTGCTATCTCTGGCACATTCTGCCATTCGTTCTAAGGAAGTCACTGGCAGCTGATCCAAAGGATTTTCTTGCAATGACAGAGAGGAGCAGGGTCGGGGGAGAGAAAGATGGAGGGCTCGCCAGGAGACCCTGCCTCCCTCCGTCAAGGTCTCCTTCCCAGTCTTACCCCAGGGCCAATGTGATACCTCCCTCCCCTATGACAAGCTTTTTATTGACCACTTACAAGGCAGCAGCCTCAAACATTGTCTAATTTAATTCTCACAGGCAATAGGTACATTATTATCCCATTTTATGAAAGTTATACCAGGATTCAGAGGTTAGTCATTTGCATAAGGCCGCACAATAGCAGGTGGCAGGTTTGAATCCAACTGTCTGTCTGACACTGTTCCCTGTACCCCCACCTTGCCCCGCTGAGCTGCAGGAGGGGCTGGGGCTGGGATTGTACGTTTGGACTCACTGGGCATGAAGGGTAGCTCTGTTGATGTCTAAACGGAGCAAAGAGCAGAGCCTGTGTGGAATTTCAGAGAAAATGAGATGAAGGGGAGGACAGGAGTCTGGGGGAGCCCCGAGGGTCCCAGGGCATCAGAAGGACTGCTGCTGATGTCAGGGAACATCAATCACCCCAACCCCTCCAATCCAGTAGTCTGTTACATCTGGTTCCTGAGAGTACAATAGTTATTGTGGAAATCCACCTCCCAAGGTCAAGTGTTCCAGGCACTTACTTGAGCACCTGGACTTTTGTGTGGATCAGGGGTAAGGAAGAATTACTACCTCGGAGTATGCTGATACTGTCTCCTAGATGAAGACTTGAGACCCTGAGTGCTAGGGCTGGAGGAGGTTGAAAAGGTAGCTTAGTTGCTCACCTGCCCTCCAGCCTGCCCCTGCAATAGTCCCAAAGTGCTCAGGGTACCTCCGTTAAGATGTTCACCTGCAGCATGACATTGGTTCTTAGGTTGGAAGAAGGTGAAATGCAAGCTAGGGCCATATCAGCCACCTCTGGACGCCTGCAGAGGTCTCTGCTGACCTTTCTTTACTTGCAGGTATCACCTGTATCTCCCCCAGGGTAGGCAAAAGTTCTCCCAACAGCCTGAGCACCCAGTTTTTAGCACTGTATCCCCAACTCCCCCCACCCCAGTGAGCTCAGACCAGTTTTCTCTAAAGAGCACCAAGCATGAAATAAACATTCATTAATCTCTCAAATAGGGGGTCACACCCCGTGTCATCAGCCCATACCGCTTGGTAGGGGAAATTTTAATAATCACGTAAATTGCAGGCAAGTCAAATTAAAAAAAATTAAAGCACCGAGATCTTGAGAAAGAAATTAATCTTCACAGGCAGGGGCTTAAAAGTAAAAGCAAACCCCAAGCAGCCAAACCTAGGGGAGCATTTCATTGTAGGGTCAAAGTGCAGACACGCAGCAACAGTGATGCCTGGGCGTTCTCAAAAGGGTTCCCAGGCTGGGGACACATCCCGGCAAGTGGGAGTAAAAAAAATCCCTGCTTGCTTTGCGGTCTCATTGGAAGTGAGCATCCTTAACCACAGAAATGGAACCCATACAGAAGCTCTGCCTCCCCACATACCTTGGGCTTTCCCTGGGAGGTGCCTCTGGAGCCTGGCCACACAGTCCTCACACAGCCCTCAGGCCTGCCCAGCTATGTAGGAGCTGCAGGGGGAGGGCCCAGCCTGTTGTTCTCCAAATATGGCAGCCCTGCCCTCCCCGACAGGACCAATCAGGGTCTTAGGGCCTCCTTTGCTTAAGAAGGATGGGCTTTCCCTCACTCCTTACTAATAAATACCACGTGATGATCTTGATGAGGCTCAGAAAGACTTGGGAAGTGCCTTTAATCAATCAATTATTTGAAAACTTATTACTGGTTCATTTTCAAGGGTATTATAAAAGATACAAATGAACAGCTAGATGAATAGGATAGGGTGAGGTTGGGAAGGGTTGAAATGCAGAAGCTGCTGTCCCCATGGAGCTGGGGGGTGCACCACCCTCTCCACATGTGGAGGGTGCACCACCCTCTCCACATGTGGAGGGTGCACCAATTTGGAAGCTCTCTGTACCCCTCTGTGCCAGGAACCTGGGACAAAACCCAGATATTATAACAGAAGATGTTCTCCTCATCCCCATCACTCAGGGAGTTGTCAGGTTTTAGAAGTCCTGTGCCAGGGACTGGGGATGAAGATCAAATATAAACATTTTTCTTATTATATCATAACATCACAGTTGGACAGAGGGATGGATGCATCTGTCCAAAAAGTCAGATTAGGGCTATTTCTAGCCTTTTAGGATTGAAATGAGATGTGAGAGAAGGAAAATGCTTTCCCATCAATGTCTGCAACAGAGGGTGGCTAAGCAGCTTGCTGGGTGTGCATGCATCCTGCACCTCAATACCAGCCTCAGACAACAGAGAGGCCCTTTGGAAGACGCCTGTGTGGGAACGGTCAGCTCAGGAAGAGGGTGAACCATCCAGCTGGACAGTGTGCCCTCAAGGCTGGACTCACAGGGAGTGAGGGGTGTGCTTCCATGGGAAAGCAGGGTTGGTGTGGTTGGTGTGGGGGAGGGCAAATTAGAGGCCTCCCAGCACTTCGGGCTGCTTAGGCCCAAGTGGGAATCCTGGAAGCGCTGAGTTAGTCCAAATGAATCCATGAATTGGAGACCCAGGGGTCAGAGACAGGAGGCAACATCAAGCCATTCAAGAATGGTGGGGCTTGAGAGAGGCTTCCTTGGAGCACTTCCCTTATAGGATGCCCAAACAGTGCGCCGTGGACCTGAGACTCAGTCCCTCCTGTGCAGGATCATGGGTGAGGGACCACGCCTTTTACAGAAGGCGCTTGCTCAGGGGTCACTCTTATGATCATTATAGCAATACAAACTCAAAAGAGGATTCTGGAGGATTTTGGAGTGAGATTTTCCAGTAAATAAAATGTGATCTTTATCCTGATGTCGACCTCATCGATGTTTCTCACCTTTACTTCAAAGTCCTTTTGAGGATCAAATGAAGGGGTTGTTTTGGGGACAGCCAGCAGATGGCGCCGGAAGAGTTCACAAAGACCAACCCCTGGAGGTGGAAATGATGGCGAAAGCCTCCCTGTAGCCCTTCACGCTCTGGATGGATTTGGGGTGTCCACATGGGCCTTTATTTATCCTGCTTTTACTGCAAAATTTTACTTCATTCCCCTCTCCTTTTTTTTCTTTTTTTTAAAGATTTATTTATTTATTTATACAAGCACTGGGTATAGTCAGAGGTGCGGGAGAGCAAGAGAATTCACCAGAGCCAGAGCGGGGAGCAGAGCAGGCAGAGGGACCAAAGTACACTGCTGAGGGGAGCAGCGGGCGGCAGGAGGGGTCTGCGAGCCATGTGGGACCCTCGCCTGGCGGCCAGGGAGCAGCCGGGGATCGAACCGGTGCTGCAGAGGCTGCGGGCAGCTTCGCAGCCCAGCACTCAACCTCTGCACCACTGGGGAGGCCCCCCCCCTTTTTTTAAGTTTCTTTCTAGAATTATGTACTCTTTGGTCTTGTGAACACACAAACACAAATGTGCGCAGTGTAAACTTAGTATAAACTATTTTAAAAATGATGACAAGAAAAAGAAAAAATACCCTTATTATTTCACTTCCCAGAGATCAGTGTCAGTACAGTTTTATTTGCTATACAGATGCTGAGGGTCCATACTAGGATTTGAGATGTTTAGAGCTGGAGAGGACTCGGAATTCTGAATCCTCTGGTCACACGGTGAGGTCACAGGCCCAGATAGGCTCAGGGTCACCCGGCAGGCAGGCAGGGCCGCCTCTGCCCCCGTGTCCAGTTCGGAACCCTGTGTACTGTCCACCCTGCCATCGCATCTGTTGGCATCCCCTTCAGGATCCCTCCAACCCACTTCTGTCAGCTCCCTTTCTGAGCAGGACTTTGCCCAGAAGGCAGTGGGAGGTTGGTGTAGAGCTGATGAGGCTGCAGATTCCTCTTGTCAGTGAACAAAAGACTGTTCTCTAAAGCACAGAGGAGTGGGGAAGACTGAGAATTTTCCAGAAGAAGGGAGGAGCTCTGGAAGCTGCAAACTAGGCAAGAAAAATGGTTCACCAGCTGCAGAGAGAGCAGAACTACTCCAGGGCTACCCAGCATCCGGCTTCCTGCCTGTGACGACGGAAAAGCAGCCAAGGAATTAGTGAGAGAGCACCAGGGTTTTCCAGCAAGCTGAAGGTCGTTGAAACAGGATTATGATTGAAGGCAGATGCCTGCTTTGTGCAAATTGTAAATGTCACCTTCCTAAGAGCTTGGCTGGTTGTCTCTTCTCCAGCACAGCCAGGAGTCTCCCTGTGGACTCCATTGAGCTTGGCACATAGCCACAGAGTCTTCTGGGCCTCCCATCTCTGCTCACCCATTCAGCTGAGCTCACCCGTTGCTGCCTGCCTAGGGCAGGGCCTGGAGTCTGGATACATTCAGGTTCCCGTTACCCCTTCTTTACCATATCTCTGAGGATAGCACTGGCAAAAGTATGCAGATCTCAGGGGTGTGTGTGTCAGAGGTCAGGCTCCGCACTCCACACTCCAAATCACAGCAGGTAGGGGATGTAAAGGCCCCCAGAGGAAATATAACAGGGATAACTGCCACTGTTTTATGATTAGCTAAAAAACAACAACAACTACCGCCATGGGCCACATGGTGAAGACCCATCGCGGTGGGGAGTGGCAGGCGCAGGAGTGTAACACGAGTTCGCAGATACATTACTGTTTGGAGAACTCCCATCAATGGGTGGGTCGATGGATCGATGGGTTGTTTCCTCTGCAGTTCTCTGTTTTTCCCACTCAGCCTGAAGCTGGAGCTGGGAGCGGCCAGGGGGATTGAATCAGTGCAAGGAGGCAGGATGGGGGTGGCAGAGGGTGGGACTGTGGTGAGGATGCATTCATTTCCATTTTGGGACCATCCAAGGCAGTTACTCACTTTGGGGCTTCCCAAATCCTTGTGGAATAGGATGGATATAAGAAGACACAGAGCCACTGAAGAGCAGTGGTAACAGGATGAAGGCTGGATTTTCAGCTGATGCAGAAAGGATTTGACTGGGAAACTCCAACTCCAAGCCCTAAAGAGCAGAGGACGCCACACTCAGACACCATTTTGAAGTTCCTCATTCAGCCTCCCATCACTTTTCTCATTTAACTGATATTTTTTACAGGCCTGTTAACTCAATGGCTTGAGCTGCAGTCTGTGTGCAATTACACAAAGGAGAAAGGTCTTCCCGGGGTGCGGTCATCTGGAACGGGGCCAGCCGGATGTCAGCCCTTATTCTCCTTGGTGGCTTTCATTCTCAAGAGCTACCCTGGGGATGCTGCAGAGGAAGCAGCGGGGACCAGAGCCCCAGGCTCCCATTCCCACCCAGCCACTCTTTGCCTTGAGTGACGTCAGTTGCCACTTGTCAGGGAGCACTGAGCCTGCCCTCTGTCTCAGACAATAAGTGGAACATTTCCTGAGCATCTTTGTGGAGGTGGAAATTCACTCTGAAATCTATTTTCCCACCCCCCACCACTGTGAGGGTTCATCAGACATTGGCTCTGTTGGAACCACAGAATTCCATACTCATTCCTTCCTCCAAACTCACACAAAGTATAGCAAGCTGAGGTCTAAAAGCTGCTTTGAATCCTTGGGCGTGTGTTAACATGCTAATTATTGGCCTGCCAGTATACTATTGAAAGGTTTACCAATTTAAAGGTAAAATGCAAAAGCTGCTGAGGTTTGTGCCAGAGGCTGGGTCTGTGAATGCCTGCAGGCAGGAGAAATAACAGAGCCACCTACACAGATTGCCTGGGTGGGAGAAGTGGTAGCCCAGCCTCAGCGCCACCAAACTGGAAAACACAGGCAGAGGTCACTCCTTGGTGCTGATGGCTATAGGGACAAAATTCAGCAGGAGGTGGAAAGGGAGGCTCCGGTATCTTTTTAAAAATGTTTTTATTGAAGAATATAATATATGTACAAAAAAATTCTATGTTCTATAAATGCGCAATTCAATAAATCTTCACAAAATGAACAGCTGGTATAGCCAACAGAATATTCAAAGACCACACACCCCATCCCCAACCCCCCACCCCACCCCACCCCACCCCACTGTTGGGACTTCTAATGTGCAGGCTAGTTTCACCTGTCTGTGTATTTGATATAATTGGAATCATACAATATGTGCTCTTTTTTTTATAAGATTTATTTATTTATGCATACAAGAACTGGGGTATAGGCCAAAGGTATAGGGGATGAGAGGAGAGAGAGACAGAGTGGGGAACAGAACAGGCAGACTAACTGAAATACACTGCTGAGGGGAGCAGCAGGCGAGGCAGGAGAGGTCTGCTGCGCCAAGCTCCCTGCCCGGAGATCGAACTTGAGCTGCAGTGGCTGTGGATAGCTTCATAGGCAGTGTCTTAACCCCTTGCGCCACCAGGTTGGTTCCCAATATGTGCCCTTTCATCATGGCTTCTTTTGCTCACTATCACGGTTGTGAGATCCATCCCTATTGTTGCCTGGAGGGATTATTTTTCACTTTTTGTTCCCGTATGGCACATAGTTATCCAAACAGATCACATTTTCTTTATTTCCTTCTTGGTGGACTTCAGTTTGTTCCCCCTTTGGGGTTATTATAAATGTAGTTGTCACAAAAATTCATATGTGTGTCTCTTAATGAACATAACTTTTTGTTTCTTTGGGCAAATGCTCAGTAGTGAAATGTTGGGCTTTTGGCTAGGCAGCTGCTCAGCTTTAATAGAAACTGCTAAGCTGTTGCACAAAATTGCTCAACCAATTTAGATCAGCCACAAAGAGGACTTGTGTGGCCCATGCACCTGCTGTGTGCCAGTCCCTCTGTATTGGGGACTTTGCTTTTAAGGTTGACGGGGTTCTTTCACCCCTTCTTGTTAGCTGCTGCATGGAAATGTTTAGAATTTTCCAGCTGGACACAAACCAGTGAACCCATCTTCTCTCATCTGAACTCAAGTGGAAGTGACACATAGGTGTCAGACGACACACAAGGAGGGAGGTTCAGGTACAGACACAAGTGGGAAAGCCAAATGGAAGGAGAACTCATGGAGGGAAAGCCATCATGTTCACCATTTGGAGGGGATGGCAGTTTTTAAAGGATCCAGGGCAAGCAGGTCAAAGTGAGTAAGCATCCTCTCTGTAACGTGAGGTGTAAAGTGAGCAGTGCAGAAGCTACGTCTCAAATAAGGACTTCGTTTCTCAAGGCTTGGAATTAACACCACCCAGTCTTGCCAAAGACTTAGCTCACTGAATGCAAGGGTGTGTCCTTACTCATTAGCATAACTTTATTATGAGTTGGAGAAGCGACAGCTGGGGCACCTGGGCTTGACAAGTGGGAGATGGAGAAGCAGGAGAAATGCTGTCTGTGGGGAAAAGGGTCAAGTTTCCACCACCTGGATGAAAGTTGTTGAAATCATCTGTATGAGGAGTACCTTATAATTTGGTGGAAAAGGCAATCACTAGACTTGTTTAAAAAAAAAACAAAACTGATGCTTAAAGCAACTTCGCTAGCATCCACTTACCCACCTATCCAGCCAGCCAGCCAGCCAGCCAGCCAAGACCCATAACTTTTTCTTGTGGAAACTTGGGCATTTAATGGAATTATGGCAGATTCAGAGACATGCAGCAGAAAAGGAGAAATATGGCATTGACTAGAAAAAAGAATTAAAATCTCCTTTGTGGGGCTCCCTGGTTTGTGAGTTTGGACAGTGGCAAGGCCCCGGGCACACAGCTGGAAGGGCCTGGAATCTGTGGTGTTCTCCCTGAATATTGGAGCTGGGGGTTCAGAAAGTCAACCGGGGCCCCAAAGAACCTGAGTGGACACATTCCATGTGTGGGCAGCCGCCGCAAGCAGGGCCATGAGCACACCTAGTATTTAGAATTTGGCAGCATGAGGAAATAGGATCTTGCCAGCTTGCTTTCTGTGGAACCGCCTGAATTACAGCTAACACTCAATTTTATGTTAATTAACTCATAATCAGCGTAACTCGGAGCCAGGTGTGTTCTCAGTGTATTTATGTGTGGGAGGAGCACTATCTATCTGCCTTAGAGGTTTAGATCTCCCTTAGCATGAGCCAAGCTAAACAAATTAGATTAAAAAAATTCCTTACTCTGTCCCAGCCATGGGGCCTGGTGGCTGAATTTCAGGGGCTGTCTCCAGAGTGGGAAGTGTTTGTTTGCTCTGCAGTGGCACTGTGAGGGAGGCACCCTTGGCAATCCCAAGTGGAGTGGAGGACCGTGGCCCAGACTATTGAGGGGACAGAGTGTTCCAGATGATGGCATTTTTATTATGAGAAGCCTGGGGAGGCCCCATGCTATTGGAAATGCCTTTGAACTGTACTGTTGTAGCATTTCTAGAAAGATGCAATTATGGACAGCATTTGGTCCCCACAAAATTCACACACTGAAGTATTAATCCCCAATACCTTCCAATGACTGTCTTTGGAGACAGGGCCTTTAAAGAGGAGGCTCCTGTGAAGGCACAGGGAGAAGTCAGCCATGTAGAAGCCAAGGAAAGAGGCTCAGAAAACGGCACCCCTGCTGACACCTAGACCTTGGACTCCAGGCCTCCCAACTGATGAGAAAATACATGTGTTATTTAAGCTACCTCTCTGTGGAGTTTAGTCATGCAGCCCTAAAAAATCAAGAGATGGGCTAGCCAGCAAGACAGGCAAGGAAAATGGGTTCTTGTAAGATTTTCTGTGGTGACTGGGTAGGGTAAGGGTACCAAGGGATGGAGTTACTGAAAACTGCTATCTTTGCCTAAACACAAAAATTAAGAAAATGACTTTGTTGTGTTTAGAGAAGGAGGGGGAGGCAGGGGGCAGTTTTGCTAGGACATTTGGATCAGGCAGGTGGCTCATGTGCATGCGGTGCTCTCGGGACGACCTGGGCACAGGGCTCAGCTGTGCTGCACCCCTACCAGGCAGCCAGGGCTCAGCACCTCCATACAGCTCATCACCAGGCCCCCCTACAGCTCTCTGCTCTCTCCTCCCAGGGAGAGTGCCTAGTTCTTATTTTTCAGGGTCTCTGACACAAGCTCAGGTGTAAGAACTTCAGAGGTTCTGTTGGATGTGGGGGCTTCCACATGCCGGGTGCAGTATCATTTAGGAGCTTGTGAGAATGCGGAATCTTGGGCCCAGCCTAGGTCTGTTAATCAGAACCTGCAGCTCCAGGAACACACTCACCTTTGAGGGTGCTGCAGACCTGGAAAGGCGCGAGGATCTTGGAGGAGGGCCAGCTGCCCTGAGCCTAGGGAAGCATGTGTGATGGAAGGCCTCCCGGAGCGGGGGCGGAGGGGGTGGGTGCAAGAGCTGGAAATGTGTGGCTAAGGCACACAAATCCTCCCTGTCTTTGGGGTGGTGGAAGAGGAACTAAACTTTCCAAGTGGAGATGAAGCACAGAATGCTCGTCAGTCGGCAAGGTCAGGACCTAAGCCTGCAGAAGCTTGGGGTCTGGCTGGGATTAAGGTTCCCACCAGGGTGGAAAACAGTAAATCCCAATTCGCCTGCATAGGCAGAAGGCAATTAGGGGGACTCAATGCCAGAAAGGGTGGGTGGGGAACAAAGTGACACCTGACTCTTCTCTGGAAGAATCCTCTCTGGGAGTCAGACTCAGTTACTTTTATGTTGGCTATTTAAAAAAAAAATTAAGTAAAAATTCCTTTAGCACGACTCACAGGACTTGGAAGTAACAAGAAGAAAATGTGGGGGTGGGTATTACTATTTTAGTCCCCCAAGTACTTGTATTTTGAACTTTTGAAGTTTTCTCAGTGGGTTATATTTGAGAAATGATGATTGGCAGATAATGAAGAGTTTATTTATTTTTTTAAAGATTTATTTATTTATTTATACAAGCACTGGGTACAGTCAGAAGTGCCGGAGGGTGAGAGAATTCACCAGAGCCACAGTGGGGAAAAGAACAGGTAGACTGATGAAACACACTACTGAGGGGAGCAGCGGGCGCTGCAGGAGAGGTCTGTCACGCCATGTGGGACCCTTGCCCCGGGGCCGGGGATCGAACCAGCACTGCAGAGGCTGCAGGCAGCCCCGCAGCCCAGTACTCAACCACTGTGCCACCAGGGGAGGCCCAGATAATGAGAGTTTAATAGAAAAAATGGGCAAAAAGGCAGCATGAATATAGCTGTAGAAATTTTGACGTTAAATTAACTTTGACGTTTGTTTATAAATGAGCAATGCTTTTCACTAGGGAGAGATCATTTGTCTCTCTGGTGGAGTTTCTAGGTGGTTTTTATCTTTCCAGTCTTTTTCACAATTACAAAATAACTCAGTACTTAGCCAAACAAGAGGGAGCAAGGCATGAGTAAGTGCCATCCTACTTTCAAAGTTCATCCTCTGATCACTGCAGATCATTGGCGTTTGCTCAGGTATTAGTAAACATGATGATTTCAATCACTAGTCACTTCTTGTGATTTCTCCTAGTTGGTAGAAGTTACAGCTGCAGAAGAAAAGCTCTGCCAAGGAAAACCCAGGGCATCTGGGCTGTGCCACATTTGGGAAGGCAGGAAATTAGTGCAGAATAAGTTGGGAGGCCTTGACAAATCAAAGTGGCCTACTGGACTTACAGGGTTGAATTTCAAACCAAAAGGAGCAAATGGTCACAGGAGCTCACAGAGCTTGCAAGTCCAGGACAGAAAACAGCTTCCAGAGGGCAAGCCTATCTTCCTCTGCAGGCAGGTACCTTTGCCAGTCAGTGTGGGCCAGGCCCACTGAGATACTGTGAACAGTGTGAAAAGGCAGCAAAGATCAGCTGGCAAGTGGCTGAAAGGCAGAGGGCAGGACCAGGAGTGGCATGTGACATACTGGCATTCACAGGTGGTGTGACATCTGAAAGTGTCACTTTGCTCAGATGAACCAGCCAACACAGGGCGGGAACTAAAGAACACAATCACAAACTCCAAGAACGTGCTCATCTTAGCTCCCGTTTAATTTTAGTCAGATATTAAACATTTGTAAATTTTTTATACAACAGGTACATGCAAAGTTACAAATATAGAAAATATAAAGTACATGCATATTTCAAAGACCACTTTGGATCCTTATACAAAACTATTTGGTGCACATTGTAAGCCTAAGGACCACACACGAGCTTCCCACATATTAAGCATTTAGTACCTTACAAAAACCAGTGATGCATTAGATACTTCTCTAACCAAAACTTCTAAGTTTGTCATATGCAACATATATATATATATTTTACATAGAATACCTGCACAGTGCAAGCCAGTAACATTGCAGGATAGTAATCTATATCTGCTACGTGACAATATTGAACGACCCAGGGAATAATTTTACCTTATTTAAACAACGGCAACAGAATTTCTTTTTCTACTCTGAATGGATCAAATTTCTGTCATCTCCAACCTAAGACTTTTTTTGATTGCCTTCCTATTTTCTGATTCAAAAGCCAAATACAGCAACTGAAGACTCGACCTAGTTCTGTTCTTTGATAATTATGAGACAGTAATGAAGAAATGCATGCCTTTTCTTAGCGCGCTAATCATTTTCATTATCACATAATCCTCTCTGATAATGGTGTATTTACAGCTGCTGCTGCTTCCATGTTAAAATCTCCTGGCTTCAACCAGACCATGTCACATTCATTCTAGTTTCTGAGTAAACAAAGGAGATTTGCTCTCAACGTTCAGAAGGTAATTTTTTTTTTTTTTTTTACTGTCTTAATCTACAGTTTATGTTATTAAAGAAAGGAATGCCACGTGTGGGAACTTTAAACATCCGGCACAGGAGGAGCTTGCCTCCAAGGACACTGCTCCTAAATGTGAGGTTTTCCAGTCCTAGAAGCCTTTCATGTTGGCTGTGTTCATCCCCTGTGAAAATATCCTCTGCCCAGGGGTCTAGTATTGTGTGAATGGTCACTCTTGGTGCAGTGGCTGTTACTGTATAGCCCATAGCGTAAAATGCAAACACCGTCACAGTCTCTGTAGACACAGGCACAGGCTGTGGCTTGGGCTGAGCCTGTGCCCAAGAGCCAAGGCTCTCTAGTTTTGCTTCTGAATGAGTATCATGTGGCCTCCTTCCAAATTTGGCAGAAATGCTGCTTGAGCAGGGAAATGCAGTCAGGTTTTCAAAAACAGATGAGAAAATGTCTTTAAATTGCTACGAAATCACTGCTAAGATGGGGAATTACTGTACTGAGCTCGAGCTGGGGAAGAAGTTGGAGGTTTTTAGGCAAGTGTTTAAAGACTATTTTGAGTATTGTTTGAGCCTCAACCCATTGCACAAGACAAAAAATAAGCCCAGATCAGCCAGTGGTCATTTGCTGTTACACTCTTATCAGCCTGGCATCAGCACTGGCCCAGAAGGACCCAGTGGAACGGGGCTTGCATGGCTAGCATCCTGGTCTACTCTACATTTCCCAGTGCCCATTGGTGCCAGGGTATTAGCCTATGGGTGACGAAGAGAGAAGCAAGGAGACACCACCACTAAAAGGGCTGCAGGTAGGTACCCATCCCCAACCTGATAAAAGATGAAGACGGTGAAAGCAGGAAGCTGTCCTCATCCCACTATCAGGAAGATGAGCAAAGAGATGAGGAGGATCACAGGCGGGGAGGAGAAGAGGATCATGCTGGCCCCTCTCTGGTAAGAGGCCTGGTACTCTTTCTGGTACTGGGTGATGCACATCTGCTCCACCACGCGCTCCATTATCTTGATGTCTGTCTCGGTGAAGTTCTCGCCCTTGGTGGTGGTGGTCACTGTGTGCTGCTTGACTGTGATGTTGACGCAGTCGTGCACGAAGTTGTTCTGGTTGTTGTACTGATCAACCGGCTTGTAGTACACTTGGTTGGGGTAGCGGTTCATGTTCTCACGATAGTAACGGTCCTCATACTCATTGCCAAAGTGCATGAGGGGCCTGCTCATGGCACTCCCCAGCATGTAGCCGCCGAGGCCCCCAACGACTGCCCCAGCGGCGGCAGCTCCTGCCACATGCTTCATGTTGGTTTTTGGCTTACTTGGCTTGTTCCACTGATTGTGGGTGCCACCACCTTGACCCCAGCCTCCACCGTGGGGCTGTCCCCAGCCTCCACCGCCGTGGGGCTGACCCCAGCCGCCACCACCATGGGGCTGTCCCCAGCCTCCACCGCCGTGGGGCTGACCCCAGCCTCCACCGCCGTGGGGCTGACCCCAGCCGCCACCACCCTGGGGTGGGTAGCGGTTACCTCCAGAACTGCCCTGCCCCGGGTATCGGCTCCCCCCAGTGTTCCATCCTCCTCCAGGCTTCGGGCGCTTCTTGCAGAGGCCTACGTCACTCCATGTGGCCACAAAGAGAACCAGCATCCAGTAGCCTATGTGGCTTTTCACCATGGTGACTTATCTGCAAAATGAAGAGGGTGTTAGTGTCTTATGTGTATGTTGAAACCACTTAGCATTTGCTGCTTAATGGATGGGCGCATAGCACTTAGGGCAAAAGTAGTTGTAAGGAAAGGGTTGACATAATTCTTTCTTGTTCTCTAAGGACAAATTTGACCTTAAGATAATTTCTGGTTCTGTTTCCTGGGAACTTGATAAAAGTGGAATGCCAGCAAAATTGCTTATGATAAAAATCACCACTGATTGATAACACTGCTTCTGGACTGGGAGAAATGTAAACACCTGGTGGTTTTACCATAGCTTTCCGCTTCTTTGGGGCAGCGATTCTTACAACCAGGCACATCCACGGGTGTGTCTCTGGAACCTGTGCCCCCCGGGCTGTTATGAGGGATATGGGCTCCAGTGGGGCCTGGCCTTCTACGCCAATGGAACCCCTTACCCACCAATATGAATCTCACTCCCTTGGCACCTGGAGCATTATCTGTGGGGGCTGGGAGTGGAGACATGTCCCAGGGTGCTGTGTGGACTACCTCGAGGACCATGGGGTGGTCCCTATGGCAGTCTCATGGGTGTAATGCCTAGTTAGGAAGGTCCCTAAGCCCCCAACAATGGGTGCTGCAGTTAATGAAATAGTAAGCAGCCAGCTCATGTCTTCTTTCCTCGCTCCTCAGGGGTTAGGGCAGTGCCTGGCACAGAGCAGGCACACAATAGATATTTGTTAAGTGAAAGGATTAATAACCCCTGAGCATCTTTGTGCAAAGAAGAATTTCCTAAAAGGAATTTGCAATACAATTTTTTTTTTTTGAAAACAGTAAACATGCAGAATTTTGCAAGGTCACCTGTAAATTCAACTTCCTCTCCATGGACAGACAGGCAGGGCTGCTCAACATTGGGTAAGAATGGCTGTTTTGGCAGTCACTCACCAAATGAGTTTTAGTTCAGCATTTAGTGGTTTCCAGTTTTTGATACAAAAGATGCATGTCTTACATGAAAGGGCTAAATAGAGGTTAGGAAAATATAAGCCAAATATCCCAACTCATTTATGATGCTTTGCCAAATGCATACTCATTAAGTTAAAAATCTCCTTTCAGATTAGAGATGTCATTTGCCTTGGGAGCGCAGTTCCAAGGGCAGAGATCAAAGACACATAATAGGATGATTAGTAAACAGTTTATGCTGTACCCCATGTCAAACCATATGCTCCAAAACATCATGTGTCATTAAACCAAATGGCACACACTGCACCACGGATGGCAGTCTAATCCCCTGCATCGGGATTATCTTCCAATCAAAGTGGTATCAGACACTGGAAAATTACTTTTATATCCTTCAGAGCTAATGACTAAATAGGATAATATTCAGAGGAAGAAGAATGATTAAACAAATGAATAAATATCCTGTTTATGTTTCTACCATCATTATTGAAATGCCTTGGTGGTTAGAGGTAAACAAAAATACATCTGAAAGTTACAAACCAAGTTAAACTCTTAGATTATGCCAATTAGAAATTTCTGGAGCTCTTCTGGGGGAAGGGTCAGAGGGCAGGGTCCAGGGACATGCTGTCCAGCCTCCTTTCTGGACGAACATTTCCTGGCTCCCCAGCCTTTGCAGCCTGCTCCCTTGATCTAATCTCCTTTTGCTCAAGGGACCCAGCTCTTGGCCTCCATCTATTATTTATTGTTTGCTTATTGTTCATGTTGTTCTCCTGTCAGTTCAAATACCTCAAGGAACTGAACTAGGGATTATCCCCTCAGTCAGTCATTCCCCAGCTAAAGGATTTTTATGCCACCCTTTTTTCTATTCACCCCAATGAACCAAACCCAGCCAATAACACAGAGTAGTTCTTGAATTTTCTTTTTCTCACAGAACATACTGACTCTATCAGCAAAGACTTTATTTTATCAGACCCACCTGAAAAAGCAATCCTAAATCCTGCAGCCAATCATATTTTCCTATCGTAGGTGACGCCTCTATTACTTCTCAACATCCTTTGACAGGGTCTGACACCCCCTACCTCTCTCACTCCCGCCTCTGCCTTCCATTGTGTGTTCTGCACTCAGCAGCCTAAGAGAGCCTTTTAATATGCAGGTCACACTATGCCACTCGCCGTGTCCCTAAGCAGCACTCGGCACTCATTCATGCCCAGGATAAAGCATAAAGCCCTCACCATGCTGGCTAGGCCCCCACACCACCTGGCTCCAGCTGCCTGCCTCTCCCCACCCAGCAAGCACTTTTCCACCTCAGGCCTTTGCATTTGCTGCTGCTGAAGCCAGCAGCTTACTAGGCTCAAGTCAGCAATAATGTCATCTCAGAGGGGTTGTCCCCACCACCATGCTATCCCCTGACCCGGTTTCATTCCCCCCAGGGCGGGAGTTTTGCTTTGTCCATATCAATGTCCCTAACGCCTCCACTAGTCCCTGACACACATGCAAAATAAATGCTGATTGAATAGGTGAGTGTGAAAACATCTATAATAAAGCATAAAAATAATCAATATAAAAAAGCATAAAAAACTAAATATTACATGGATATTTAAAGTGACGCATATTTATGAATTTTCAAAAACATTCTTTTAGGCAATGGCTAGCTGTCAGGCATCTTCGATTCAGTGAAATATTTATTTCATGTGCCAGCGACCAAGGGGATGCTGGCTGGATGAAAACGTTACAGGAAAAGAAAAGGCAGGAGGAAGAGGTGGCTGTAAGGGAAATAACACTGACTTTAGCTTTGAACGTGCATCAGTCAAGATTGCGAGAGTTACAGCTCTGTAAGCTCTTGTGGACATCTGAGCAAGGGCTGACACCACACAGCTGGGGAGCAGAAAGGGACCTGAGGGAAGGAAGTGGGCTGGGCACAGAGCAAGTGAAGACAGGTGGGGAGAGTGAACCATGGCAGGTCTGGGGACTGCGGTGTTTCGTGGGAGTGGAGTTTCCACGCACAGTGGAGAGGTGACAAAGAGCCTTATAGGCCAGGAGAGCAGACACCCTGACTTGCCCAGGACAGATATAGTTATTGTTCCTATGGTGCCGCTTTCATTCCCAAGAGAGGCTAGGTCATATTGTCAGACAAATTATAAGGCATATTAAGAGGGTGGGCTTGATCTTAAAGACCCTGGGTAGCCACTGAAGACATCTTAGAAAGAACATTGGGGAGAATGGAGTGGGGACTGTGTGTGTGTGTGTGTGTGTGTGTAAGCAGGAAAACTAGTCAGAAGGCAACCGCAGTGATCAAAGTAGAAGAAAGTGGTCTTGCCCCGGGAAGCAGAGCAGCGATGATCTGATAAAGAAGGTAGTTTCTCGAGGGCTTGTTGCTTGATGTGGAAGGCAAGGGACTAGAAGAGTTGAAGGACACCCAGGTTTCTGGACTGGGTGACTGTGGACACAGAACACAGAGTTGGAGCACCTCTGCAGGGACATAAATGAGGGGCTTGGCTTTGACAGGACTGTTATTAAGTGACATGTGTGACAACAGATAGCAGTACACAGTTAGCTTGGTGAGTCTGGAGCTGAGGAAGGACCATAAACCGGCAATAAAGACAAAGAGAAGAAGTAACAGCAGCAAGTAACACAAGGAAGGAGCTCTAGAGCTACTGTGTGCAATTAATGTGATCACACACATAGAAAATCAACAGAAGCAACATGAGATGTAGTACTAGAGTTCAGCGAGGTCTTGGGACACAAAATTGGCCTACAGTATCAATAGCACTTCTCTACACTAGTGGTAATTGACTAGAAAAAAAAATTAAGTAAGACATACACAACAGTCACCCAAACTGTGAAGTGTTCAGGCTGACATACTGAGGAAATTTTTAAAAATTGCTGTAAAGAATATAAAAAAATGATCTACAAAGATCAGAAGGTGTTCCATGGTCTTGATTGGGATAATTTAGCATTATAAAGATGTCAGTACCTCAGGATGAACCTGCTGACAAAATGGATAGAATAGGTATATGTGTGGCTTTGGTGACCATGCCATCTACTGAAATAGGGGAAACTGGTGGAAGGTTTTGCTCAGGAGAGGAAACCAAGAGTTTTAATTTGGACATATTAACTTTGCTCCAGCTAGGAGACCTAAATGGAGATATCAATTTAGGCAATTAAGAATCTGAAACATTAAAAAAAAAAAGGAATCTGAAACTTGATAAAGAAAAATATTTGGGTATCTCTACTTGAGAAGTAGAGCTAATAGCCAAGAAAATAAAAGGCCAAGATTCAAACCCCAGTGTATTCTGTGTGCACGGCTCACCCAGTAAAACAGGTGCCATAATCCAAAAGAAAATACCATTGATTTTAAGAGTTTAGTAGAAGAAGAATATACACTGTGACCAATAAGGAATTTTTTTTAGAACTACAAGGATTCCTCAAAATCAGGAGCTCTATTAATAGGTCAAGGAGGAAAAAAAGCTTCTCTGTAGATATTGAAAAGTTTTCAATTACAATCAATATCTATTCCTGATTTTTTTAAAGGTTTAAGCTGTTAGAATTGCTATCGAAAACACACAGCTCACAGCCTATCTTAATTGAAAGAGGAAAGGCATTCCAACCATGTAGTGAACAATAAAAGAATGCAAGCATTTACTGTTATTTTCATTATTCAGGAAGTTCTACCCAGATCTAATTTTTTACTAGGAAATCACCCAAATATATCTTATGGTAGCTGTTTTTAAAATATATATCTATATTAAAATATAGATAAATATATATAAATATAAATAAAATATAAATTATATATATATATTACCAGTAAGTCCCCAAATCAGTTGTAATTATTTAAATGATTTAGTGTAGGAAAAAAATCCCACTCATAATGGCAAGAAAATATTAAAAGCTTCTAGAACTTAACCTAAAAATAAAAAGTGGAACTTGCATGAGGAAAGCTATAAAATTTTACTGAGATACATAAATGAAAGACTATCCAATTTAAAGGGTTTGTTATTGGTTTGGCTTTATCTGACCCTTTATTTTGTTTCTCTATATTCCACATATGAGTGACACCTTGTTTCTCCTTCAAAAGACAAATACCAGATAGTGTCACTTATATGTGAGAAACACATGCACAATGTTTCTGGCTGGTGAAACCAATACTGCAAAAAAAAAAAAAAAAACCAATTCACCTACTAATAATCCATAAAGTCAACACAATTTCAGTTAGAATTCAAAAGGGATTTTAAAGAACATGAGGAAATGATAGCTCAAAATTATGATGTCTGAAGACATAAGTGAACTGAAAGAAAATCCAGGGTGCACTTAGCCTGTCAGGTATTTTTTTTTTTAAGATTTATTTATTTTTATACAAGAACTGGGGTACAGGCCAGAGGTGCAAGAGGGTGAGAGGATTCACCAGAGACAGTGGGGAGCAGAACAGGCAGATGACAGAAATACACTGCTGGGGGAGCAGCGGGCGCGACAGGAGAGGTCTGCCGTGCTGTGTGGGACTCTCGCTGGCCGGCCAGAATCGAACCCACACTGCAGAGGCTGCCGACTGCTTCACAGCGTGTTGCTCAACCCGCTGTGCCACCAGGGAGGCCCTAGCCTGTCAGGTATTAAACTGCCTTGCAAAGCTACAATGAATTAGATCATGTGGCACTGAGGTATGAGTAGAATGGCAATGGGAAGAGAAAGGAGGTACAAAGCAACCACAGGTCACCCCATCATCCTATTTCCTTATACCTGTGACCTGAATCAGAATTAGTAGGAACTTGCCCAGTGGTCTGTGCCAGCCAAAATTCTGATACTCAGAACATGTTACAACTTGAAACTTAATTGGTTAATCTGGGAAGTGGCACTAAAAAGCCTCCCATCCCCATTTCCTGCCTTTACTAAGTAGAGCTCTTTCATCACATGAGTCTTTTTTGAAGTTATTGTTTGTTAAAGAATCTGATGCAAGCGATACAACATTTTGCAAAGAATTTATGGGTGGGGGTTTTCACTGGTACCCTGGGACCTAGTGCTGAAATGAACAGGGCAAAGAGCCCTAACATGCTCACCATCAGAATTACCTGGACAGCTTTTAAAAAACAACATTGCTGGAGAGCCTCCCTGGTGGCTCTAGGGGTTAAGCACCGCACTATGAAGCAATCCGCAGCCTCTGTAGCACGAGTTCGATCCCCAGCGGGCCAGGGAGCAACCCACATGGCGCAGTAGACCTCTCTCCTGTCTCGCCCACTGCTCCCCTCAACAGTGCATTTCAGTAGATCTGCCTGTTCTGCTCCCCACTCTGTCTCTGGTGAATGCTCTCACCTCCCCCACACCTCTGGTCTGTACCCCAGCTCTTGTATGCATAAATAAATCTTTAAAAAAAAATTGCTGGAGCCTACCCCAGGGCAACAGCTTGGGAGTATCTAACGATGGGATCTGAGAGTACATAGGCCAGTTTTGTCCTGGTACACTTCACTTTACTGTACTTCACGGATAATGCATTTTTCATGAACTTAAGGTTTGTGACAACCCTGCTTGTACAGCAAGGCTACTGGCCCATTTTCTAACAGCATCTCTCTCCACCACATTATCACTTCATTCTGATGGTCTGGAAGCTAATGTGGACAATCTACAAGGTGTGTCTGTATAACAGCTTCCAAGGGAATTGCACCTAGCCTTCAGAAGTCCAACTCAACAACAGTTACGGTGCTTTTCACAAAAGGGCACACCTCCCTTGAAGCAACTATATAATACTGTAATGATAGTAGTAAGTTGAACATGGTAAGAGAAGAGGGATGTACAAATTGAAGAAAAATTCTCCTAACTTTAAGAACTGCTGCTCATACCATCCACTCAAGGGTTACTGTAAAATGCTGCAGTCATCACTGGCTTGGATACAGGCACGTTTTGAATATTTAATATGCAGCAGTTTGAAGCTGACATAGTAGCCTTGGAAGAAGAAATAAGATCCGAAAAGGGGGAATGGAATAGGTAAGTTAAAACTACAACTTCGAAAACTTTTCACCTCATAAAACGTTTTGTCAGTTGGTTGACAGTCATCCTCAGCAATAATTTGGTGAAGAAATGCTTGCTGTTATTGTTTTATTATAATGTTTAAAATGGTTGCTTCCTTACATAATTTGGCATAATTCTAGAGGAAGGTGTGGCCTTTTCTCTGTAAAATCAAGCTTGATTCACAAGAAAGGATGATGCAATAGGCGTGAGTTACATCTATAGCCCCAGTGGCCCCCAGAGCATGGCTTGTGATCACAGCCTTTCCAGATTCATGTTTTCTATGACAGTTGGTGACTTTTAACCATCACAAGACCAAAGAGATTCCACAGCATACGTACATCTGTCGTGGTTCTGCTAAGCTGGATTTGTGCCTCCAGGAAGAGAATGCTTCAGCTTTGCTGAAATTGTTCAGTTTTCCAATATATCCAGGAACCCTTAAAAACAACATCAAAAAAGAAAAAACAGTTTTGACAAATCAGTTTAAGAAAAGGTTCCTTACAAGAAAAAAGTACTATATAAATGACTAAGCCATTAATCAGTCTATTCAAGAAAAAGTGAAAATATTTGGGGAAAAAAAGACATGAGATTGGTTGAAAAAGCAGCAAACATGATGGTGAGAGCTCTCCCTTTCACACACAGAAAACTGTGGGTCCATTTCACTTTAAAAATGGAAACCTGTGAACTAGTTTAAAATTATATTTAGAAAAATACACAAATAAAAAGAAGTTGAAATCACCCATAATTTCTACTAAAACCTTCATTCTTAAATGTTTTTTCTTTTAGATTTTTCAACACGCATTCAACTATAAGTAGATACAGATTAGGAACCTGAATTTTGATCAGTCTTGCTTCTGATCTTGAAAGAGAATGCATTCAAAAGTTATCCATCAAGTCTGTTTGCTATTTTTGTTATATAATCCTTATCAAGTTAGGGGAGTTTTCGCCTATTCTTAGTCTGCTAATAATTTTTTTTTAGTGATAATCAGATATTGACCTTTATCAAATACTTAATGGATTACAGGGGTCCAAAAACATATTTTTTGAAGGTTACATAATGTGCCTTTTATAATATGCCATGATTTTCTTACCTAGTGCCCTGCTGTTAGACATTTAGGTTGTTTCCCAGTTGGTTCTAATTTTAGATCATTCTGCTCTGACTACATGCCTGCATATGGCTGCTTTCCCCCCTATTGTTTGCTTGTTCTACTACAGGTAAATTCCCTGGAGTGGGGTTTCTGGGTCACCACTTATGTGCCAGCAGATTGCTTAACAAAAACCTGGTACTGATTCAGTGTCCCCAGTGGGGTGTGACTAGGGAAAGAATAGAGATACATGTGTGTGCATAACAAGGGTCAGTAACATTGAAGGTTAAAATTCTGATAACTGTGGCCTCAATCATTTCCCTTATTTTATAAATAGACATAAAGAAGTCTGGGAAATTAGGGGTAATGTCCAAGGTTAGTTTCACAGTCAACTTTTGAACCCAAAACCAGGCCACTTCCCCAATAATTGAAAATGCAGGTATCAGGGAAACTTCCCATCTGGGTTGCAGTTACTATAACTAACTATTGCTTTTGTTAATTTAAGAGCTGTTAAATGATGACCTGAACTTGCTTTAATTTGCACTTTATTTTGCAAATTAGGCATCATTTCGCCATTTAACTACCAAATCCCAATAATTTTCTTTCACAAGTACAAGAAGCTTGTGTCAGATCAAATAACATACAATCACATCCTAGGTGTCTGCTTTCTTCCCCTTCCTGGTTAGTTCTTTTTCACTTTAAGAGCTGCTCAGGGTTTGTGCCGATGAAACTGTTTTTTCTCAATGGCGAGCGTTTAATTTTTTCATCACATCTGCGAGCTGTTCATTTTTCCGACGGTCTGACATTTTTATTCAGTTTTCTGTCTCTACATCCCCCCTCATCCCCCTATAATCCGATTTATCAAAATCTCTAATCCTATGCGACCTGGAGCTTTTCATGACAGAAAGGTAAACACTTCAAATGTTCAGCATGTGGGAACTGCTGATTGAACGGCGATGCTCTGGCTAATCTCTAAATACCCGAAAATTTAATGTGGTCATGAAGATAATCTCGGGGTGGCGAAATTGCATATGATGTATGAATCTGCAGATGAGGAAACTGGACAAGAAGAAGAAGGGGTTTTGAGGTGGTGAAGGTGGTTGTGATGGGTTGACGATAATAAAAAACTGTTTGCTGCAGCAACCACAAGGAGATGAGTAAACAAACAAAAGAGACAGTAAAAATTGATTTCTCCACATTGTTTAATCAAACGTGAAGGCTGGTCCTGGGGGTGCTGCTGCCCGCCGGGACCCCCTCCCTCTGAGTTGTGTCCCTCCAGTGGGGCAACTAAGAGGTCACAGTGGGTCAGCAGCACGGTGTCGCCCCAGACCCTCGTCCCCGGCCCCCCGCGGTGGGGGTGGGGCCTCTCGAGGCCTCTCCCTGGTCAAGGCCCGAGGCCCTGCCCACGCCCTGCTCGTCCAGGGCTCAGCCCTAGTGGCCGGGGTGGGGCTGGAGGCCCCAAGAGCTCCCGGAGTCCTTCCCCGCTGAGATTCCGGCCCCCGCGGGCGCCCGCTCCTCCAGCCCACGCACCCCTGGGGCTCGGGGAGGGAGTTGGGGGGGCCGGGCCTGCCCCACCTCCGCTCCAGGCCGCTCCCCGGGCGGCCAGCGGGCTGGTGACGGGGGACCGCGGCCCCCAGGACCCCCTCTCTGAAGCGCGTTCGCCGCCCTCCTCGGGTTCCCAGGCCGCGTAAGGACGGGTGGAACGCCCCCATTTTCCCGCACCCCACTTTCCCCGAGGCCCCTCTGGCCGCGCGACTCGCCCATCCCGCCGTGGACACGCGTCGCAGGGGGAGCGCCCGGTCAGCGCCATCTACCCCCCCGGGGGGCCCGGCCCGGCGCGCCCCACGCCCCCACTCGGAATACGAGGGGCCTTCCTGTCCAGAAGGGCCCCCCAAGCGGCGTCCTCCAGGCACCCACAAGCGCCTCGAGGCTGGTCCCGCGCGCCCAGCGCCCCAGGGAGCCCCCGGGCCCTCCCCATGCGGCGCCCCGGCCCGGCAGCACCCCGCTTCCGAGGACCCCTGTCCCGCACTCTGGGGTGTCGGGGCGACAAGGCCGCTTACCTGCCTCTGCGGGACGGCGCAGCTCGCAGCTCCGCGGCTGTCAGCGACTGGCGCCCGCGCGGGCGTCGCGGGGTGCAGGGGCGGGGCGGGGGCGGGCCCGCGGCGGGCCAATGGCGGGCGGCGTCGGGCCCGCTGGGGCGCGCCCGGGGCCGGCGACTGGGGGTGCGATGCAAAGGTGCCCCCCGCCTGGGCAGCGCCCGGAGACTGGTCATCGGAAAATATTCGTTGGGGTTCGGTGAAACACCCGCATCAGCTGACACCGCCCCCCGGTGTCATCACTTCCTGACGTTGCTCATTGATGGTAAAAATCATCCCAACTCCCCGGTTACATAACGGAGACCTGAGGAAATGAAAGATAAGGGAATGAGAAAGCACTTTGGTCAGAAATGCCTAAAGAGAAAATAAATGCTACTTTGGGTTGAGCCCCATGTTTTGAGCTTTCACACAAGTCATTAAAATTTGAGACCTGGAAAGGCGATTAGGCCGCTCCTGTTCCTGTTTATTCGGTTCCTGCTCCTTACATGCAAAAGAGATGCTTGAGATTAGTAGCCACAAATGGGAAAATGGACTCCATCTCATCTAGTACCTGAGATACTTTGTAAAAAACATCGTTTTTGCTCATTATTGCTGCTAAGAATTTAGGGTTTGGTTTCATTTAAAGAATGGGCAGGTATGAAGTGATAGGACAGAAATTAAAGTTAGAAGATCATATAATTTTTACTCAAATTGGGGCACTTTTGAGAGTGCACACACACACCCTATTTTATTTATATGTTTTTATCCCGGTAGCATTGGTTTACAACACTGTATGTGATTCAGAGACCTGGGTTCACCAGACCACACCCACCGCCAGGGCAGCCACAGGACTCTGCCATAAGCCCTAGTGCCCCTCCCCTTCATTCAGATTTCTAGGGTTTATTATTGGTTTGTTTTGTTATATTCCACACAAGTGAAACTACTTGATATTTGTCTTTCTCCTTCTGACTTAACTCACTTCTCATTATCCTTCCAGTTCCATCCATGTTGTGTCAAAGCGCAGGAATTCATCTTTTTTTTTTTTTAATACCTGAGTAGTATTCCATCATAGATACATCAACTCAGATTTTTAAAGCCTGCTCCTGCTCCTCTGTCTCTTGCTTAGGTTGTTTCCATAATTGGCTATTGCAAATAGTGCTGAATGATCATAGGAGTGGATACATCCCTTCAAATAGTAATTTTGCGTTCTTCAGGTAGATACCTGGGAGTGGGAAATGGCTAGAGATGGTAGATATATTACTAATATTTTGAGAAACCTCAGTACTATTTCTCCTAGGGTCTGGACCAGTCTACAGCCCCACAACAAGCATATGAGCGCTCTTTTTTCTCCACATCCTCACTGACTCTTGTTGTGTCTGGTCTTTTTGATATGGGAAGGGCAATATCAGTCAAGGCAGATCAGTAGGCATGAGCCAGGACTGTCTTGGGAAAGTGGGATATTTAGTCCCCTTGTTATGGGCCAAGATTCCACCAAGGGGGTAAGAAAAGAGGTTTAAGAATATGGAGACACCTCTTGAAATGGGATTTAACTTAAATACCTGCACCCCATCACTGGCAACTCTAGTGGGAGGTGACAAGTCAGGAGAATTGTGCAGAGTAAGGTGAGCAGCAGCCTCCTGGGGTGAAACTGCAGGGGTGTTTATATGAATGGGGATGAGAGTTAGAAAGGTGGGCTGGGAAATGTGAGGTGTGGCAAACACCAAGGTTGGCATGGACTGAGACCTGATTCAGGAACAGACAACTGGATCATGTTAGAAATGAGCTTCAGGCAGCAATACCAGGGTGCTTCTTTTTTTTAAAATCTAATCAGTCTCATGTAAGGATTGTGTGGACAGTGTGTTTAGAGCCTTACCTCCTTTCCTCAGAGATGGCTGATTTTGAGATGATGGGGGGAGCAAAGAATCTCTTTGAGTCTCATGCTGGGGTGGGGCCCAGAGTGGGTGATCAGATCAGATTGGGCAAGGGACTGGCTTCCCCCTGGCAGGAGGGGCTCTGTAAAATTTAAAGATGCTAAGGCTATTTTTATTTTCTTAAAAGAATCCTGACCCAATGCTCTCCTTCCTCCCTTCCCAAACACACACCCAGAAAAGGCTCAAAAGACAGAGTATTTCTTGGAGAGATTATGCAACTAAAAGGGATTGTCTGACATCCCATTCTGGCTATTATTGCTATGCAGCAACTACCCCCAAACTCAGTGGTTTACTATTTTTTTAATTAAAAAAAATATTTATTTATTTACACATACAAGAGCTGGGGTACAGGCCAGAGATGCAGGGTTGGGGGGCGGTGACGGGATTCACCAGAGACAGAGTGGGAAACAGAACAGGCAGACTGACTGAAACACACTGCTGAGGGGCGGAGCGGGCAAGACAGGAGAGATCTGCTTCACTATGTGGGTTGCTCCCTGGCCGGCCGGGGATTGAATTTGTGTTGCAGAGGCTGTGGATTGCTTCATAGTGCGGTGCTTAACCCCTTGCGCCACCAGGGAGGCCCTTAAAGACAGGAAGGAAGAGGGAAGGAAGAAAGGCTACACCTCTGAACATGTAATATGGAAGCAAGCGCTTTGTTATTGCTTTTTATGGTACCATGGTCTTTATTGGTGGCAATGGGAAGTGGAGTGGGTGATAGGGTACAATAACTAAGGCGCCAGGGAGTTTCCAAAGGTCTGGTGGTGAGCACTACTAGAAAGAAACTTGTTTGTAATAATAGTATTAAATTACGTAGTAATTAAAGTAACAATAAAGCATGTAGTATAGACAGACGCAGATGTCGTGGATGTCCATGACAGAGACACATGTGGTCATGGTAAGTAGCAGTGTGTGGCTTGTGAACTGTGATCTGGATGGAAGCGGCAAGGATTTCTTTCTAACACAGTAAGTGAGTGTTTTGTTTGCTTTTTCCTCAAGAGGGACTTTGCAGATGCTGAATGTTTTTATTTTAAGGGAGGTGGTTGATGGTGTGGATCAATGCCATCCTCACTGGCCAGGGCTTGGGTGAGGGTTTACAGTGTGGAAAGGTGGGTGGCAGGGCCTGGGCCCGGAAAGGGTCTTTGGGTTTCAGGAGCTCTCCCAGCATGGGCTGCTCAAAATCACTCTGGTGTAAAGTACTTGAAAATCAGAATGTGACTGTTGAACCCATTACAAAGGTGAATGAATTAGACTTTCTGCTTGTCTATGGTGCTCTTGAGGGAAGGGACAGAACAGGAGTCTGGCATTTTCTGTTTCTAATCTGTTTAAGCATGCTGGATGTAGCAACAGTATATGTCTCTCTCTGTCCCATCAGATCAATGCTCCCATTTCCTTTCTTCTTTTACCTTCTAGTCTTAACCAACTTTGTTTTCTTACATTCCAAGGGAAAAGATCATCGCTAGGAAGATAAAGTCGGAATTGCTGACCACCAGGTGACAGCGAGAGTGAGTTGCGTCAACTGAAACCTTCAGATGCTTGTGTCACAGGATGGGCATGCTGACCCTTGCCTGTCCCCACTAGCTAAATAGCCCTGCCCTCTGCCAAAGAACAGGATGGGGGTCTTTCAGACACTAGCCTGCGGCCCTCCTCGATTTGTCGATAAATTGAACTACATTTCTTCTCAAACTCTGTTTCCTTTATTGACCAAGGGAACTGAAACTGGCCGGCATTCTGGTTTCATTGCAAAAACCCACCTCTGTCTTGTTTTTAAAATATACTCTGTGCTGATGTCACCTTATGGCCACTTCCTTTGGGGTTCTCTGAGTCCCTGAGCTGTTGTGTTAGGGGAAGGTCCTGTGTTGGAGGAAAGGGCTGGGGGGCATCTCAGCTGTGTCCAGCTCTGGATCACAGCAGAGTCGGACCTGACACCTGGTGGGTTGTTCCTGCCAGGAGCCCCCAGAAAGAAGGCTTGTCTGAGAGGTGAGCAAGTTTGCCAGCAAAGCTGGGCTTGGTAGCAAAGATAATTCCTCCCTTATATTTGTTGTCCAAGTCCAGAACCTGTGGACAAAGTTCTGCGTCCTGTGCCAAGGGTGGCTGTGGATGGGAAAATGGAAAGAATTTTTACCACCTGAAGGCTGGAAATCTGTAGGATTTTAGGGAAACAGAGGTAGCAGGAGTGCCTTCACTTCTGTCTGGGGCACTGCTTGGCTGTGGGTTTGGAAAACCCTCAGCAATCTGAGGTTTTTAGGATCTCAGCCTAAAAGCTGGAGGCCCATGCAGGGGAGCCTGGAAGAGGAACTTGTGTGTGGATAGGCACTAATGCCCCTCCTGTATTTCTGGAGGAACAGCCTTCTTGTCTAAGTGGAGGCAGTAAAAATAAAGAAGCATTTAAAAAGAAAGCATCTTTCCTCTTCGGTTTTCTTCCCTTCTCTTTGCTAATAAAAACTTGATCTGCTTATGCTGTAATGACTCTTGGTTATTTTCAACTCCTTTATAAATGAACATGGCTTCGATGGGTTCCTGGAAATTCATGTCATTCAAGATTTCTTTAAAATAAAAATGTGAAAATGCATCAAGATGGTATTACATTTTGAATCATTTGTAAGGCAAAATCACTCCTTGATGTATTTGCAGGTCCACAGCCTGTCTGGCTTTGCAAGGCACACCTTCCAGCACCCTCCACATCATTACATCATTGCTAGTGACAGAACAACCTCTGCAGCCAGGGCTATCACCCTGTGCTTTACCAGGACTCCAGCAGCCACCTTTGCTGGAAATTTGCCTTCCAGGGCCATCTTCCAGGCTGCACTGACCATGCATTCCTCTCAAAGCCCATGTTGGTGCCTCACATATTAAAATTCCAACTCTGCACCGGTTGACACTCTCCCAACTTATATTCTGTTTCTTGTTTTTGGAAATTTTGTGCACTCAATTCTGTGAAATTTTCTTAAGAAGTACCTAAAGATTTTGTTTCAATCTTCTGATGGGTTGTTATTTCTTAGAATGCAACCTTATTCCAAGACTGAACTGAGAGGAATTGCTCGACTGGGGCTACACAGAAAATGCCAAACGAGTAGCAGCTTGAAAAAAAGTTAATGCTATAGATGGAAACAAACTTGAGTGGCAAAATTGACACTATGAATGTAAAAATGGTAGGAAGTCATGTCAAAGCTCACATACAGTATTGCTATTATTTTCTACCGAATAATGTAGCTGAGACAAACCAGGATTGGAAATCCTGAATTTAGAGCAATCATAAAAATTTTTCTGAAAATTCTGGTTGATCCTTGTTCATATTTTGCTTCTGATTTTCCTGCCAGGGAGAAGCAACTTGAGACTGAAAGGGGGTGGTAGGACTGAGTCCTGGGGTTGGATGAACCTGGAGGTTGAGAGTTTAGCATGGAGTCAGCCACACTTGATTGCATTAAAGGCAGTCAGGTGTCCAGAACTATATCAACCATATCTGAAGGGAATAAAACCCTGTGCATGAGAGTGGGGTGTCAGACCTGTGGCTTAAAGCTCAAACCCAAAACTCCCTTGTTTGCAATAACGAGGCCTTGTTTAACCCAGTAATGGAAGATGGTCTCAACCATTCCAGATGTTGAGAATTTGACTTTATTCCCACAAGTCTTAAAGGTTTTGGTGGTGGAGGGGGAGGGACTAGACTAGTAAAGATCAACAGGTGGGTTTATTCTTTAGGCAGTAACTCCAGGTGATTCACAATTTAGTTAATGTTAGAGAGGAAGGACCTCCCCTGGTGGCACAGCGGTTGAGCGCTGGGCTGCGAAGCTGCCTGCAGCCTCTGCAGCGCTGGTTCGATCCCCCGTCACGGGAGAGGGTCCCACATGGCGTGACAGACCTCTCCTGCCATGCCCGCTGCTCCCCTCAGCAGTGTATTTCGTCGGTCTGCCTGTTCTGTTCCCTGCTCTGGCTCTGGTGAGTTCTCTCACCCTCCTGCGCTCTGACTGTACCCAGTGCTTGTATAAATAAATAAATAAATCTTAAAAAAAAAAAAGTGAATTATTAATGTTAGAGAGGAAGGAAAAGCAACTCACGTACCTTCCTCCCATAAAAGGCAGTTTATTATAATGGAACAATAGATGAAAACACACACTCCACTTGGGAAGCAGCTTGGACTCAGGAAGCAGCATTTCAGTCACTCCCGCCTCCTTTTTTCCTTTTTTTTTTTTTTTTGGTGGGACCCTCGAGGGCTGCTGGGGAACTAACCAGCGCTGCAGAGGCTGCTGGCGCTCAACCGCTGCGCCACCAGGGGAGGACAGCCGCCTCCTTTTTTTTTTTTATCGGGAAATTGTTTTTCTTGCAAAGTTGAACAAAGTTATCTATATCTATAGAAAGAGAAAATATCATTTTATAGAAAATATAGATTAGTATAAAGAAATAAACCTATTCCTAATTCTACCCCTTTACTTTATGTGTACATAAAATTTTTTTGTACCCAAATATAATTTTTGAACTAATAATCCCCCCCATCCCTGCCCCATACAGTAATATATTATGCAACACCAATTTTATATAGCATTCCATTATGTAGCTGGGAAGAACATCCTTGCAGCTAAATAAATTGCCAAGCGTAGAACATGCACAAAGGAGGGGCAGGTTTTTAAGCCTTTGAAGCATGCAGCTAGAGTGGTGGTAGCAATTTACATTCCCACAAAAGTGGGTTCTGAGCCTCCCAGCACAGTGTTATTTTCTCCCCTAATCATTGCCAATCTGATAAATGAAAATGTCATTTAACTATTTTAATTAATGATTAAAGCTCGTTGATTACTGTAAAATTGTAATGTGAAATCCTGGTTCTTACAAAGAACATACAGAGACAATGTGTGAGGAGGAAGCATATCCTACCAATCTTTTAAGTCTTACCTATTGGTTTCTTTTTGCTTTCCTGTCTAAGGCACCTGCTACTCTTCTTGCTGATTTTTTACCCCGTGTTTATGGTAATCTTTGTGTGTTCTGTTGTCTTCAGCCTGGGACATCCTAAAGATGTTTTCCTTTATAAATGAACCAGAGAAATATGTGGAATTATGGCAGAAAGTAGAGTGGAAAATGTAGAAAGTTGAGATTTTTTTTTTCTGATTCGATATCTGTGACAATTATCTTGTCTTTGAAATTCCTTTTCCTCTTAATATACTTTGTTAAGGCAAGCTTTTTTTTTTTTGCCATGAATTCTTTATTTATAAAAATTGTGTGTCAGTCGCAACGATTCCTTTGCATACTTTTCTTGATTCCAGCTCCATTTTTATAGATATTAAGAAATTAGAAGGATGGCTACTACTCAAAAGACAAGAAACAACAAGTATTGGAAAGCATATGGAGAGAAGGGAAACTTACACACTGCTGGTAGGAATATGAGTACAGTTACTATGGAAAACAATATGGAGATTCCTCAAAAACTTAAAAATAGAAATTCCATATAATCCAGTTATCCCACTTTTAGGTATTTATTTGAATAATACAAAAACACTAATTCAAAGAGCTATATGTATCCTGTTTATTGCAGCATTATTTACAATAGCGCAGAGCTGGAAACAACCTAAATGTTCATAGATATCTAAATAGATGAAAAATAGATAAAGAAGATATGGTATATATGCCTCTGAACTCTGGGTTGTTTGTTACACAGCATATTGTTGCTATGGATAGTATCAGTTGATACCACTCTACTCTCATCATTTTTCGTATAATTTGTTCTCCCTGCTTTTGAATATTCTCCATATCTTTAGCCACTGGAAGAAATTCTAGATATACTTCCAGCTTCACATTTAAATGTTTCCTTTCCTGGGATAGCTTCTGAATTTGATTCCTGTCATGATGTAAACATAGTAAAATGTTCTGGGTTTTTTTTTGCTTGTTGTCAGTGTAACACACTCACAAATATACCTTCTTTTGTTCATCTGTCACTAACACACCTCTGCCTGCCAGGTGCTATGCAGGGTACTAGAGAGAAAAAATGTACTGGTGCCTCCAAGTCCATAGTGAAATCTACCTCTAGTAGAATATTTGTATCTTGCTTTGTTCTAACTTTTTCTTTCACATTCCAAACTTCACAAAGGTAAAAAACATGTTTTATTCCACTTTCTAGCCAACTTAATAAACATTAAGAGGTCATTTTGCTTATAATTTGACTTTTCATTTTTAATCAAAGTTATACATACTGGTTTACAGTATGTAAATCATAGTCAAACAGTTCCACAGAATTTGCAAAGGAATTCTTAGGTCTCTTCCTCCAACGTTCTCTTTCCTAGAAGCAAATATTTAAATATCTTTTAGCATTTATTTCTATATCCCTAATAACATATTTTTATGACCACTTGAATTTTAGTCCCAAACATTACCACCCTACTCTCATCATTTTTTGTATAATTTGTTCTCCCTCCTTTGAATATTCTCCATATCTTTACCCACTGAAGGAAATTCTAGATATACTTCCAGCTTCACATTTAAATGTTTCCTTTCCTGGGATAGCTTCTGAAGTTGATTCCTGTCATGATGTAAACATAGTAAAATGTTCTGGGTTTTTTTTTTGCTTGTTGTCAGTGTAACACACTCACATATATACCTTCTTTTGTTCATCTGTCACTAACACGCCTCTGCCTGCCAGGTGCTATGCAAGAGTACTAGAGACAAAATGTACTGGCGCCTCCAAGTCCATAGTGAAATCTACCTCTAGTAGAATACTTGTATCATGCTTTGTTCTAACTTTTTTCTTTCACTCCAAACTTCACAAAGGTTGACTTTCCATTATGGAAGATGAAAATTTATCTCTTTGCCTTTCCTGCTTGCTAGACCACACATTCACCCTTACTCTTCCTGACCCCCACCTCCATCATCCCAATAATGGGGATGTATGTAGATTTATATAGATCAATATTTAAAGCTTAAATTGTCATGGTCTCAAATGCTGTTTACAATTGAGCCACATAGTAAGCTATGGTTACTTTTCCTTGCCTGTTCAACTTTGTTTTTTTCTAGAGTTCATAATTGCTTAGTTGTTCTTTGCTTATATTACTTGTCTCACCATGAATCCAATCCTACAATTTTTCCAGTTGTCTAAAGGGAGACAATACATTCAGTGTATCTGGAACTCATACTTTCCTTCTTCCTGAAAATCACCCTCCCTGAGGAAGTGGTGCTTTGGGTCCAAGAGCAGCAGGTGCTGGTGCTAGAGGTGGGATTTGCTTTTTGTATTGAGCATCAGCTGTAATGGCCTTGAGCAGGGAGGACATGTCATGGCTGCTAAGTGGAGAATGGATAGAGGGGCCACCCATGGTGTGCAGACCCCAAGTTAATAGTCACAATGGGATTGCATTAGCCATGGACTACTGAATTCCCCAACTACTGGGGATATGTCCTCTCTGATATACCGCCATAACAAACATATTCCTAAGCCAGAATTAAACATTCTTTCCAGTAAAAATTTATAAAATCCACTGTTTAAGGGATGTAGTCGTGTCACAGAATTCGTGTTCTGTAAGCTTCCTTCACTGTGCAGTGGCTATGGGAGATGGCTATGGGAGATGGAAAGGTAATGACCATGTCTTCACATGGAAGGAGAGTCAATTTCAACAAGGGCTGCCAGCTGGGGTGACACAGCCAGGGGCTCTGTGAAGTGCCAGCAATGGTGGTTTCTCCTTTCCTCGAAGGAGCTTCTTCCTTGCCATGGGGATGCCCTACCTCTCTCTGGGATGCTGCAGGGCTGCATTTGCAATCTTGCTGTGAGAGGAGCCCTCACATCAAAGTGAGCACAGAGGAAGCACGGGAGGTGCCCTGAAAGCCACACGTTTCCTCCTGATATGTGCATGCTCATAAAATTATTGTGTATGGGAGATTTTCAGAAAATCCTCAGTGTCCGAGGCTCTTTTTTCCATTGTCCACAGTCAGGACTCAATCTCTGGTCAAGATCTGCTGTAGTTCAGGGGAGAGGGGTGAGGAGCCTCACCCTGGGTGATGTCCAACATCTGTGGAGAGTCTCTGGCCCCTGGTCTCCTGTCACATCAAATGGCTCCCAGTTGAGGAGACAAACTGCTTGAAGCAGCAGCTCCTTGGACCTCGGCTTCTTCTAAATCCCAGGAGGGACCTCTGCTCTTCCTGCTTTCTGCCATGAATTTGACATGTGGGCTTTGCCTCTTCACCTGGGGGGCTCTTCTGTGCTCTCTCCCTCCTCTTCCCAGCCCCTTCACACTGCCTCTCATTCTGTCTTGTACTCTAAGTGGTCTTGATGCAAAATCGTCTGCCACAAAGGAAATAATTAAGAACCCAAGTTTACATGTTTGCAAATTCAATAGACCCAGTCTTGACTTCGATTAGAATTATTTTCAGTTTTACTGGAGGAATTCTTCAAGACACAGATTATTGTAAGTGACCAAGTCATGATGGTGAGTACAAAGGGAAAAAGGAGAGGAGAAATGGGAGAGAAAATTCCATGGGAATTAGGGAATACATTTTCATAGCATATTATGCAGTCAGAGGCATTAGATCTCTAGAAGAAAAAAATGTGCCTGTCAGAACTGAATTCCAATCTGGGATCCTCTTTGTCCCCCAAATGCTGCATTTTTAGTTTGGGCTAAGAAGTTAGAGGGAGAGCCTGCAGCAGCAGCCTCCACCCACTCACCTGCACTGTGGACCAGGTGACGAGAAAGGAATACCAAGGCCAGTGTCTGCTGCAGGAAGAGAGTCAAAGGAATGATGTTTTAAGGTTCAGTGGAAAAGCCACACCTGGAAATAACCAGAACAAGGAGAGAAATAGCATGTGTCTTTTGGCCTCGCTACTCCCACTGTGGCCCATGGACCAGGACCATCAGTTAGGAGCTGGTTAGAAATGCAGGATCTCAGGCCCATGCCACACTGAATCAACATTTGCATTTTGGCAAGCTCTTCAGATGACACAGTGCACATTGAAGTTTGAGAAATGCTGTTTTAAGTGTTGCAAATGAAGCACCCTTGGGCACACAGAAATTAGTAAATAAGTTTCTGAAGATATTCCATTCATGGTTCAAAACAGTCCATATATTACTAGATTATACAAGAATTCACGATGGATCTCTCCAAAGGACATTCAACTACATGGTGTTGGGAATGTGGTGCTGGCGCCCCTGGATCTCAAGGTTGAACACTTGCTCTCCAATAACAAGGCTCTAAATTTCTATACAATAACCCTACTTGTTTACACATCTTTGCCTAATTGTACTGTTTCTCTTGGACAAATTCTTATAATTGGGGATACTTAAAAATTTGGACATAATTAATTTTGTAAAATTAAGATATAAAATAATCTTCAAAATTAGATATTGCCAAATTTCCCAACAAAAATGTACACCCATTTGTATTCCTGCTGCCAGTGTTGAGAACACATGTTCTCCACTTTCCTGCCAACAACACTTATTTTCAATCTTTCAAATTTTGGCATTTGGACACACATATAAATTATCTTCAATAATTTAAATTTACATTATTGGAGAGTTGAACTTTTTAAATGAAGTGATCATTAATTCACCCATTCATATACTTTTCTAATTTTTCAAAAAGGTGTTTCTCCCATTATTGATTTATATCAACTTTTTGTATCAGAAGTTTATTTTGGTCTCTTTTATGTGTTTCAGATATTTTCTTTTGATTTTATTTAAGACATGCACACATTTCACTATCTGAAAATTTTAAATTGTTACATAGTAGTATTTATCTTCTCCTTTTGGCCTTGAGGTTTCATGCTCATGTTTAGGAGAAACTTCTCGATACCTAGTTTGTAAAACTCATGAAAATGGTGTTTTCTGTTTGCACTTAAAAATAAAAAAAATCTTGTTTCATATAAAATGATTTGATTAAAAGAAAAATTTAAGAATTCTTTTTTGTTGTTTTCCCCAAATGGTTAACAGATTACCCCTACAGATTTTCTCTTATGACACAGATTTTTCTCTTTGCTTTGAAATGCCACCTTTAAATAATGTACTGAATTCTCATAAATACTTGAGTTTATTTTTGTACTTTTTAATTCCATTTGTCTGGCTACCAATTCCATGCTGTTTTCTTTTAAACTAGTGTCATTGTAGCTTTACAGTATATTTTAATATCTCTCAAGTCTAGTCCACATAAATTGCCCTTTTCTTCCTTTCTTGCTACCCTCCCCACTAGAATTTCCTTGGCTCTTCTTATTCTTGTTGGTAATAAAATAACAGAGCTCACATTCACATACTTACACTGAACCAGGTGCTATTAGAAATACTTAGTATGTGTTGAAAATTTAATCTTTTATCATAGGAACTTTTATTATTTCCATTTTACATGTGATAAAACAGGCACAGAGATAGTAAGTAACTTGCCTAGTTTTCACACTAGAACTCAGATTTATTGTCTTGCCCTTTGACAGGTATTCCATCTCATACAGTCTTAATTAGGAAGAATTATTATTTTTTTTACAATTTTATGTCTTTTCATGATGAGTTAGATAATAATAATATCTTCTTCAATTGGTTAATGGGAGAATTACCTGAGACAATCCTTGACAGAACCTAGCAAGTACCTGGGTCATACTTACAAAATGAAGCATTTACTATCATTATTATTAATATTACTACTTATTCAAATCTTTCATGTTTCTCAGATTCTTATATTTAATTTTGTATGATTTATGTACATTTCATATGTACATTTTATGTACATATCAAGAAACATATCCATATAAATTGTTTGTTTTTATTGCTATTGTGAATGGGATATTTTCTTCCACCATATTTTTCACTGGTTTCTGCTTGTTTAAAAAAGAGCCTTTGGTTTTTGTATGTTGATTTCATAACCTGTCACATTACTAATTCCCTAATTGTTTCTAAATTATTTTTCAGTTCACCCTTTCAAATTCCAGGAATACAATCATAGACTCCACAGCTATGACAGAACCCCCTCTTTTGAATATTGATTTGTCATTTTGGTCTTTTCTCTAGAGCTGAGCCAGATGAAGAAAGTGGTAATGAAGGCCACCCTTGATTTTTCCAACCTCCAAATGAGGCTGCTTCTAGGGTCACATCGGGGCGCTATGGGGCACTTTACAGAAAATCTCCACCTTTTACCATTTTACTAAAGAGTTAAACTCGAATGTTTCTCATCAAATACAGTTTTGTTATTTATGCCTTTATTTTCATAGATGAATTATAATTTCCAAATATTGAACCAATTAACAAATAATGTGTTCTTATTTTAGTGACTGCTGGGTAATATTTGCTAATATTGAACTAGGAAATGTATTTCAATATTCCTAAGAGTGTCTGAGTTGCAGATTTCTTTTTCTGTACTGACTTTGGCAGGTTTCAGAATAGGAATGTTGCTGCAAGAGACTAATTAGTGTGAGAAAGGAATAACGAATGAATAACGAAGGACTTCTGGATCAGAGGGGACTTGTGTTTCTTTGTTGGAATTTCTTTGGCTTTCTACATGTCTTCCCTGGTTCTTGGTCTGTTTTCAATCATTAGTTCTTAAGTTAATTTCAATCTTCTGTTTTCATAGAAAATCATTTATTTGAAAAGACGATTCAAAGAAATTATATAGAGTTGTGCACAGCATTGTCTTATACTTCTTGAATCTATAGTTTCTTTCTCCTTGTTATTTTAATTTTGTATATTTGTGCTTCTTCCTTTTTTCAATGAGTGGATTACTCAGAAGTTTTCTTTCTTTTTATCCCACAAAACAAGTGTTCTTTATTGCAGTGTTACAAAACACTTTGCATTTTGGCAATATTTTACAATGCACTTAGTTTCAAGGGTTGGAAAGGAGAAGCCTGGAAACTTAGGGGTAAATTTCAGCAGGCGTTTTTCCTAAAGAAAAAAAGGCCTGTACACTCTGGTGTTTTTCTTTCTTTCTTGGAGTTTTTCTTTTTAACAGTTACTAACTTTTGGATTTACTTATGATTCTTTTTCTTTTCTCAAATTAGTTTCTAACTTCTTTTAATGACTTTCACCTGATTCTATAAATTTTTCTTTTTTCTTTAGCCTCTTACATGAATGTCTACTTAATTTATTTTTATTCTTTTTATTAGAGATGAAAACTTTAGATATAATTATGGATCTTGGTATGAAACATTTTTATTTTCTAGGTAATCCAAGAATGAAGTTTTCCTCTTTTTTTCTTTATTGCAGTATTTAAAATTCACCAACTTTGACTGTCTAGTTTTGATGAACATTAATAATTGTACAAAGTCATGTAAACACCACCACAGTCAAAATGCAGAACATCACCCCAAGAAGCTGCCTTGTGCACTCTGTCTGCTCTGGGTCCTCTTCCTCTGGATCAACCCAGCTCCAGGTGCCCTCTGATCTGCTTTTTGTCACTACAGTTTTGCCTTTTTTAGACTTCCAAATGAATGGACTCATAGTTCCCACTCCCTTGTTTTTTGACTTCTTTCGCTTACCACACTGTCTTTGATCCATGTCATTGCTGTCTGTTGCCATTTCATTCCATTTTTGCTAAGTAGTGTTAACAGTATAAAACCATATAGCTGGGAGATCCAGAGGGACTTTGGACTTGAAAAGAAATGGCTAACAGGTGTTGCATTAGGTTATTTGCTGTGTGGAGTGCAGTGTAAACTCTTCTTTCTGTCTCCCCATAAAATCTCATTGTAATCTATTATTTTCCAAAGCTCTGCAGAGAACATTTGCTTTTCACTGAGTTAACAAAGTGCTGAATCTGGCTTTGAAATGGGTGTGGGGAGAAAAGAGGCAGCTCCAAATATGTAGGTCTTTTGCTCTTTATTTTCTACATTTTGCTATGTGGTCTTTGTTTTCTTTGTTTTACCTTGTATCCTCTCCTTTATCATTTTGAAAAATATGTATCTGGTCTTAGCTTCACTAATGGCTGTTTACATATTTTAAAATGCTATCTTAAATGTCTTTATCAGACTTACAACTTTTAGTATATGTTGGCACACTCTATGATAAATAATAATATGAGCAGACTTACCTATCCTAATTTTCTTTGCTTCTTCTACTTCGCATTTCTTGCTGTCATATTATTGCACTTTGGTATGAATCTAATGTTATTGATGACTTTTTTACATTTTGTGGAATTGTAACAATTACGTTGTTTCCAAAGGAGAAAAACAGAGGACTCTTTAAGACACTTTCATGTCACCTACGACACATTTTTCTTTTGTGTTATTTGATTCATCACTATTATATCTTTTAGTTTTCAGGGATGTTTTGGAGAAGACAGAATTTCTAAGTTCTTCGATATTTAAAGATGTCATCTTGCTGCTTTTGTCTGCACACAGAATCTTTAGCAGGGTATAGAAGTCTTGAAAAACCTTTTTTCCTTCAATGCTCTGAGCCCAGAACTATAGTCAGGTTGGGACAGAGTCCCTACAGGGTGATTTAGGGAAAAATTTTGATCTGAATATTCATATTTCTTCTTTTCCTTCTTGGAATAGTTTCTTTCCATTATACCTTTGAACGTTGGTTCTAGTCTAATTGTTCTTGCTTCTCAGTGGGGAACACCCTCCATTCTTAGGTTTTGATCTCTGGCCTCTATACTTTTATATCTATCATCTTCTCTCTCATCTTTTTCATCTCTCTGTTGTTTTTCTCTTTATTCTGGTCGAGCTTTGCAAGTATAATCTGTATGTCAATAGCCAAAGGAGTATTGTCATCCTGGAAATGGGATGATGAGAAACGCATGCCCGTTTTGAAGGAGAATTGAGAAACACTTTGAATGAGGTCCAATTGTAGCATGTAAAA